CATTTTCCACCCTTGTCCCAGTCTTTGTACAATGTGGCACACAGCAATTTCTGCGATCCTTTTTGATTTTGACATTCTTCCCTTCCAGTACAGTACTTGGGTTTGTAGCTTTTACAAGGATTTCAATATTGCTGTCCATGGTCTCTCAGGACATGTACAGGACATGTAGAGTCTAGTTGAGCTGAAAACAAACAGACATATGTTGTATGATGTAACCAGGGTGAACTAGTAGGACTGAGAGTGTTTACTTTGTAGCAATGTTGTCGGGATTCATTGTAGCCGACCTGTATCAAATGTACATGTTTGTATCAATATGGCTACAATGTAAAAATGGCGTCGACTCACGACTCGGCAAAGAAGTACTAATTTTGAAAGCTCTGTTAAATATAGGACAATGACAACCATATTTTTCGAATCAAACGATAAAAATACATAAATATTGAATCAATATTAATGTAAAATATCAGTTTTGCTACATAATAAGAAGGGAATGGATAGTAGGTTTTACAGATTTTACTATTTTTTGTTATTGTTTTCGAAAAATAGAAATACAGATCTTTCTCTCAATCAATTCTCTGGAGTTATTATCTTCTAACAGGTGAAATATTACATGATTATGTCGTACTACAGAGTATTTAAAACGTGATATCTTACCCAATACGGTATTTTATTCCAAGTTAAAAACGGCAATTTTATGGTATGAGTACCGTAATCCAACACCAAATTCGAAAATTCATAACAATACTTTGCACATATGGCGTTCGTGACCAACTATAAAACGCTTACCCCCCATAGTGTTATATATCAAAATGTACCTGTTCATATAGGGGTTCGATTGATCTACATCAAATTATAGGGAGTCAGGTTACTTTTTGAGATATCAGCGTCCATTTATTGTGACTCGCGTTTGCTACCACTTCCTCAATTCTGATATGATGGGCAAACGCGTAGTAAACATGCTCACGTCGGAACTATTTTTGACCTACATCGCTATTTTCGTAATTCAAATGAAAGTTGAACTCCTCCTCTTTATTTTGATACCAAATAGTGGCATACTAGGTACCCTAGAAGCCAACTGTGGCGTTATTTAGAACAAAACCACAAGTTTTTAAATGGACTATATAGGGGTCATACCTTTTGGCGGATGGATATGTAACCTCATACCTTAATGTGTTATGACATCACACTGATTTTTGTCTCTGCAACTTTTTTTGGCAGAAAATATCATTTCTAGTTCAAAAATGCATAAAAACGTCGGAACTGGCTGAATATGTGAACAATTTATCCATTTAGGCTAGAAAGGGTTAATTTGCCCTACCCCAAATACGTCTAAATATGCTGGTCTAACTTTGCCACTGTGACGTCACAAATCTAACCTGACTATCTCTGAGTTTATTGAAGAAAATGATACGTCTGACAAACAGCTTTCATTCCCTATATGGCACACCTTCTACTAAGAGTTGCATCATTGACTAAATCTAAGACAAAGGGCCTGTGTCCCGAGGATTTTGACTGAAATTTGGCCATTTTCGCCCAAATCTAACTAAATTGCAGTTTCCCTCACACCTGTATTTTGAAATAAATATTGCTACAATGTAGCAATTTGAAAATCACACATGCTTACTGTTTCTGTCGACCTGACACGTGTATCTAGCCTGTAAAAATGAAAAATCGCTACATTGTAGCAATTTCACTGAGATATGGGCCCTGAAAATCATGTAATTTTAGCAAAAAATGAAGAAATAACCTGCAATTTTGACGGAATTTCAGAGGGCTTTCTTTCATTCCAGACCCTCCACGGGCCTCTTATCACCATTCTTATACTCACAGAATGGTTGAAAGTGATTTCAAATCATTGTTTGCCCTACGCAGAACGAAAAAATCGATTCTGTTCTCAAAATCTGCTAGAATATTGGTCTCTGGCCAACTAGCAGACAATTTTAGGCCTCATATTAAGGTATGAGTACCGTAATCCAACACCAAATTCGAAAATTCATAACAATACTTTGCACATATGGCGTTCGTGACCAACTATAAAACGCTTACCCCCCATAGTGTTATATATCAAAATGTACCTGTTCATATAGGGGTTCGATTGATCTACATCAAATTATAGGGAGTCAGGTTACTTTTTGAGATATCAGCGTCCATTTATTGTGACTCGCGTTTGCTACCACTTCCTCAATTCTGATATGATGGGCAAACGCGTAGTAAACATGCTCACGTCGGAACTATTTTTGACCTACATCGCTATTTTCGTAATTCAAATGAAAGTTGAACTCCTCCTCTTTATTTTGATACCAAATAGTGGCATACTAGGTACCCTAGAAGCCAACTGTGGCGTTATTTAGAACAAAACCACAAGTTTTTAAATGGACTATATAGGGGTCATACCTTTTGGCGGATGGATATGGAACCTCATACCTTAATGTGTTATGACATCACACTGATTTTTGTCTCTGCAACTTTTTTTGGCAGAAAATATCATTTCTAGTTCAAAAATGCATAAAAACGTCGGAACTGGCTGAATATGTGAACAATTTATCCATTTAGGCTAGAAAGGGTTAATTTGCCCTACCCCAAATACGTCTAAATATGCTGGTCTAACTTTGCCACTGTGACGTCACAAATCTAACCTGACTATCTCTGAGTTTATTGAAGAAAATGATACGTCTGACAAACAGCTTTCATTCCCTATATGGCACACCTTCTACTAAGAGTTGCATCATTGACTAAATCTAAGACAAAGGGCCTGTGTCCCGAGGATTTTGACTGAAATTTGGCCATTTTCGCCCAAATCTAACTAAATTGCAGTTTCCCTCACACCTGTATTTTGAAATAAATATTGCTACAATGTAGCAATTTGAAAATCACACATGCTTACTGTTTCTGTCGACCTGACACGTGTATCTAGCCTGTAAAAATGAAAAATCGCTACATTGTAGCAATTTCACTGAGATATGGGCCCTGAAAATCATGTAATTTTAGCAAAAAATGAAGAAATAACCTGCAATTTTGACGGAATTTCAGAGGGCTTTCTTTCATTCCAGACCCTCCACGGGCCTCTTATCACCATTCTTATACTCACAGAATGGTTGAAAGTGATTTCAAATCATTGTTTGCCCTACGCAGAACGAAAAAATCGATTCTGTTCTCAAAATCTGCTAGAATATTGGTCTCTGGCCAACTAGCAGACAATTTTAGGCCTCATATTAAGGTATGAGTACCGTAATCCAACACCAAATTCGAAAATTCATAACAATACTTTGCACATATGGCGTTCGTGACCAACTATAAAACGCTTACCCCCCATAGTGTTATATATCAAAATGTACCTGTTCATATAGGGGTTCGATTGATCTACATCAAATTATAGGGAGTCAGGTTACTTTTTGAGATATCAGCGTCCATTTATTGTGACTCGCGTTTGCTACCACTTCCTCAATTCTGATATGATGGGCAAACGCGTAGTAAACATGCTCACGTCGGAACTATTTTTGACCTACATCGCTATTTTCGTAATTCAAATGAAAGTTGAACTCCTCCTCTTTATTTTGATACCAAATAGTGGCATACTAGGTACCCTAGAAGCTAACTGTGGCGTTATTTAGAACAAAACCACAAGTTTTTAAATGGACTATATAGGGGTCATACCTTTTGGCGGATGGATATGGAACCTCATACCTTATATTGGTATAATGTAGCCATTTCTTCCTATCAAAGTATGACGTAGATGCGCGAAAAGACGACTGCGCATCCCGATAGGTGTCGGGATTTATCGGAAGACTCTATTGAAATGCAGCCTAGCGAGAAGCCAAAATAATGTAATGTGTTTAAACAAATGGTGTGTAACCTTTTGGTTGACACGAAAATTTTACTTTTTCTTTTCTTTCAAAATTCAAAGGAAAATATTGAATGCTTTGTTAAGAATTTGGTGTCACATTGTCATCCATAGATTGTATTTTCTTTTATGAAAGATGAGGCTGATTTCACATATGTATTGAAGAAATTATTTCATTTTGGAGGGTTTTCTGTTTTTGAGTTACCCTGGACTTATTTTCGAATTGTTGGGGTCGTGGTATTTTCGATACATAAGGGTTGTGTACTGGGGGGTTTAAAATATGGGGTTTATGGAATATATGGAGATATATGTAGTTTGCACATCTCACGAGGGATAAACCCCATATCCAAACCGACCGTATATAACTGCTTTATGCTATACCCAGTGGAGTCTTTCAAAATAAATTCTGACATTTTCTAACATTTTTCACAATTTCTTTCAAAGCGGTAAGATATGCCAGTGGAGCGGGAGATATGACGGGAGATATGGAGTATCTGGATATGGAAACTTCAAAATCACGATACGGGACATATCTTACCAACTTATGTCCCTAAAACTCTACTTGACATAGGATAAACGTAAATATGTCATCCTCACCTGTGGAATAATGTATGCGATATTCCCTGCGATATATGGCATATTCAAAAGGTGAGTATGACATATTCTTCAAATGAAAACGTGATACAAGCAGCCTCGATTTGATATCGAGAGAATCTACTCTGTAAAATAAAAGGTATGCTGGATTACCAATAATATTGTTAGCGTTTCGAATACTAAAATTTGAATCCCGGAGTGATTTAGTAAGTTTATTACTTGTGATTGGTGAGTGATACTTCTAAGAGTATCAGAAATGTATAAAACGTGGTTGCCGATACCAATTCAATTCATTCAATCGTTCCAATTGCCTGCTTACTTCCGAAATGCGTTCTCATTGGTAAGTGAATATGTAATATTCGCCTGCAGAACATGACATACATGTACATATTTACTTACGAAATCTGACATATTTGTTCATGTTTATGGAATTGCAATTTAGCTGCTTAGCTGCCTAATTGTATTTTAATGATTATTTGAGTTAACAGTCCGTTAAAAATGCCAATCTCACGATATTGATGACATGAACATCTTTGCAAATTAAATCTATCTTTACTGGTATCATGTTGAAACGAAATAGTTGTTTAATTAGTGGTTTGACTCATACAACTTCACTCTAATCAGGAATCATGAGGAATTTAGAACCTCTTGTTTTTGTGGTTCAATGCCTCATGATTTTCACCATTATGGATGGATTATGTGCTGAAGAACCAAAGGGTATGATTCTTTTCTCTTATGTAAAGGTCTGTCAAAAAAATTCGTGAAGAGACAAAATGAAAGTACTTGGGTGCATCAAAAAGTTTTGCAATTTTGACTCTATCGCAATAACTATAATGAGTTATGTCATCATATTTGGCACATACATTGATCATACATTTGTGGACATACCTGTAAAATTTGAAGACTGGATCTTCATTTTTCAAGAAGATATGGTTGTCATAGTAACATAAGAAGCGACCTCATGGTTCAATGCAAATTTATTATAACGCAATGGACAGAATAAATGACATCAATTTGCCAACACCTTGTTTTGTCTCATATTAACAATTTTCTGCATATTAAAACATTGTTCTCAAAGCGCACGCCCCTTAATCCCCTCTTCATATGACTGAACAAGAAGAAGTCACATGGTGATGTGTCTGGGAGTAGGCTGCCTGCGGTACACGCTCCCAATCCAGGTCCTCTAGAGCATCAATTGCCACCCTTCTTGTATGGGGCCTTGCGTTGTCCATATGGAAGTGGGGTTTGTAGCAGAAAGAGAAAATTTACTTGAAACAAAATGGCTGCCAGAATTCATAGGTTTTCCCCACAATCTACATCACAATGTAAATCCATATGTTATAAGCCTTGTTTGATGTCATCAAAACAATAAGAAATAGAAAAAGGGGAATGAAAAGACACACAAACCTGTAATTTAGGTGACTGAATCATAATAATAACAGAATATAATATAATTTAAAATTAACATATTCTAGATGGAACCGAGTACCCTCGGTTCCCGTTACCATAGCAACCATATCTTTTTACCCAATCACAGATGAGCAACCAATTCGTTACACATTATGTATAGATACATGATCTATAATTGTGCCAAAAAAGTCAGAAAGTCAAGATATAAAAGAAACAACATGGAATTAAAAAGAGAATTGGATCTAGTGAGGAAGCCAAACAAATAATTGGTTCAATTGAATTAAAACAGTCCTTGTCGGGTCCGTTTTCCAAAAATCCCGAAAATGTATACCTGATTCCAGGAAAACTTTAGATTTTTACAATTATGTATTTTTCTATTTTTATGGTTGCCATTTTCATTATTTGTAGGGAGAATGTAAACTCTTTCCCTTATTTTTGCACTTAAAATCCTTGATAACTTCACCAATTTATAACATATCGCGGTTCTTTTGGGAGATATTGTATTTGAGGTCATAAGGAATCGGTTGATATAAGGCCAATTACACTTGCAACTTTGTCACCATTATAGATTTGAAAAAGTGTGCAAAAATCTCAAAATGACGTACGATGTCATACAGGCTAGATTCCGATGTGTTTGGGTCAGAGAATAAATCGAGAGAACATCGGCAAATTTTATCCCCGTTAAAAACTCCCGGCGATCGTGTGACTAAAAACCGGCCGATGGTAGCCTATAATCTCCCCGCGCCCATATACGGTTTGTTGACCAAATTTTGCCAAAATTCTCATCAGACGGGCGGTGGAGCAAACGTGACTGAGGTATAAGGATAAATATAAAGCAGTGGAGCAAATTATCCCTTGGATATACAAGATATGAATCTTAAGAGATGGGAACTAAAAGAAAGAGTGGTATTCGATCCAGCATAACTAGGCTTGTCCCTGGTCATTAAACCAAGCGGTTAAGCCATTAAGGGTACGATCGAAGTTGTCATTTTCGTTAATTGTCATCTTATGTCAATTAGTACATATTATGCATATACCTAACGAAGAGGGTTGATATTGTTAATTGATTGTTAGTTTGTTTTGTCGATTAGTTTTCAAATAAAATAAAAGTCATTCCTAATTACCATGGACATATATCGAATTACACAATTGACAACATACCGAATGTAAACTAGACATACAAGTAGCAAGGCAAGTTGTCGTCAACGCTGTGTTAATGACATCAACAACGATTGTCCTCTTCTCATTGAATTTACCAATGATTGAATTTGCGGGCCCAATGTTTGAATGTCAGGTCAGCTTATCGACAAGTTTAAGATTGTTTAGATCCAGATCTTTTGTCAAGTCATGTTCTATTCCAGGTCAATGTATTGCTTGACATTTGACACTTCTATACACTGAGCATATCACATGATATAAACTCAGCCCTACTGTACTTGTTTTTTAGATTTGTGTTTGGACTTAGTATTCGCCATTGATAATCCAGCAACAATATCTGAAGTTCATCGAGAGGCCATACACAAACTTATACAGGATATCCTCAGCACGGTGGACATTGGCTCCAAGAAAGCGAAGGTACTCTAGAGAATGGAAAATCACAACAAATAAAATACGATTTCACCAAAACCTTGTTTCCAAACTTTTAATTCAAATATTGGATGCTTAACTTTGTAGAGCTACCTGTGAAAACTAATCATATTTGGAATATAAACATTTCATTGTAATGTCAGAAACAAAGGATCAATATACAGAGTGAGACAAAAAGACACCCACCTTACATTGCATAACTTGTTTGTCTATCAACATATAGACTTGTCCTTTAGCACATCTAAAGTAGACATTGCGAAGGCACCTCCAAAAATTCAGCTCAAGTGGGTCAAATTTTATTAGCGTTACAACATTTGCTCTTAATGTCATCTGTTCCTTTGCAGACACAAATCGATTCTATACGAAAATGCCACCCAGATTTGTAATATAACTTTGTAAAAACTAATGATTAAGTCTTGTACTTTCAGGGAAATGAAGTCCATTCAATAGTATAGTTTCCATATAGCTTTTGAAGTCTCGCTGAATCTCGTTTTCCGTGAGATTTTAAGAGATTTGCATATTAAACCTCTAATGACTTACATTACCTTCTTTTAAATGGCATATTTGAATTAAGTGAAAGGTTTTCTCCTATAATAGCTTTGATTTACACAGTTATGTAATTTGAATAATTGTCTATGACAATTTTAAAAAATTGGGCTAAATCTCCATGGATGCAATGCTAAAATTCTTTAAAACCTTGGATTATTTGTCGGTCAACTAACATTTGCATGTTTAATCACAACACATGTACATAAACAGGGTCATCATGTGGTATATCATTCAAGTTTTATACAGATTCAAATAAGACTCTTTGATAAATCATGAAATTAAGCCACTTTTCCAAGATTTTAGCATGTAAGTAAATTAAACTCTAGCCCAAATTACAAGCTGAATAAAAGATGGCAGCACTAGATTTCATTGCTTTTTCTGCTATTTAGAAACTATCCTATTAAACACAAACAATGTAGTTGTCGTGGATAAAATCATTATAACTTATTTCCAAAATTATGCTACAAAATGTGGGTGTCATTTTTGTGTAAGATCCAATTGTGCCGTCAAAGGAATAGACGACACATTTTGTAACGCTCATAGATGTGCATCTAGGTGAGCTAGTTATCTGAAACTTCTTGTGGAGTTGGCCTGTAGTTTTGATGTTCGAAAGAACAAGTCAGAATGTCTTCAGACAAAAACGTTATGAAATATTATGTGGGTGGGTGTCATTTTTTGTGTCACGCGGTATGTTTTTTAGCTACCATCTTCAATTTCATTTCAAAGATTTTGAAGTGATTTCATTTAAGAACAGATGATAATTTTATGAACTGGAATAACAGGCTATACACACGTTGTAATTAAGAAAGAAAGAAGCATGTATCATTCTGTATTGGAAATTGAAAAGCATGAGAACCCATATAGATTTAAAAGCAGTTATTCTACTCAAGGATGATTGGATCCCAGAATTCCATATCGATATTGTGCCATATATGGAAATGTCGTGATTACAAAATTCGATTTCAAACAGCCACCATTTTGTTCACTTCAGAATTTTGTATCGAAACAAAAAGTCGAAAACACACAGAGTGATCGGTAAATTGGTTTGAATCTTTTGAATTGTTGATTATGAATTTATAGTCAGTTATTATGTCAAAAAACAACACAAAAATACAAAAACGACAATCTGACTTTTTCATTGTTGGAAAAGTTTGTGAAATATTCCTACGTGACATATTAATAAGAATTAGAGTTTGAACCTGTTTGCTCTTAGCCCAAATGATCGAAGCATTTAGACTGATTCCCATTATGATAAACCATGAAATCTCATTTTATCAGGTGAAACAGAAAATTGCTATGAGTATCAGAATGATTCATTCCTCGAGTCTCTTGAAATCAATTTTGGGCTTTTTAAAATCATATTTGCAGGTAGGATTAGTAACATTTGGCAATAGAGCAGACCTTGAGTTTGGGATAAATAAATTCAAAACAAGACACAATTTATCATCGGCGATAATGAGTATCATGACGCAGAAGATACAGCCTGGTGAGCCTAAACCAGGTCTGGCCCTTTGGGAAGTCGTACAGTTAACAAGACAAAATTCGGAACTGCTAAGAGACAAAGTGATTGATGAACATTCTGGAAAGCCACGAGGACGAGTGTTAGTTATAATCACATCATATGCTGGTATATCTTCATCTACTCACGTGGTGAGTTAAAACATCATCTCTCTTTATCTAATAAGAGCATTATATTAATACTATTTTAGATATTTCAACACTGGTGGTTTCCAATCGAAGTAAATTGTCGAGTGCTTTCTGTTATATTTTTTAATAAATGGCATAATTAAACGCCTCTTCCCTTATTATTAAGTGGTATTATTTCGTTCAAATATATATTAAAAGGGTATCAGATAAGTCCCGTTCCCCTGCTACTGCCAAAACCTTGATATATGGTACCTAGTTTGATAGTGTGATATACCCTTGGAAAGATAAGATCGTCCAAGGTAACATAACTTCAAAGTATTTAAAAAATTGACCTATGTTTTCATGATGTCCTCATAGTTATTAGTGATTCCTCATCCGGTAGCTTTTATTGAACTGACAAAATGAGAAGGATATGAACTCAGCGATATGTCAAAAAAATAATCTTTTTCGAATTTCACTTGTTACAAAGAAGTCTCCAACACTATCATCGCCCCTCAATTTTCTACACACCCTATCCACAAATTGGTTCACTGCCATTTATATTCAAATAATGACATTTTGAGCTCATTTGACTTTTCTGACACCGTTTCTTGAAATGCTGCCAAATAGTAGTCTATGGTCACCTCAATTGATGTAGCAATTTGTGACATTGATTGACAAGTATCAGGTATCCCAATCAACGTTACTTTGAACGACCTTTCCAATGATGTATCACACTTAGTACCATGTATCTTTGTTTCGCTCTACAGAGGGGACGGGACTCATTTGACACCCTGTAACATTTTGTTTTTGATATTATGACTTTTTTAACGCATGGTGCAATGTATTCACTATTCATGAATTGTTTTGGAATTGTTACTTATTTTTTATTTATTCAGAGGACGATAAAACAGGTGTATAAGCTTAAGAAAGATGGAGTAATTCCACTTTTCATTCAACTTGACAATAAATCACCTGGAATTGATCGATTCAAATCATTCGAGGCCATATTCGAAGGTGATACGTTTTTCACGAGAAACGTCTCAAGTGCTGCCTTAAGCGTAATAGACGCCATTGGTGATTTTAGATGTGGATGTAAGTTACCAAATGTTTATTGCTTCATATCATTATAGAATGATTATTATAGTGGCAGTGTGGATTTTCGTTGGAATTTATTCCCAGGGGCGCAATATGAAGACAATGAAATGTCTAGGAATTAGGAGGTGAAATGCGTATTTTCATGGGGAATAATGTCCAGATGTGAAATATATAGTCAATTAAATGCTCAGAGGTGAAATGTCTAGGGATTATAATTCATGGGCAATACTGTTTTGACTTATGTGCTGAAAATGCTCAGATGTGAAAAATGTAGAGAATGAAAAGCATTGGTTCTTTAATGAAGTCCAGATATATGTGGGGAAATAAATACTCAGATGTGAGATGTATAGGGATTGAAATTCATAGTGGATAATGTTCAGATGTGAAATATGTATATATGTAATTAAGTATATTATGCTGATCGTGGATTGTGGCCTTCCGATTGGTCTCAGACTAAGAAGTGACACACATTCCAAACTATTATAGTATTTAAGTATAATATAATAGTAGACTGCTATATTTTCATAATTTATAAACATTGCCATTTATTGCAGGTCGGGGCACTTCAGATGTTTGTTTGACTCAAGAATGTATACAAGCAGGTGCGTTCGTAGCAATTTTCCATAGAAATGTTTGTTATCAATCCATTTTTTCAAGTTTATTTTTATTCCAACTTATTCCAATCTACAATTACGGATTTGCGAATGGCTGTGACCCTTTGGAACACCTGCATAAGCCCAAGTGTTCTTGGCTGCCCAACAAGTGTTCTGAGTCTTGCCCAATTATTCTGACAACCCAAGTGTTCCGACGTTTCTTATTTTATCAGATCTGAAAATTCACAAGACAATGTGATAAAAATGATTTGATGGAAAAATGTTGATCGCAAAAAATGGACCTTTTTGAAAATGTGTAACCAATATTTAAAAATATAGACCCATTTTTCAAAACTGAGGCCCATTCTAATGTATTGACGTATTCTATTCACAGATTCAATTAAGTATCCTTTTTCCCAGGAGTGTCCATCCATTTTATGTATATCATTTTATTTAGCTGCATATATGATGAAACAAATGGACGAAACGGTCGACCCGTGTGATGACTTTTATGAATACGCATGTGGCAGGTTTATGAGGGAAGTTGTCATCCCGGAGGGGGAATCATGGTTCGGGCCAGTAAAAGCACTAAGGCAGGAGGTTGAAATAAAACTACGTGGTAAGTACTTTACTTTCACCCCCAGAACGTGAATCATATTTTTGGAACAGACTACCCCTTGGTATTTATCATAACAAAATGATTTGTATTCCCATGGGTCTCTTCGCATATACATTACCTGGATCTTGTGCTCGTTTTAAGCAGTCTCAAATATTTTTATGATCAAGGATAACTTGGGATCATCTTGTTTTAGTTTTAGGCAATGTCTTTCAACTTTCTATGATTTAAAATAATCTTGTTTTGGTTTTAGAATCTCAAAACAAATGTTTTATTTTATCTAAGGCATAAAGTATAGTTAGACGCCTAGCAATAACCGTAACGTAATCACCAGTTATTCCCTTGTTTTCTTTAGCAAGCTTAATGGAAGATGTTGGACCGACTGATATTGAATCCACAATCAAGTCTAAGGATTTGTACGCCTCGTGTATGAATGAATGTAAGTGTTCCCAATGTATTATCCACCACACTTAAGCATTCCTTACTAACTGAAGGTCTTGTCCACCGCTACTACATCAAATGGTTGCCCATCAAATATAACCTACACCCCAGTCACATTTGTCGTACGGAGGCCGTGCGTCGACCGCAGATCAATAAAGTGATATTAAAGGTTGCATATTAAAGGGGCAATGGACCAATCAATATGCTTTTTCAAAAATGTTGACCTAATTTTCACCAAAATTGCAACTTTTTATTATATTGTTGATTGCTCCAGGGACTTTAAAGATACTGAATTTGGATGACCAAAATGAACTGAAACCAATGGATAGCATGAGATTTTTCAATGGAGAAATAACATGGGGAACACTAATCTTAGAGCAATTCAGTTTTGCTTTCAAGAACTATTTGATACATCAAAATAAAGAATCGTAATGCATTAAACATTGTAAAAAATGATTGCATTTTTGGTGAAAAGTTTCTTTGAGATAATAAATGGATCTAAACAATAAACCTGTTTTCATAGTCAGAAAATAGTATTAATCCAAGATATAACTGTCTGAAATTGTTGCGATAACCTACTTGAACCTTTCCCAAGCTTTTAAATGATCCATAGAATCTTAAATTTGAGAAAAGATAGACAGAGATTTAACATTATTCGAAAGTGGCTGTCATCATACCTTCAGTGTCCATAGTTTTAAATGTGTTTCAGCTGGGATTGAAGAACGAGGAATGACTCCACTACGTGACTTTATCAAAAGTCTCGGTGGCTGGCCTATACTTGGAAATGTATCGTGGTCCACCTGGAACGAAAAGGAATTTGATTGGCAATCTTTGCTTGCGCAATCGGGGAGACTCAACATATACTCCCTCATAACCAGCTATGTGGAACTCGATGAAAAAAATTCGTCTGTTTACATTCTTGGAGTAAGATGACGAGTATAAATAATTACATGAAATATATATAATTCGGAGATTCTAAACCAGATAACGCGAATAACAAGTAATGTTAACCATGATGTATGAATATAAATGCGAATTCTATGTATTAAATTGAATTGATTATCTAAATATCATCTTATAAAAACAAATAGCTATATATACCGATAAGATATATAAGCAAATGTGTTGGAAGGGCAAAGACTTTATTGTTTTGCGAAACACAGAATGCAAAAATAATTTGGAGTACAAAAAGTCATAAAGGAACTTTAGACGTGTAATATTTTAACCCCCAAGGAACTGTTGTAATAAAGACTAGTTGGGTAATAGTAGTCTAGGAACTATAATTTTACACTTTTCCCTACCTCATCCTTGAGAAACAAGTCTCAAAACCCTTCCCCAATATTCAGGAACTATTACCACTATAACTAAAATTCTGTTTCTCTGTTGTACAGTTAAATGATGCCTTTCAACTGGGTATGCCTGGCTCGGATTCTCGAGAATATCTACTAGAAGGACGAAATAGCACGTTTGTAAAAGGATATGAAGAATGGATGGTAAGTTTTGTGATGCTCATGAAAGAAACTGATGACAAGACGACAGAGGCCCAAGTGCGACAGGATGTTGGGGATGTGATTGATTTTGACATACAAATTGCAGAGGTGATTGTTTAGATTAGTTGATTAACGAGTGATAGTTAATTGTGATTTCTAATTTTATTTTCATAACAATGGCTTTTAGCTGGTTGTCATTGCAAAACTTTGTTCGTTCGTATATTTAGATGACTGAAATAGTTCATTTTATCACCTATACGATCATTGGGTTCTAGTGTTAACCTTAGTTACTACTAGTAAAGTAAATAAAATATTAAAAAGGATAATGAACGGAAACCCTAGTTATATTTATGACCAAAATGCTAAAACTTACGTTATCATTAATAACTTATAACTATAATTGATTTGTTTATGTTTACATTTACTATCTAGTGTTAACCTTAGTTACTACTAGTGAAGTAAATAAAATATTAAAAAGGATAATGAACGGAAACCCTAGTTATATGTATGACCAAAATGCTAAAACTTACGTTATCATTAATAACTTATAACTATAATTGATTTGTTTATGTTTACATTTACTATTGAGAAGTATTACTTTGATTATAGATAACGATATCAAAGGAAGCACGTCGCGATAGAGAACGATTTTATAATAAATGGACTGTTGATTTCCTCCAAAATAATATTACTGGGGTATGAATATAATATACTAATATAAGAATAAAATAATAATAATAATATAATATATAATATAATATAAAATACTAATTATATAATTGCTTCAATCATAAATAATGAAATGATGTATTTCAAAACTCTTACAGACGGCAGACCAGTCTTATGTTGTTCTCCACTTTCTGTCATATTGGTTTGCGATAATGTATTGCTTTAATTAAACTTAAAGTATTTATAATAAATCATTTCAGTTTATGCCAAAATGCTTTCTTTTTTCACAAAAGAAAGATCAGTTTTGTTTTATCCAGATGGACTGGCTTCGATATCTCAACGAATTGTTTGAGGGTGTCAGCATTACCATAACAAACGACTTGGAAATCAATGTTGCAGTGCCTCAATATTTCAGGAACTTAATAGAGCTGATAAACAACACACCTAAACAGTAAGATTGTGTTTCTAAAATGGTTTTAAAAATAGTTTGAGAGCACAGGATGTTTTATGTATTAATTTACTATAATTATCCAATATTAATTTTAAAAGGATAGGTATCGATATGGTGAACTGAATTCAACAATGTTTTTCTCTTCAGCAAATTATTTAAAACATTCTGTAAAAAACACAGTACTTTATTTAATGTTGACTGATTGGCAACAATTTAATGCAAAAATTATTTTTATATATTTTATATTACTGTTTTTGTTAACACTTTTTGTTTTTTAGTGCAATTGTTTTTTTGTTCCTTTCTACCAATTCTTGAGAAATGAAATAAAATGTCTTTCCGAACCTTGTTGGAACAATATAGATACAACATTTTCTTAGACCTCTCAATATTATACAAATACGATATGCCCTCGTAATAAATTTTACCCTTTGCGTGTCCCTTTAGTGTAATCAATTCCTCTTAATGAAATTCACCATTTGCGTTTTTGTTGTGTTGTCATACATCCTCGTAATTTATTTCACCCTCTGCGTTCACTGTTGTAGCCAATTGTCATATATCCTCGTAATTTATTTTACCCTCTGCGTTCACTGTTGTAGCCAATTGTCATATATCCTCGTAATTAATTTTACCCTTTGCGTCCACTGTTGTAGCCAATTGTCATATATCCTCGTAATTAATTTTACCCTTTGGGTGCACTGTTGTAGCCAATTGTCATATATCCTCGTAATTAGTTTTACCCTTTGCGTTCACTGTTGTAGCCAATTGTCATATATCCTCGTAATTAATTTTACCCTTTGCATCCACTGTTGTAGCCAATTGTCATATATCCTCGTAATTAGTTTTACCCTTTGCGTTCACTGTTGTAGCCAATTGTCATATATCCTCGTAATTTATTTCACCCTCTGCGTCCACTGTTGAAGCCAATTGTCATATATCCTTGTAAATAATTTAACCTTTTGCATCCACTGTTGAAACCAATTGTCATATATCCTTGTTATTAATTTTACCCTTTGCATCCACTGTTGTAGCCAATTGTCATATTCCCTCGTAATTTATTTTACCCTTTGCATCTACAGTTTTGTAGCCAATTGTCATATATCCTCGTAATTTATTTTACCCTTTGCATCTACAGTTTTGTAGCCAATTGTCATATATCCTCGTAATTTATTTTACCCTTTGCGTCTACAGTGTTGCAGCGAATTGTCATATATCCTCTTAATTTATTTCACCCTTTTCGTCTACAGTGTTGCTGCGAATTGTCATATATCCTCGAAATTTATTTTATCCTTTGCGTTTACAGTGTTATAACCAATTATTTTTGTCATATATCCTCATAATTGATTTGACTCTTTATGCCTCCAGTGTTGTAGCAAATTACCTACTATGGATTGCTGTTACTGATGGGGGTGGTTTAGATATTGCTGTAGGAAGTGATTTCCGAGAAATCAGATACAAATATAATGAGGTTGGTATACTCTCCGAGTCCCTCTTTGACAAAAGAATATGCATCTATGACCTATACAAGTCTATAAAGAAATCAAGAGAAGCATATATGCAATGTGAGGTCGTGACAGAAACAGAAACTTCTCATACAAAATGATATAGCTGATTATTTAAAGTTGCACTAAACCGTTTTACTTCAAAATTTTACATAATGTACTTTCATGTATTGTTACTAAAACTGCAAACTTTCGACAATTTTGAAACATAGAGTAGAGTTATGGTTGCTATGGTAACATGACATCACAATACCCAAGGCAACATTCCAAGCAGAAAGCTACAGAGATTCTTAACATATCAAAGTTGAAAAGCAACAACTAGTGGGAATTACATTTGCTTTACATCATTTGATAATCCCATGTATACTCTACTTTGAAAAGTAGGCTCCTCTTTGGTCAGTACAAGAGTAGCACTCTGTATCCATGACTCAAGCACATGTGTGAACCTATTTGAGAACATGTCACGCAGGGGTCGATTGGACAACTTGGAGAAGATCATTTTCTTACCATGCTGATTAGCATTCCATTCTCCATATAAGTAAAAATTAGATATTGCCTGATCAAAATAGTATGGTGCATGGCCTTAGTCCTCAAGACCTAGCTCATCTATAGATGCAGTGGTCTAAATGCTGACTTGCAGGCAGGCGTGTTATCAAGGTTTATGACTGTTGGGTCTTTTCAGAAACTCAACCATGAATTGTGCAAACTGTTATACATGGTGATATTTCAGGAAATTGAATAAATATTAGTGTTATGAAATCATACTCGAACCTGAGTTGTACAGCAACACCATTGCAACAAGGCAACTAATAAAACAAACAAAAAATGTTGTATTGTAATAGGTGAATTAGATACTTTCTTCTGTCTTCAGTAATACAAAATGATAGATATCACATTTTCATGAAAAGGTTGCCCCCAGGTATTGTGTAGTCACGTTACTATAGTAACCTTAACTCTACCCTCATTTTATCATTTTTTCTAAAACTTTATTATAATTTTAGTTGCAATACTTCAAAGTACAATTTGTGAAATTTGAATACACTCGGTGCATAATTGACAAAATGCCAGGGCCAGTGCTGTTACTTTTGGAATACCCTGTATATATTTTTTCCCTTTGTTGTTTTGATATTATATATTTTTTGTACCTGTTTTGAAGGTTATATTTGGCAGCACACTCGAAAAGCCGAGGTGGAAGATATGTACTCAATATGTTGCAAATTATCTCATGACACTACCGTCAGCCTGGTTGTACCTGAAAAATAACTTCGACCGTGAATCTAAGGAAGTTGTGAGTTACATATTCTCCAAATCTTGAAATAACTGCAATATAACCGCACTGAAATGCATTTTCTTCAAATGAAATATAGGGGAATTGTTTTTGCGAGAAATTTCAGCATTCATATACTAAATAAAACGATATGTACCAATTGTAATACAGAATTGCGTGAATTAGTACAAGATCCTAGTTACAAAGAAGTATCATTTTGATCGTTGATTTGCAGAAATCGCGAATCTTTGTATGATGAAACAACATTATATTACCATAAATTTAACTGCCCGAGCAAGTTGAAGGGTGGGTAATACAAGAGAAAATGAGGGTAGACCCCCTCCCCCAAATTATTCGGGTGGCCAAAAAGAAAATTTTTGTGCGCACTCTATATGTCCAAATTACTCATAACTATGCCCAAGGTGGTCAATTAACATAAGGACACCATTTATGAGGCATTTTGCAGGATATTTTAAATCTATTTGTGATTTTAAGCATTTTACTACCCCCAATTCAATTTTGAGTATATCTAATTTCAAGAATATTCCCTCATAACTTTTGTTGTAGCACATTAATGCCTATGAAAAAAATCCACAACCTTGCTTAAATATAATTTGATAGAGTCGGAAAGTATGACAGTGATGTGTCTAATTAATATGGAGAGAAAAAATCCCTACAGCCCTACCCCTTCTTCAACAGTGGGGTGGGTGGGGTCAATATAAATAATATGTGAGTACATTATTTATGCAAATTCTTTTGTATCCTTTCTAAGATGGTCAATATGAAGTATGAAGTTCACATTTTATTATTAGACCTTTTGCAGGATGTTTGGAAATTATTTGTGATTTTAAGCATTTTACTACCCCCAATTCAATTTTGAGGATATCTAATTTCAAGAATATTTCCTCATGACTTTTGTTGTAGTGCAAAAATGCCTCTGAAAAAATCCACAATCTTGCTGAAGTATCATTTGATAGAGCCAGAAAGTATGACAGCGATGTATTGAATTGATATGGAGAGAAAAAATCCCAACAGCCCCACCCCTTCTTCAACAGTGGGGTGGGTGGGGTCAATATAAATAATATTTTGTGAGTTCATTATTGATGCAAATTCTTTTTTATCCTGCCTAGATGGTCAATTAGTATGAAGTTCACTATTTATTAGACATTTTGCAGGATATTTGAATATTTTTGTGATTTTAAGCTTTTACACCCCCCCCCCCCCCAATACAATGTTGTATTTACCTATTAAAAAGAATATTTACTCGTAGCTTCTTTTTGTATCACGTTGATACCAATGGAAAAATTCGACAACATTGGTCATGTACCATTCTATAGATCCAGAAAGTATGGCAGCGATTTGTCTAATAATTGTGAAGAAAAATAATCACAAGAATCGCGAACCATATTTATAGCACATTTTGATAACAAAGGGTAGAACTATGATATTAGTCAAAGTGGTTTAAACTGTATATGGTGTCTTTAAGTACTTTGTAAAGTACCTTCATGTTGGTCAATTTTATTCAGGCTCTGGACATGGTTAATCAATTGAAATCTTCTTTCACAAAGATGGTAAAAGAACAGGACTGGATGACCGAAGCTGTAAAGACGGCTGCTCTAGAAAAGGTAATGATTAAAAAGTCTTTAGGGTTATTGGACACTCTTCGTCTCGTGGACTCTGTTTAATCCTATTCGATTCTTCCGAATTTTGAATAAACTTGGGTTTTCCGGATTGTATGCACTTAGCAATACGTATCTTTTAAAAAAAGAGTTTGTTTGGAATTATTAATGTTAGTTCAATGTTATCTACGTTGACAAAGTTGTTCATTACTGTAGCATGTGTATTGTTCATTTGCTGGCCATTTAAAGAACATGCCCAAACGACCACTTTACCACAGACAGGGAAGTTGGCACGTCTGTTAGCAGGGTGTTATTAATCATTTGGAGAGCATGATTTAAATGGACAGCAAATGAGGCATACCAAAGTTGAAATTTGAAATGCCAAAAAGGATTTTCAAAGCTCCGCTTGAGTATATGGGTTGTACTTTTTCTGACACTCCCTATATGACGACATGTAGACGATCCCGTGAGGAATTGTGGGTAAAGAACAGAATTAACTATCCTTGGCCCAAGAGTAATTCATTGCATTACATTATCTGCTATGAAAGCAGTGAAGGGCCGATCTTGAAGGATGAGAATTAACATTTTACTAATACTAAGGATCAATTAACTCAAAAACAATATAATACATGAAAACCAAAGTAATAAATATATGATTTTTTTTTAGTTGGAGGCCATGCGATTAATAATAGGGTTTGACGATTTTATATTAGAAGCTGATATGATAAATAAAGAATTTGAAAAGGTATGTCCCATATGTATGATATGTCTCATGCAAATGATGAATCACATTCCCCCTTTGAATACGGCGATCTCATTTTTTCAAATATTTGTTCCGTAAGGTAAAAGTCAATATATAATTCAGACTTGTTAACTATAAAATGGAGTTTAGATATTTGAAATTAAACTCATGTAATATCTCTCGTCATCGGATACATGATATACACATTCAGAAAGTTATGGCAACGGCATCATATATCTTCAGAATTTCTCAGGAAGATACAACCGAAAGGAAATTCATTATGCTAAATGTTAACCTTCTTCTAAAGCCACTGTATCGTGGGCTTTGTCCAAAGATAAATTCCTGCATGTCGTAATCCGCCATTTTTCCACATCACAATTTGAATTGCGAGTTTTGGTCTTATTACTTCACCATAAATTTCAAAACACAAATGAAGTGATCAATGTATCTGTTCACATCTTCTGGATCGCTATCTTAGAATTTACGGCCAGTTACTAATGTCAGACATTAACAACATTTCGTCCAGTTTTCGAATTTCGCCATTTTCTTGGAGCCGTTTGTTTTAATTTGAAATCATGCAATATCTCATCAAGGAGCCGAGCCGGTGTAAAAGGGTAGAAGGTCCTATTAATTTATGGTCCTACTCTCCATTGATTTATATGGTGACCTCTTTGTGCTCTTTCCCTTATTATCTTATACACATCAGGGTCATGAGGGCCTTTAAAAGGGGGGACCATAATCCCTGGGGGACCATAATTTCTTTCACACCGGTCCCATTTTAATTAATGATTTATTTATATGGCGATCTTTATATTCAATAAAATTATGAACACTGTCACTTTGCATTTTGTACATTATTAGAAACAAGGTATAAATATTTAATATTTAGGAATTTCATTTTTCTTGGCATCACCGACTATCATAACTATGCCCCTCTACCTTGATTTTCTCATCAAAAAGGTTCATACAATTATTTGTGGCCCAAGCTTTGAAAAATAAGTGAGGCAAAAAGAACCACAGATAAGTAACTCTTTTCACGTAAAATCAAGGGGTAGAGGTATGCTCTACTTGTTTTGATACAAGTGTGTCCTTTATTTGTCTGTTTCAGTCGTCTGCATTTTTGCAATTCAAAGAGCTACATGTACAAAGTAATAGATTGTTATGTTTTGTTTTATTAAAATTAGTCAATAGCGTCTCACATACTCTTTTGTAGTTAATAATCACCAGAGAGCTGATGTTTGAAAATGTGGTGGCAAGCATGCGCTTTCTGGCAAATGAGAATTTTCGAAAAATCGGCAAGTTATTCACTGACGAAAAAAGGTACATAAGAGAAGTATATATTTCTACATTATATAGGAGAAGAGCGTCGAAGGTGTTCACTTCTTATTCTGCGTATCTCAAGAACTATGCATCATTTTGTATAATTTAGATAACTCTTGGGTTAAAATATTACAAAGGATTGTAATCGATATGATGAACTGGATTGAACAAATGTTTCTCTTAAACCAGTTATTAAAAAAATTCTGAAAATTTTACACATCATCATCTCTTGAATGATTACAGTTTAATTTCAAATATACATATATTGTTTTAGAAAACACATAAGACACGTTTTTATTCTTGGTATCACGTTCGGAATGAAATGAAACATCTATCCAAACCTCATTTGAACAAAACGACATATACACAACGTGTTTAGGTCTCTCAATATTGTAATTCTACAAAGGAAAGTTTGGTTGATTTAAGAAAAGTATCTTGTTAATGAACTAAAAGGTTTATCTTAATTTTGATATATTTATTGGGGTTTTTATCTTAATTTTTTGAATACTTTTTGTTAAATCATCCAAATGTTCCTTTATATAACTATACTATTGAGAGGTCTAAGAAAATGTTACATGCTAGTTTGTTCCAACAAGGTTCGGAAAGATTTGTTATTTCATTCTCAAGAATTGGTAGAAGGGAAGAAAAAACAATTGCACTAAAAATCATTGTCAAAATTGTTGTCAATCAGTGACCATTACAGACTGTTTTTCACAAAACGTTTTCTACAATTGGTTTAAAATGATAAGTTTTTCATATTGTTCCTCAAATATTCCCGAGTTTGTTTGTTTGTTTAGTGAAACACCCTAATGTAACTTGAATTTTTATCAATCCCTAAGATCTGTTCTGCCTCCAATAATATGCATGCCTTCCAATCAAAATATACTGTCTTAATTGTAGCGAAGTCAGTAAAGAAATACCACCCCATACTGTAAATGCTGCATATTATCCTACACTAAATATGATGGGTAGGTTCATTATTTACTTTTTGTTTCTAACATAGGATTACTATACTAGTCAGTTGCCATTTTCTAGGTCAGGGCTACATGGTCATTTTGTGTCTACCGATTCAAATAATACCAAGCCCCGCGATTCTATTTCTCAACAATTGTATTTCGATATTCGTGTTTTTATCGTTTCAGTATTTCCAGCCGGATACTTACAACCTCCCTATTATCATAAAAATAATCCGAAGTAAGTCATTTTTTATAAATGATATAAGGTTGAACTGAGATGGTATATTTTTAATAACGGTGGAGTTATAGGGCCAATGCAACGTCGTATATTAAATCGGTATTTGAATGAGGTTAACTACATGTTTAAATATGGTGAGAAATTACTCTTGGCTTAAGAAATGACGGGGTAAAATCACTCGCCAAACAATAAATGGTTCTTTGATAAGTATAACTATTACATCAAAATAAAAGCATGGTCGTAACATTTAATCTATGAGCAAAAAGCAAAATTGCAAAATAAGCGATTGATTTTCGTTGCATGCTATGTATATATGATATCTGACTGCTGGGAAGATTCGTCAATGTTGCATGTATAGTACAATGCACTGTAATATAAATGATGTACACAATTATAGATATCTCAATTTTGGTGCGATCGGAATGACCATTGGACATGAGATGACACATGGCTTCGATGATCAAGGTATTAGACCATGGTATGAAATTCCTAGGACGCCTAATGTAGGATCTGGTAACACAATATACCGCAGCGATGTTTGACTTCATATTGACATACCTAAACATGTCCAGTATTGTTTTTTATTACAGTCGTTTAACATTCCTCGGGCTTTTGGGATGAATTATGTGTGTTATTAGCAGGGGTAAAAAAACTTAGCAAAAACGAAATCCCTCTTTTTACAATTTGGAGTACATACTGCTGCAGAAAATTATATGAAATAAATTTTGATAGTATGTTTTCTTCCTCAACTATAAATTTGACGTTATTTTCCTTAAAAATACAAACAAATTACGTTATCAGTAGGTCAACATTTTGAATTGTTTCTTCGCTATTTGTAATGTAAATGGTATCGATGAATCGTTTTCATATAAGAATGATATCGGGGTCTTAATGCGTTTTGAGATATGAATTGTCAGTGTCAGGGGTCAACTATCAATGAATGAGGATTTATTGCTCTTCTTTGACTTACTGTGGCTATGGCTAAAACTATTTTTCCCTTGGAGGCTGCTCAATTACAAAACAACGACCAAAACCTGGTCGAATTCATGAAGTTTTGAGAAAAAATGGTTTTGATTTTCATCAAAAATATTATGATAGCCAACAGTAATGCCTAAGAAGATATATATATAACCATCCGAAAAGTTAATGATATGCAGCAGTAACGTCAAAAGAGAACAGCAAGGCGTTCGATTGCATGTCTCTTATAAACTATTAGACATACCCTCTGAATATATAAACGCTCTAATTGTATTGTATTCTTTATTTACCTCTTATATAAGAGAGTTACAATTGTACATTAATTGTGAATTAATACATAAATAAGAAAATAGATAAATTATTTGCTCATGTTTATGAAATGAGCGAAGTTGCGAGCGTTGCTTGTCTCTTGATATACATTGAATGAATTATTAAGACAGCTTGCAATGCAAGATCGTCGTTTGTACAATTTAAGATCAGATTGATGCGATCCTTAACACTACTTGTATCGTTATATTTATAGATTTCGTTTAGTGCTAACCTTTCTTCAACATACAACTCGCAATGGCAAAGAAAATGTTCGATTGATTCAATTTCATTTAAGTTGCAGACATTGCACAATCGACCATTTTCTTTTGAGATATCCCACTTTTTGTGACCGTTTAGACCTAATTGACCAGTCATTAACTTCACAACAGTTGTAAATTGTTTTTTCAATCGTGGCATCCTTTGACACAAAACATACCAGCTATTTGGAATTAGACATGAGTGACCATTGATAAAATAGGATAAACCTTCGTATATCATGCATCTTATTCGAAACATTGATTCTTGTAGGTCTCAAATTCGACATTTTACTAGACGTTTCCAACTACTTTTGGAGATCATTTGTCCATCTAACATTAGTTTTACAATTTCCAAAAGATCGTATTTCCTGGCCGTGCACCACATGTGTGCGATGGGGGATGACATTTTAATTCCTTTAAAGTCAAATTCCATAAGTGTCATTCGTAAAATCAACAGTCTTTTATGTTGTTGCAAGGCAAACTCAGTAACATCCATGTGAACATTAGTTTTGCTGTATCGATCTGGTATTCTATACCTTCCCATCCAAGTGGCTCGTAGGCTACGGGGCATTCCGCCCATTCGGGAAAGGATTGTATTTTCCTGCCAATACTTCTAAAACATTCAAATAGATATATATGTTACACGTGGGCCATTGTTTTATGTTTTATAAAACGTAGACGATTATTTCTTGTTTGACCCCTGACGATGATAGGGATAGTTTATTTGAATAAAACTTTCAAACTGTAAAAACCTCATATGTTTGAAACTATGATTTTTTCTAAATAATTCAGATAATTTTGTTGAATGTGTATGACAAATATTTGAAAAATGAACAAAAAATAATAAGCACATTTATGTATAAACACTATAGGCCTAATTAATTACTGAAAACTACATTGTAATTATAATTAGTTTCGACTAAATGATGATCAAATTTATTGTAATTATGTTTAGATTAACGACTTGCGTCTTCGAAAAATTCGAATTAAAATGTTTGCGTTTTTGACCCTTGTAACGAGAGACACATTTCTACCCAAAAAGCCCGACGTTTCTTCAGCAAACGTATTTTTAAATGATAAAAAACATGGACCTCCTTAGATATTGGTTCTCATGTTGCTGTGCTATATTGTGCTACGGATTCTTCATATTTCGGAATCATACCATGGACTACTGTTTACACATAATCTCGGTACTGCGTATCGTTAAAATAATTTACTCCCAACAGCATCTTCTAAGAAAATATTTTCATCATATTTTCAAACATTTTAGCACAAGTATGCATGCTTATCAATATATTTTCTCAATTAACCAATTTGTTTTCAGGTAGATTGTATGACAAAAACGGAAACTTATTACAGTGGTGGCCAGATAATGTCATTAAAGAATTTAAGGATCGTGCTCAGTGTTTCGTAAATCAATATGGGAATTTCACAATACCAGAGATAAATATGAATGTAAGTAATTTTAAAAATATCATTCACCAAAATGGAGATGTTCAAATTTTATATATGATTCCGATTGTGATTCGATTTTAGATTTCTGTGTAAGTGTATATATTTTTATATCAAAATGACTAGGAAATAATTATACTTGATTTTAAAACAAATTAATTTTGTGTCGCCGTCTCCGTTTTTAACTTTTGATCCCCCATGCTAGGGAATATAAGATTAGGGGATTAAGAGGCTGTATTATCCCCAAAACTGAACGACAGAATTTCGGGTTTTTGCACATTGAAAAATTATTATTTTGAATTATAAGAAAATGGTAATTATACACCCCTCCCTATAAATTTACATCATTTCCAATACCTAAGTTTTTACAAATGGTCGGACATCAATGACAAATCCGATGAAATTTTGAATTCTTTCATTGCTCCGAACCCATTATTTCACAATATTAGGCCATGGAAGTTCAAGGTCACAACACACAGAAGGTCAATGTAAGGTCGATATTCGATTCAAGCTCCATAAATCTAAAAAAAGTTAAGATGTCAATATGTTACTTTTTGTGTTTAGGAACTACTAGATTATAGTATCCTGTGTTACTTTTAAGGGTGCTAAACAGGTCAATATGTCAACTGATTGATAAGTCAAAGGTCCCCTAACCAAAGTTGAGAATTATAAAATAAAAAATATTTCATCTTATTTAAAGTAAGACTTGGAAAGAATATATAATTAATAAGATCATAAGATTGTATATTTTGTTTTCTATTTTTAGGTAAATGGCATCAACACCCAAGGCGAGAATATTGCTGACAATGGGGGTTTAAAACAAGCATTAATGGTATGTTATGTAATTTTCCAAATGTTATTTAAAGCAGGAGGCTACCTATTTATTATAATATTTCCTATTCCTTTCCTGTAAATGTGATCGTGCCTGAAGTTAATCCGATGAATAATTCCATTGGCTGTTATTAAAGGCATATAGGAGTTGGGCAAAAGAACAGGATGGAAAAGAAAAGGGACTCCCTGGGTTGGATCTGAATAACGAACAGCTTTTCTTTCTCAGTTATGCTCAGGTAATTATAACCCGGAAAGTCATCGGGGCTGACGTCTCCAGTTATTCAATATAATATTACTGCAAAACATTAGTTAGAAAGATAAGAGTCGGAAAGAATTTACAAGCTTTATTCGGCAATTGATGATTGGTTTCTTCAACATAAAGATACAAGTCACCACGTACTCCTTAAAAACGTAAAATGTGCAGTGTTTATGCGTTTCTTATGTTTTATACCTCTGCTTTGATCATTTTTTGCTTTTTATCAATTCTTTGTAGACGTTTTGTGAAATGGAAAAACCAGAGTCTTTAATAAACTTGGTTAAAACGTTACCGTACCCACCTGGAAGGCTAAGGTACAGTTCGCGTATATTTATATACTATATTACACATAATGTGACCTCAGCGGCCCATTACATATTTCATGCATATCATTAAGCTATTATTTTGGAATAATAAGATAGTCAATCAATATGATTTTCTGGATTTGTTTTGCATTAACTATTTGCTTTGATCGAATACGTATCCATTAACATCAGACACCATTTAATTTATCCAAGTGCATGATATTTTGGCTTTAAACATTCATAACGATAGTATCATTGCATCACTTGCGTTTCCTTCATTCCAGGGTATTAGGAAGTCTACACAATTGTCCCGATTTTTCCGAAGTGTTCAACTGTAATAAAGGGGACAAAATGAATCCTATAAACAAATGCAAATTATGGTAGAATATTGAACGATGAAGTGAGTGGGTCTAGAATGACTGGATGCAGATGCTTTAAAATATAGTAGTGGAGATTTATGATTATGATATCAAGCCCTTGGAAATATAATTTGAATCTTTGAATTTTTATTTTTATTATGTTCATTCTAATAGTGTATATATTTAAGGAAAATTCTGCACTACTTTAAGTTCAATTAAAGTTTATTTAGATCTACAGGTTGTCAAATAAATATATTCTCTCCCTCTAAGCCTAAACATCCACACCATGTTGCAGAACTTTTTGCCAGTATGATCACGAATTGTTCTTTAGCACATTAAAACTAAGCTTGATGGAGCAACTCCACGAGATGACTAGCTCAACAAGATGTACTTGTATTTTGGAAATTGAGATGGGAGAACATATTTATTTGATACCCTTAAATATAAATATGAATACAGATACATACGGGATATACATGATATACCATCTTGATAGATTGTAAACTACAGTATTTCAATTCCACTTAGCTTAGTTTTTTTATGTAACTACCTCTAAATGGTTACATACTTGTTAAAGTTTCCAACTTTTTGTGGACAGTGTTATATTTCTTTTCGATGCAAACGAGGTCGTGACATTTAAACCAAAATTTATATCGACAAAGAACTACATATCAGAACGTTAATACAATTTATTACATACTGTATTCGAAACACAAATAACCTACAAAATAAATATGTTTGGCATAGGGAATACACCCACCAGGGTATTAGCTACACGAACAATTTGCGAGGTGAAGATAATATAAGATTCCCTCCTGATAAGGCTAAAGTATACTCTATAAGTTATATGTAATATAATGAATATATATAATGGATCATAAAAACGTATACTCCAGAACTTATATATAATATAAGGAACTTAAGAAAGGAATATAAGAATTTATATGTAATTATAAGGATAACTATATATGTAATGTGTAATGTAAGGATAAGTTATAAACAATACTAAGGAATAAGTATAAATAATACAACAACGTACTCTCAAACTTCATGAAATTATATTAAAATCGTTAGGGTGAGCCAATAATAAAATACCAAGTAGATTCAACAATGATAAAAATATACATAAAATAAATGCAGAAATGTATCGTTTCTATTTTTCATTACCCACGCCTAACCATCGCGTAAGCAGGCGTCACCGTACAGCGTCAAAAAATACAGTAGTACAGTTTTCTGTACGGTGACGAAAATTAACTGAGTTGAAGCAAAAACTATAATGAGGGTTTTAAAAAGATTAATTAGATGAAAATAAATACGATTTCGGGTGTAATGAAAACAGCATTCTCTTAGGAATGGTTTTAACTTTCTAATTATGATAAAAGTTTTTCGAGCACTGCTCGAATTTTTTCTGACTGGATCGGCCCACATAATCGACTCGAGAGAAAAATGGTGTTTTTCACTTTTCGTTTGGTTATTATTTTCCCTGTCGTCTGAGAGTATGGATTATTTTTATGAGAATATGTATTTGTTATCTACACATTTTAGAACAGATGAATATTCGGCAAATAATCATTCAGTGTATTTATTTAAAAAAGATAAGAACTGTACGGTGACGCATCAGCTGTACGGTGACGCTTCCTTAGATTTTATGAAGTGCTCTAAGCTTACTGTTTGAACAAGAGGTAAAGAAGCGTCAGATCTACATGTACATTATCACTGGTAAGTATCAAGCGACAGAAGTATTAATTTCGATATTTTTAGTTTTCATGGAATTAACTATTTGAAAGTTGACGTAATGCTTTGGTATCATTTGAACTAAACCAGGCTTTTCTCATATGACTAACAAAGATAGCCTACACAGCCATCTTTACCCCATGCAAGATATTGCATCTTTCATCCTAAAAAGTTACACGTGCAAGATGAGATTTACTTGTGACAGCCCTTGTTTTAAAACATCAATAACATAGCAACAAGAGAGTTTTTGGTTTCATGATCGATCTTTACCGTATCATACATTTCCAGTAACCTTCCATTAAGCTGTGGAAGATATCGTTAAACTGTAGCGCCCATGCACTATATATGAACAAATGATCATACTCCAGAGTTTCCATTTCATACAATCATTTAGTTCATCAAAGCATAGCGTCACCGTACAGCTGGTGCGTCACCGTACAAATTTGATCTTTTTTAAATATACATAATGAATGGTTGTTTGCTGAATCTTCGCCCGTTCTAAAATGTGTAAGTAACAAATACATATTCTCATAAAAATAATCCATACTCTCAGACGGTAGGGAAAATAATAACCAAACAAAATGTGAAAAAAACAACCTTTTTTCACTCAGGTCGATTATGTGGGCCGATTCACTCAGAAAAAATCCGAACAGTGCTCGTAAAACGTTTATCATAATCAGAAAGTTAAAACCATTTCTAAGAGAATGCTGTTTTTATTTCACATGAAATCGTATTAGTTTTCATCAAATTAATTTTTTTAAACCCTTGTCATAGTTTTTGCTTCAAAGCAGTTAATTTGCGTTACCGTACAGAAAACTGTACTCCGCTGTACTGTATTTTTTGACGCTGTACGGTGACGCCTGCTTACGCGATGGTAAGGCGTGTTACCGTATATTACAAATACATCTATATTCATTAGGCTGGAAACCCGAACATTCTCACAGTCCAGCTGAGTTGATCCCAACACCAAAGTATGTTCACTGTTCAAGGGCCACAATCTCTCTTGATGCACAGTGTGATGCATAAAGCACAACCGACTATGAATCGCAGATAAGCAGTTTGAGTTATGGGGAGACGTGACTATAGGAATGAAATACTTCCATTACCGCGCATGCGCTGAAATCCGAACCAAGTTTAATCGAATCCCGCGCAGATTACCCGTTCACTGAATAACTAAAACGCTACGAACTGTAGTGCAGCTGCATCAGGTAATGTCATGCTAGCATTTGTGTATTCACTGATAAAGATGTTTATGCTTACAAACAGGGCTATAACTAGTCAATTCAAGTAGTAAAATACACGTAGAGGTCGTAGAATAAAGGGGAGGTCGCCAAAATCGTATGTGATTCACTATGTCCAGAGATACTGCGGCTAAAGGAATATTTGATGATATCAATAGTATCAAAGGGGAACAGACAATACTACACGATGCACTCGGAGTACCTTTCCCAGTGAATGAGATCGATGGTTTCTACTACTCTCCTGTAGTGAGGTTTACTTTACATGAGGAAATGAAGACTTTGAAAATCAGGGAAAATGACATCATCTTCTGCTCTTATCCACGATCAGGTTTGATATAAGTTATGCTTTGTTGAAAAGACGCCATCGACCTTTGCGTGACCCTGTTCGGCTTTGAGTGACCCTATTCCCTTTGGGAGTAGTCGAAAATTTCAGCATGTATTCTAGATTTCAGCGTGTATTCTAGATATCTGTACATGCACTCATTTCAATGCCCAAGATAAATTATCACGGGTTCTTACAAAAAGCAAATAATCTTTTGTTCCTTTAATATGTATATACAAAATTGCCTGGTAAAAATATTGCACATGGATTTCCAAGACCCCCTAAACACCCCCCCCCCCCCTTCCAAAGGCCGTTGGATTTACATGACAGTTACCAAGGTCTTTGAGGGGATTGTTTTACACTTTTTTGACATATGTTCAATTATCTATATAGGTCAACACTGGATGTGGAACATTGTTTACAGATTGACACATGACATGAATGAGGCTCCAAACGGTTATGAAGCATTCTGCATGCCTGAAATGGTTTCACATGGTTTAGATGAAGTACCTTCACCTCGGCTTATACGTACTCATCAATTACCTGATTCGCTACCCCAGGACATATGGAAGTATAGTGGATGCAATTATATTTTACAACTTCAGCTGTTTTCAAATATACAAATATGCCGCTATGATTTATCATCTTACATGTTGATCTTAATTTGACGAAAATGATACTATTTTAAACATTTCAAGACAAGAAGTATGACAGTGAAATAATGTAAGACGGAATTACATGTACTTCGAGAAAACTGGAATGAAATTCAATAGGTGCGGTGTAATGAAATTAATAAAAAGATAAGTATTGTGACTGTGTACTATTTCTTAGATACACATGTGATGATTTAATCAAATTATTTTATATTATACAGGAAGAAATGCAAGGTCATCAATATTGTCCGCCATCCTAAGGATGTTTCATGTAGTCTCTATAAGCACCTCTCAACCTGGATGGCATACGAGTATGATGGCACATGGCAGGGTTTCCTACCTAGCTTTCTGAAAGAAGAAGGTAGGTTTCTTTCAATATCAGGTCACATCTGGCTACAAACGTGTTGTAGTTTTATGCAGATAGTGGGAATTTAATTGTTTCAAACAAAATAAATTATTCAACTTGTAATGAATATTTGTACCCCCTTTATTATATTGAGACTGATGTCTTAGATGTTAGTTTTACACACCATTAAAGATCATCCAAAGCTTTATTGAAATAAAGAAGTTCATAATCCTAAACTTTAACGTTCTGACTATGTTACACATTTATATAAGTGAAAAAACACAAATTCCGATTGTATTGATGTTGGAATTGATAATGTAAACACTAGTTATCAATTCATCATTTGTTGTACATTTTTATTTCAGTTCCTTGGAACGGATGGTTCAAACATGTACGAGCCTACAGCAAGAAAGCCGAAGAAGCTGACATTCTGCTTGTCACTTATGAAGAATGTAAAAGGGTTCGTACCTAATACCTATATTCCATACATAATATTACTGCTGAATAAAATTATTCGGATTTTTGATGGCAAATTGATGTTAGCTCTGTGATATTATATTTTGGTATTTGGTTACAATATTAGCCTTCCTCTTCTTAGAATTTATCTTTCAGCTTTTAGTGAAATAACTTGAGTATGCATACATATCTTGTGATTTTAATGTATTTTGAATTTTGGAAGGATATCTTAGACATTGTCTAGGATGATGGAAAGTTGTTTCTTTAATACCAATTGTGTTTTAGATTGATAATTGTTTTTTGATATTTTTCTTTCTGATTAAATGCATAACCGTTTCTCTTCTTTTTAATTATTCGATATAATTGGTACATTATTGATATGTAAAATCCAGCTGATCCTTATTCATCATTAACAGGACACATTGGGAACCATAAGAAAGTTAGCAAAATACATCGGCGTAGAAAGAAGCGAAAAGGATTACAAACAATTGGTGGAGGACACACGTATTGAATCAATTCAGACAAGGAATGTAGACTATAATGCGTATTCAAAGGGTGGTCGGGGAAGCGATGTTATGTTCAGACAAGGTAACTAAATACATAGAATACATAGAATGAAGAAAATTCATCCTAGATAAATACTGACTAACAATATATATCGTTGAGAGGACATGTACTTTACATACTCATTAATCAAGCTAGGTTATCCTAACGTTCCGATTCTTTTTATTTTTAGGTAAAGTTGGGGATTGGAAGAATCACTTTACTGAAGCACAAAACGAAATGTTCAACAACGTCTACAAGGATAAACTAAAGGATATGACGCTTTTGTATGACAATATTCTAGACTCTTAACTGCGTTTAAACGCACTCGGAGGGATGTGTTACGCATATACACCCCATGCAGACAGATCGCCTAAAATTACAATCGTAACTTATTGTAAAACAATTTATAATTTCAAGTGCCTTTTTCTACTAAATACAATTTTGAAAAAACTTCGGCTAATCATATGTCAAGTTAAAGGCAGTTGCCCAGCGATGGGTAACACTTCGAATACATAGTTTATGGTACCATGCATCATGGCCGATTGTGTTTTTCTAAAATTAAGTTATGGTTAGTTACAGTTCTAAGGTTTACGAGTCTCTGTTGAATTGCATATTTCGTATATCACCCCATGCAGACAATTACATTGGTATGATGCGAGACTCGACATTCAACAAAAAAGTAGAAACATTTTGCCACCCATTTTGCAAATTATATAACCTCAATCACCAGTTCAAGACATACAATACAAACCCACGTGTTACCACGGAATGGGTTGTTCATTAGATATCCCCGTGGTTGATCGATTCTAGGCTACAAATAATGATATTTTGGTGAGATTAAAAAATAAGGAGAAATAAAGAATTGAACCTGAAATTATAGAAATTATAAAAAGATCTGCAACTTCAAAAGCTGTTCTTCAAAATAATGCGTCCCATTTTTTGCTAAAAGCAAAAACTAATTAACAACTTGAATTGCATTGTTTGATTTGAAAGTTTACATACATGCACACTTGGTTAATTTGCTCTTTTAAATATAACATATGTGAGCACCCACCGTACATTGTGTTTGTAGTCCAAATCCATTTATTTGAATAAATTTCGTACATGCAGAACGTATAGTATGTGGTTGATGTTTTGTGTTGTACAAGTGTTTTCAAAGAAACACACACATATAACTGTATGTTCTAACAGAGACGTAAAAACAGTTTTATATGTCTCTGGTTCTAAGCATAACTGCTGAAGCTAAACTGATATTGAACGAGACAACTGTATGCAATAATATATACTACATGTACTATATGCCATTATTTTTGCTTCTTTATTCATTAAATTCAAATATATTCGATATAGGAAATATTTATATTCGCTAAATCATTTTTCCATTCGGTAAAAACGTTAATATGTTTGTTACAGCAAATCAAGTTTTCAAAATAGCCAATCACTTGCATTAAATTACATATTTCATTCGCTAAATGATATGTTTTTTGCGTAAATTGTTATGGTATTCCTTAAGAGTAACACATTATATGCACAATATTGAATTTCTATTTGAACCCTACCGCAATAAGTTTGCCTATATTTACTAAATGGTTTATTTTTCTATGACAAAGTTATGCATTTTACCGAAAGCTTATTTGCTATTTACCGAATGCAATAAAGTAATATTCGATAACTTTCGTTGGTGTTCGATATTTTGTCACGTGACTTTGAGATGTGCAAAATGGCCGCGCAGCTATTCTACATCGTTCAAATATATCACGTGACTGAAAGTCTCGTAAAGTATCGAAAAATAACGAAATTTATCGAATGTGGCATTCGGTATTTACCGAATATAAATAATTTAAATACCGAATGTACAAATAATTAATTGAATTATACGTGCGTTAAGGAAAACAAATTGATTCGCCGCATCACACAAATACATTTATAAATATCAAATGTGAATGCCAATACAAAGAACAAGTGAAACTATTTAGCGAATATAAATTGTACAGATTATTACATTCGATAAAATAAAAAACATTCAATAGATTGGGTAAAGGTTTGGTAAATTGTTTGTTTTATTTGATATTAATGGAATATTTAATGTACCGAATAAAGAAGCAGTTTAAACACCATAGTACTAGTATGCTCTATGGTAAACGTTTTCGTTTCTTATCTTTCAAACATTTAACCTTCTCTATCCCGTATGAATACAGCTTGTTATCTACAGTAATTTCATTGCTTTTTGATTAGCATTCGGGACATCGGGGCATAGGTCTCTTATAAAAAACATTATATGTACGTACTGTCGGAATATAAAGTAAAGTGTTATAGAAGGAGTACACATATTTAGACGCAAATCAACTAACATAGATAATGGCTCAGGATAACACTCCAGTTGGAAGGATATTCGAGGAAATAGGAATAAGCCATATCAAAGGAGAACAGACAATTCTATATGATGCACTCGGAGAGCCTTTCCCAGTAAATGAGATCGATGGCTTTTACTACCCACAAATCATCAGACCCGATCTACATGAAGTGATGAAAACTGTGAACATCAGAGATGGCGATATTATAATTTGCTCATACCCTCGATCAGGTTGGTTTGGATACATGGGTAGTACATAATATTGTTTGTTTCCATGTTGCTATAATCCGATGCCGCTAAAATCGAGAGATTGTGTTTCAATTATCTTAATATCAACAGTCAATCGACCAATGTGTTAGTTTCATGTCTTGTGTTCTCATTACAAAGTCCTGTATTTAATATTGTTTTTTACAATTTTGACCTCCATGTTAAGTATCGCTTCATGTTAAATGCTGCTCATTTAACTAGGTCAACACTGGATATGGAACATCATTTACAGATTGACTCACGGGATGGAAGAGGCACCTAGTGGTTACGAAGAGTTCTGTATGCCGGAATTAGTAGGTCAAGAACTCGATAAGGTTCCATCACCTAGGGTACTACGAACTCATCAGCTCCCAGATACTCTACCTAAAGATATATGGAGGTACATGAGCGGGTGCTTGGTTCTTCTGTTTATGTAATTTGAATATTTTCAGTTATTATCCAGACTACATTGTTGAAATGCTGTTTGGTTGATATATGCTTCGCCTCATTGTAACATGACATTGTATTATTTTACAGAAAGTCTTGCAAGGTCATAAATATCGTTCGCCATCCTAAGGATGTGGCATGTAGTTTTTTCATACACCATAAAACCTGGGAACCATATGGGTACGATGGAACTTGGGAGGGATATTTACCCATGTTTCTTAAAGGAGAAGGTACTTTTACTAACATAAGCACATAGTTATAGATCTGAAAGTAGAAACCTTTTTCAAATTGTTGATTTTACAGTATATCGATTTTTATAATTGATTTTGGTTTATAGTTTAATCAAGAATTTTATCATTTTATCTATTTTTCGATTACTTCAAAATTGACCAGAAAGGAGGAAAGGGGATTTCAAAAAGACATGCCCTTATAAAGCTTCGTTTGTCTCGAATGATTTTCTGTGGACCGATTAAATATTTTTTAGGATCCCTATACTACATGGTATCGTTTATTTCAGTTGCATGGAATGGATTGTTCAAACATATATTAGCCTACACCAAGAAAGCTGAAGAAACAGAAGTTATGTTAATCACGTTTGAAGAATGTAAAAAGGTTTGTTTTATATAATATAATTTATTATAATAACTGCACGCATATCCATATATCCTTTACTTACCCCTTGCCATTCAAAACACAGTGGTATAACCATGTTATAATATATTTCGCAACAGAACCGGGAACAGAACATCGCTTTTATAGTTTTGACCTAGAATCGTTGATATTGACTTTCTACTCATCAGTAGATATCTCAGTGGACAAATAAAATAGTGTCCATGAACTTGGTTTCCATTTAAAGACAGACTTTCTGAACCACCTGGTTGCTCATTAGACCTTATAAGGCAAGTCACATCCATTAGGCTTGTCAATCAAATCCTTATCCAATCAGCTAATAGTGATGCTTTATGGGATAATATTTATGTTTATAAACATAACAAAAGCACATGTTATAATTTCATACTTTACAGTCAGTGAACATGAACTGAATGATAGCAATTGACCAACATTTTTTTAACCAAGAGTCTTCATAATTTTGTTATGCTTGCTACATAGATTTTCCAGTTAATATATGTAAAGTAAATGTAGGTCTCCTTTAGGTAAATTGATTCATGTTCTAATAACCCCTAACATCTTAATTTGATATCATAAAGCAATTGCTTTTGGGGTCATTTCAAGAATTAAATGTAGATACCAGCACAAAAGCTTGAAATGTATGGGAAATTCTGTACAAATTGAAAACTTGTATTGGTTCTTTCATCTGGTCCCTACCTACCACAAAGGGTTGCACTAAGTCATGCCCTTCATTTATGCAATAATTCTGCACTTTTCAACCTCTATTACCATGTTGTTCCAGGGTGTCTCCAAATTTGAAATTGATGATCTTTTATATTTATGTAACCATATGCAAATGGTAAGAGATAATGTCCCATTTCCTAGGGTTGTTCCATATGAGACCCGTTCTTATAAATTTTCTCTAAGGTAAAAAACCTTTGTAAACAGGTTTTTGGACAAGTGGAACATCAAAAGTAGTGACTTTGTCCTTGTGTTGTTCAGGAGACCTCATTCTTACACAGTCATTATACAGTGAACACGTCTCAACCATCAGAAAAATAGAGTGCTGATGTTCAAGATTGAACTAACAGGATATGAAACAATAAATTAAAGACAGAGCTATCTTCACACTGAATTGCCGAAAGTACTCGTAAAAGCAAGTTTGAGCAAAAAGAAACTTTTGTAAAATCATCAAACTCTAGAAAAGGCAATAGATGAGTTTCTTATATCAATGTTAGCCAAGTGAACCATGGCCAAGCACATTGTAGTAATCTCAAGTCTTTGGAACAGTATACAGTTATCTTGAAGTCTTTTACATCAAGCAAATACATTGGATTTTGTAATTATATAATGTCTTTGGAGTCATATCTTTAATATACCATATGTAGGTAAGTAAATGACACATTTCTTATGATTAACAGTAGTATGAATTATGTTTTATTGAAATGTATAACATGTGCTTTTGAAAGATTTACAAACAAACTTTAAATCATGTGACCCTGAATACCTCACCTCATTGGTTGAAATTTGAATTAGGCCACTCCTCTTAATTAAAAAAATTACCAATTTTCAAATAAGGATTTCTAAAAAAAGTAATGCATAATTGCAATAATTGATTAATAGATTTCAAGGAGACTGTATTCATAAACATCTGTGACAATTTTTATGGTGATCTGTTGGCTACAACTAACAGAAAATCAAAATTATTCCTCTTGATTAGAATTTTTCATATTCCTAATATTTTCAAATTTAAAATGACTCCATTTTTACTGGTCAAGCTGCTTTTATAGTGGAGGCTCTGTCTTTAAGATTAAAGATGTGTATAGGACATGTAGTTTGATCACGAACCTTCTCTAATATATTTTTTGTCCTTTCTCTTTGGCACCTGTGCGTACATATTTATTTCACAATATCACAGTCTCATTTTCTTCAAAGTCTAATTTTATAATATTTTGTCAAGAGAACAAAAAATGTTTGGTTTAAACATATTTTGCTGCAGGACTACAAAGAAATTAGAAAAATACATTTAATTTTATCATATTTTGTTACAGAATACTATACTTAGGAAAAATATCGAAATTAGGAAAATGCATTTGATTTCATTATATTTTATTACAAGACACCTTAGGGATAATTAAGGAAATAGCCAAATGCATTTAATTTTATCACATTCTGTTACGGAATGCATTTTGAACAAAAAAAGGAATGAGTCAAATGCTGTCCATTTGATTTCATCACATTCAATTACAGGACACCTTAGGAACAATATAGGAAATTAGCCAAATACAATTGATTTTAACATATTGTTACAGTACATCTTACCCCCCTATCACACCAAACTAGTTCTTACCCGTTCTTGCCAGTCCTACGAAAACGTCGTAAAACGGGCTCAATCTGGCTGTGGTCGGGAAATATGTCTGAAATAATTAGCTTCTTCGTTCTTAAACAGTCTTCAATACGTCCATCTCGTTCGCAGTTCGTTCAGGTCGCACCACGTCGGTGTGCAACGTCGTAGAACGCGTCCCTTAGTTTAGAAGGTCAACATGACCTGATTATAGAACGGTATGGTCGCCATCGAACTTTGAATCGATTCAAAATTCTAAAATCACATTCCCGTCTGAGAACGTTCATAAAGTTCGTAAATAGACCTTAGAAAGTTGCAGCTACGTTCATTCCGTTCGCACACAGTTTAAAACCAGTTTTGAAGAACGCAGTGGCAACTTGTTTGGTGTGATAGCTATATTTTTGCTAACTCGTTCATAAGCAGTGTTAAATACGTTCTTAATCAGTTTAAACCCGTTTGCAATTAGTTCTACGTCGTTCTCAACACGTCCTCAGACAGTTCGACTCGTTGTTAAAACGTCCCTAGTAGGATTGAAGTACGACGGTTCCGTTCGTAGTACGTCCAGCTCATCGTTAGTACGTTGTCACTCGTTCTAATTGTAGAACGTGACGACCACGAGAAGATTTTGAGCATTGTCTAAGTTCTAGAGGACCTACCTGTTCGAGTACGTTCGATGAAGTTTGTAAATAGATCCCAAACGGTTCTTAGTAGGTCCAGTCCGTTCGTACACAGTTGAAGCCCGTTTTCGAGAACGTAGTGAGAACTAGTTTGGTGTGATACTAGGGTTAGGAACAATAACGATTGGCCAAATACTGTCCATTTGATTTCATCATATTCTATTACAGGATACCTTAGGGGTAATAAAGAAATTAGCCAAATACATAGGCCATGAAAGGAGCGAAGATGATTACAAACAATTGATAGAAGACACGCGTATCGAATCGATTCAGTCGAGAAACAGAGAATACGATGCTTATTCAAGAGGTGGTCAGGGAAACGATGTTATGTACAGACAAGGTAGCCAAGTATTACAAAGATATTTCATTCTAATTTCGATGAAGCCCTACATCAAGTGATATTTCACGAAGCTGTGGGAGCTATTATACACATATTATAGTTTAACACAAATATTTTATTCTATTGTCCGTAAATCCTTCACAGATCATATTTCAAGAAGCGAAATAGTGGAAAATCATCTTGTTCAAGTGTTCTTGTGTATTCACCGACAATGGAATGAAATATTTGTTTAAGTATCATTGCCAGGCTTGCCACGTTAAATATTGTCAGGTCTTTTGTTTAAACCATGATGAATGAATTTAAACCTCTATTGACGTCTGATCAACATCTTGACCTAAGTTATTCATCAGTTGTCAAAAGACTAGTCTCGGTTTGGAGAACTTAGTTCATCAGTTTACGGCACATTTCGCCTGCTTTGGACAATTTTGATATTTGTACATATTGTAGATTTAAATATCCTCTTTTGAATCTTTATAATTCAATTTGGGTGATATGTCCTTCTTTGAAAATTTATAATTACATTTCGGTGCTTTTTCTATATTTTTCATGAAAAAATATTATTAGCCCAGGAGACTGTTCTCCAAACCTAGACTTGTCCTTTAATAAGCATGTCAAGCTTGATCGCCTGATTTTCACAACATGTGATCCGATTTTGACCAATCACAAAATTGCAAGCTTGGCAGTGATTTAAGATGTTTTAAAAATAATGAAGGGATACAATTTACAGTTTCGACATTATGTCACATACGTTTCGGAGAGCTTGGTTGACCATTACGAATTTGTCCATGTTTCATAATTGGTAAGATGGTGATCCTTGTAGATTTCTTATCATAATTATTTTATTTTGTACCGTCTTTGCTCCAATGACAAGATGTTCTTTTTCAGGTAAAATCGGAGATTGGAAGAATAAATTTACTGTGTCACAAAACGAGATGTTCAATAAAGTTTACAAGGAGAAAATGAAGGGCACGTCATATGTGTATGACAACATTCTAGACTCTTAACAAAGCGAAGTGTTTGTCTGAGAATCTACCTCTTCAACATTTCACCACTAGTACAGTGTTACCTGATGTGCAAATTAATGATCATAAACAATAAAACATTACAAGATAATATACTCTTTTTACTTTCATTTTTCGAAGTTCAATTTGAAACTTCAAATCTTCTACATGGTTTCCAATATTGTTGGGCATCCTTTGATGATTATTATTAATAAATAATGTAAATTATATGCCAATGAAAGGGAAACTTTTACTCATCAATCCAAAAATCGTGTCCATATTTAACCACGTTTGACAATGCCAAAAAATTCATTTTTATCATACAATATAAAAACTAATATGTCTGTCATACTCAACTTCATCAACAGTACGTGGTATCAGAAAAGAATAAATGAAGCCATCTTATGATCTTATTTTCGACACTAATGTCAAACAAACTTCTCAAAGGTTATGTATTTTATTGTATTATATACACCCTTATTAAACAGTGTAGTATTGTAGTAGTTTGTATTATCATCTTATCTTGTAGATTTTAGCTTAACCCATGTACGCTGTATTTGTGGTAATGCAATATATAACTAAATAGAAATTAAAAGTATTAAACCTATAAAGATAGGTTACAGGGTGTTCATCAGTTATTGTTAAGAGTATGTCAAGAGTATAGCATGTATGTGTAAGAGATTTGGGGATCAGTGCTAATATGTTAAAAGCTGTCTTAATTGAAATCAAAGTATCTCCATTTGAAAAACATGGTGGTTGTAGATATTCGTTGGTCATATCTCGTACTTAGATACTGTTGATTTATATGATATTATATGTGATCAAAACATATCCTTTCTGTTTTTATCATTGATTAAATTATTCCTTGTAGAGGATGTGCTTTTTGAATGCCATGTTACGACTATGAGAGTTCGATAGGTTCGTTATAGTTTGCTGATATTATTCTAAAATCAAATCTTCAGGATGGGGTCAACATGTTGCTATCTACTTTTATCTCTATACATTCTTTACAAACACACATGTTCGTATTGTTCTCTGTTTAATATTTTTAATGAGTAGTGGCATTACACGTTCCCAACTTAATATTCGGACGTGTATTAACCAAAACATATAATGGCTCGGCAGAACTCACCAAATGATGGAATGTTCAATGAAATAAACCGTATTAAAGGACAACAGACAATGCTATATGATGCGCTCGGAATACCTTTTCCGGTGAATGAGATTGATGATTATTACCACCCTCAATTTATAAGTTCCAATGTACACGAGGTTACAAAGACTTTGGACATCAGAGATGGCGATATTATGCTTTGCTCATACCCTCGATCAGGTTTGTTTCTAATTTTCTGAGAATAGTGAATCAAATTGTTTGTTTTCTTTGTTGCGCATTTGTTTGTTGAGGACAACCTACAGTTTTTCAGGTGTATTGATAGCATAGGCTAAGGTCGATAGAAATAATTTTTTAAATAAAGATGGCATGGATCTGTGTTTATTTAGAAATATTAAAACTTCTGTTGGTGCTGCCATCTTTATATCGGCCCTGAACCTATGATTGATAGAATGACCATTATCACATGTCAGCAACAATCGATGGAGCAATATATCTATTTAATGTATAGTCCGTTATATGTTCATTACATAGTCCTTAAATCAGTGCATATACATGATTCCTATTTTACCCAAAAGTAAGTGTAACGTAAGTTATGTTAAATGCTGCTCATTTAACTAGGTCAACACTGGATATGGAACATCATTTACAGATTGACACATGGAATGGAAGAGGCACCCAAGGGTCACGAAGAGTTTTGTATGCCGGAATTAGTAGGTCATGATCTTGATAAGGTTCCATCACCTAGAATACTACGCACTCATCAACTGCCAGATACTCTACCTAAAGATATATGGAGGTACGAGAAGCTGTTTGGTTAACATTATGGTTAACATTATGCTTCACCTCATTGTAACAGGACATTGCATTCATTTTACTGAAAGACAAGGTTATAACTGTAAAAGGACATTATATTTGTTTTACTGAAAGATTTGCAAGGTTATACCATTGTAACAGGACATTGTTTTGTTTTACTGAAATACGTACAAGGTTATAACTGTAACATGACATTATATTTGTTTTACTGAAAGATTTGCAAGGTTATACCATTGTAACAGGACATTGTATTTGTTTTACTGAGAGACGTACAAGGTTATACCATTGTAACAGGACATTGTATTGTTTTACAGAAAGACGTGCACGGTTATACCATTGTAACAGGACATTGTATTTGTTTTACTGAAAGACGTACAAGTTTATAACTGTAACAGGACATTGTATTTGTTTTACTGAAAGACGTACTAGGTTATAACTGTGACATGACATTGTATTTGTTTTACTGAAAGACGTACAAGTTTATAACTGTAACAGGACATTGTATTTGTTTTACTGAAAGACGTACTAGGTTATAACTGTGACATGACATTGTATTGTTTTACAGAAAGACGTGTAAGGTTATAAATATCGTTCGCCATCCTAAGGATGTGGCATATAGCTTATTCAAACACCACTCGACCTGGGAACCATATGGGTATGATGGAACTTGGGAAGGATATTTACCCATGTTTCTTAAAGAAGAAGGTACTTTTATCAATATTCCACGAAGAAAAGCAATCTGAAGTTAATGTAAAATGAGACACCAAAATAACTATATTTATAGAAATACTTTTTCAAGTGGTTTTCTTTTTATCTTCATAATTGATATTTCTCTCTCCAAAGAATTCTTATAAGTTATTTGTACACCTTTAAATGTCTTTAATCTAAAATTGAACGTGAATGGTATATAATAGAAAATGAAAAAAACATAAAATTAAATTGTCGTGGACTGAAAAAATAACTAAGCAAAGGGACCGGATCAAAAACTGTAATGGAATCTAGCAAGAAAAGGCCAGCAAACCCCATATATCCCGAAACCATGATCTAACGTGAAGAGGATGTCTCATACCCCATTTCTTCCACCATTCAGGAACACCAATATTACATTCTAAGATCAGAACACCAAGGGACATCTTAATCATACTGAAGTCATAACAATACATGTTGAAGAAAATTAGAATTGATACTCTACAATACTCATTAATATCAAAAATAGTTGTATATACAAGAGAGACCATTCGGTGATAACATTTATAGGATTATAGGATTATTTACTACAGAATATGGTATTGTTAATTTCAGTTGCATGGAATGGATTGTTCAAACATATAATAGCCTACAGCAAGAAAGCAGAAGGAACAAACATTATGTGTATCACGTTTGAGGAATGTAAAACGGTTTGTTTTATATGAATAAAATTTATTATAATAGCCTTGTCGCATTGTCCTAGATTTAGTAATGTTGTAAGCTGTTGTTTCATTTAAAATTAAAATCGACTTTCTGTATAGTAGTTTGACTTTGACCATCACTCCTTGTCCTAGTACCCTTCTAAGTATTCCTCATTGTCTTCGAAATTTAATATCATGATCTTTCGTCAATCGAAAACCTTAGAATCTATTAAGATATTAGCCAAATACAATTGATTTGAACATAATTTGTTACAGGACACCCTTGGGACAATAAAGAAATTAGCCAAATACATAGGCCACGAAAGGAGTGAAGATGATTACAAACAATTGATAGAAGCCACGCGTATCGAAGCAATTCAATCGAGGAACAGAGAATACGATCCTCTTTCAAGAGGTGATCGGGGAAGGGATGTCATGTTCAGACAAGGTAGCCAAGTATTACAAAAATATTCTATTCGTATCGTCCGCTTATAAAAAAGTTCTGAAATGTTAGATGTTCGCATAAAATATTTTCCTCTTCTAGGAGAGGGCCAATGACCACTATAAATTGAAAATTCCTTCTTAAGCCAGCCGAGTCCTTGAACACTATCAAAATAGCTGCCATTTTCATAAAAATGCAATTTTAATTGTAATTTTAAATGTTTGTGGTAAATTTAAATTTCTCCGATGTCCGTGTGGTATACATTTATATTTTCAAACTTTGCCGTGGATTCGATTTTAAATGCTTCTAATGATCTACAAATACTTACAATGATTTCTATTTGTAATGTTTTGACTTCCCCGGTTCATAAAAACAAGATTATTCGTTCATTAGTTCGGAAATAGAATCATCGGAGAAGGTCTTAAACCATGAAATCAAAGCATGAGAAAAAATTTGGACCATTTTGTCGGCTGTATGTTACAATTTAAATACATGGTAATATTTAATCCAATTTCTACAGATTGTTTTCTTATAGACAAAAAAGTTTCGCTGTAAGAGAAAGATTTTTTGTCATATGGTCGCTCCATCCAATTCGAAATCTGGTTCTCGTGAGCAGACTTATGAACTTAAAGCAGCACCACATAAAAATTTTAAAAGATGGCTACTTGATTAATGAAAAAACATGATTTTTATAAAAGAAATTTATTGTTGAATTGTCATCTTTTCAATTTTTTCTTCAGACGTTTCAGAAATGTTTTTATATGCAGACGATACAAATATAATATCCTCTTGAAACAATCTTGATGACCTTAATACCACAGTAAATAAGCACATTTCTATATAGACATTTCTTATCACAAGTATGTTGTTTTGTACGTTCCTTTGCTCTTTTTCAGGTAAAATTGGAGATTGGAAGAATCACTTTACTGTATCTCAAAACGAGGTGTTCAATAAAGTGTACAAGGAGAAAATGAAGGGCATACCATATGTGTATGACAACATTCTAGACATTTAACAAAGCGATGTGTTTGTCTGAGAATCTACTTCCACAAATTTCACCAGATCTACTGACCAAATGATCATGAACAGTATACTCATAGTCTAATGTAAAACTTTATACAATTGTAGACCTCTCTTGAGGTCAACTGGCAAAATTGTATACCAATACTGTAAACCTTAAAAGTTATGTTGACCGAGACCGGAGGTCGAGGTCAACAGTACAGTCAGGGTTTACTGTTGAGGTATACACTTTGGCCAGTTAACCGAATAGAGAGGTTAACAATTGTTTTGTTAGTCCGAAGAATATAATAATTTGAAGGATATATTATCGAATATCACGTGAACATATTTGATAAGTGTAGGTATCATATTTTAGCAAAAAATCCCCAAACTGTCAAATATTTGTAATTTTTTCACAACTTATTTTTTCAATTTTTCAAAATTAAAGAAAATCAACATTTGAAAAACATTTTTTCAAAAGTAGCGGTCAACAGTACCTAGTAGCTCATCAACCAATCAGAATTGAGTATTTCAATTGAGGTACTAACAATATCAATTGTACACGCTAACATCCTATTGTAATAAACTACAAATCTACTGTAGAAAAAAGTTGCTGGTTCAATTGTCTACAAATTCGTGTACATCATCCAGCAGGGTTACAATGACTCAATGGACCTAGGTTGTTGTAGGATTGCATCGCCAACTGGTCGTCCAGTTCATTGCTTAAACTGCCAGCAACAACAACTTGTCCAAACGTTTGCATAGATTTGATAATACCAAACGGAGATCATGATGTTATTCACTAACATAAATCACCCCCTTGGCACGCTGATACCTTCTTTTATAACGTTAACCAGTACTATTTTTGGACCAAATATATTGGGAATAACACATGATTCATATATGAATTCACAAGGTGTTTTATTTAATAAAGATAGCAATACACTAAAGGTGTTCGTGTCCTTATTCATCTAAACATCCAGGCAGTCGTTGTACAGAAACGGAAAGTCATCCATTTTCTCTTTATATACATGGTTAAATGTTTCACTTTGTTCAGTTGTGAAGTGCAGTTTCCAATCCCCAATGTCGCCTGTAAAGACATAGACACTAATCTTAATTAATTGGTTTGTCTCGGTGCTAAACATTGTATATCATTATTCTATTTCGACGACATTTAAAGGGAATGCGAAGTTTTGTCCCTTAAACTTGATAATAAGTTAGAATAAAGATATATCTTTCAATCCAACTTAGTTTTATTGTTCTATCATTATCCTTTTAATTGTTATTGAGCCCCGGGTTTTGCATATGAACTGGACCACGGAGCTGCCATTTCAACCGTAAAGTGGTTCTTTACGACATTGTTATGACGTCATTGATGCCAGATTGATGCCTTGGCATTCTAAAAGTTTTGTGGCGCCATTTTTGAATCAAAAAATGAATGCCGAGTTGTTGCCATTCCAAAATCAAAGAAATCATTTCAAAGGAACTAAAAGAATACGTATATACCACCCATAATAAAGAACGATTTCAATAGGATATTAACGCCGGCATTTTCGGAATTGCTTTTTACCTATCTAGACATGGAATGCAGGTTAGATTTATTCTTCATTTACACTTGAAACAATCTGGGATTCGTGACTTTTTAACTTTTATTAGGTCTAGCGCTAAATGCGAACAGAGAATGCTAATTCTATCAGGCGAATGCAAACTATTAGAATAAAACATAATTAAATTAATTCAACCAACCCATCTTGAATTTCCAAGAATGCAATAGAAAGATTTGCTAGTCTCATTACAAAAATACGTGTTCGTACTTTAATATTCATGATTGCATTTATGTTTATCTTTAACACAGGTATTCAAAGAAATTAACATTTTAAAATTAAATTTTAAAACCGTATTCAATTACTATCATGGATTCTTAGCCTCACGTTACATTTTTACGGGGACCGTGCGGTCTATCATTTCTGTGGTAAGTAGGATTTCTACGGTTGCCTAAGTATTTCTGCAGTCAGATAATTTAGCAGTCACATTTGCTAAGATAGACGTACGGCGTATCTTGATTATGAGGAAAAACTACGATTCCCATACGGCTGGTAAATGATGACGCACGATCAGCGTAGGGTGGCCCTACGACGTGCGTAGTTTTTCTTGAAGGCATCCACAAGGGGTTCGGTTCGGAAAGGTCAATTGGAACCTATGAATTCCAAGCGCAGCCGCAAGTCGACCGTGAACCCGACGTACGGCCGTCGTGAGACCTACGGTTTGGCTGCTGCTTGTTGATATCTATAGTGACAACAGGAAAGAAAAAGTTATAACTCCGACTCTACGCCTTGTAAAAACTGGATATGTCGTGTACGTAGACAGCAAGGTGACCTTAAGTCGACTGTAGTTTTCCTATGTTTGCCGCAGAAATTTACTGATTTCAGGGAAATACGATCGACGTGTGGTCGCATTGAACAAATGTGACTGAAGCTTTAAAGTTCCACTTATTTTCCGATATAGAAAAACAAAAGGTTGTATGCCATTAAATTGAAAATCATTATTTCGAAAATACTGTATAACTGTACTTACCACGGATGTTATATAATTAAATTCGAGCTCGAAATCAGGAATTGTTTTTAACAAAAAATAAATATATAATAAAATAAATATTAAACTATTGGCGTACTATCAATACGGCAATTGCCTTATCGTCGTTGAAATGAAATATCATACTACAATCGACCCCATCGTCCGCATCACTGAATGTTATGAGCCTTCTCTTGTCATGATCTAAGGTGAAATACCATTGAATTTTGAAAAGCTTTTTTTTGTCATATCGAATGTCGCTACGGTGATATGATGATTGAAATTGGTCGTTTAACAACTGAGAAAAAATTAAACATTACGTATTATTCTTTGAAAATATGACAGTGGCATGTCCTTGTAAAGCTTTTGCCAATCTTAATATTTAGGAGATTGACATTTACATACGTATCATTTAGACGACATCGATTTTTCGATTTTTGTTTGTTTGCGTTTTTCATCAGAATTTAAATGGCTAAACAACTTAGGGAGTTACGGTTTCATTGGATTACTACTTTTTGTTTTGTTTCTTTCATTCTCCAATATGCCCCTATTCATGCACCTATATATATTTGAATAGAATACTACAGATTGAAGAAATCTACCATTTATGATTAGGTAAGAAAGCAATTGCAGCAGTATGCCTATTTGCCGACGTATACCTTAAGGTTAATAATGATGTGCCGTAAATGCTCATCAGCGCATTAATGAACATTAGCATAGATTTTGATATTTTAAATGGTATGTCGTATTTACATAAATATAGTAAATGCAATTATTTGTTGGATGCGTTCAGCCGATGATATAACCTACATGTACTTATTTTTACCACAAATACGCCAACACATTAGCCACATTAATCTTAGTTAAATAAATCCCAATTGATGCACAGTAATGCATTTATGTACCCTTTGCATTCGTTTGACTTCACTTCTTAAAAGATTGCTTCGTCTTCAGTTTAGACTCTGCACGCAGGGTAGCATTTATGTGTAAATGCCATTTTGTATATTTTAATGCATTTACCTCATTTATTGGTAAAATATACAAGAAAGCATTTACAGGATTTGAACAGATTTATCCTTTTTGACCCAGTGTTATCATTATATAAAATAATTCTAGTGGATATTTTTCAAGTGGAATATAATGCGATGACTTCCGAATCGCGCAGCCGATATCTCATAAGTTTAGTGATTTTTCTACCTAGCCTATACTATATCACATTGGAGAAAATAAATACAAACATTTGAAAAATTACATTGCAACAATTCAATTGGTATGAAGAATATATTGAAACAACTTTTCCAAATATATGATATGATATGGACTGACGCGGACAAAAATAGTTATAAAATATCAGTGAAATGTGTTCTATTTCTGCGATCCGAGTATGACGTGATTATATATAGGGGTGGGACGGATAACCGAAATACCGAAAAACCGCGGTTCATAGCCTTCGGATCGGTTTTCGGATCACGGCCCTACTTTGGGATCAGCTTTTCGGATCGTTTTCGGATTAATATTTCATGGGTCAAGTATCAATAAAACAGTTAAAAACACTGTTTTACAGCAACATTTTTGATATTCCTAGTCCCTACCTTGTCTGTCTTGTCTGTTGCTAGCTCACTCGTTTACTAGATTCGTTTCGTATCCGCGTATTCGTATCCCTCGGTAATCAATCATGTGGTCTCTGGTACTATATTCTTTAGTCGTGTATTCTAAATAATATGTATTGTTCATGAAATACTATAACATAAAATTCCATCTTTAAAATATTGTTATAACGTGGCATAATTGATACAAAGATTTGCGCAAATTTATATTTGCGCAGGTTCGATGTAGGGTATTATTTTGTGCGCACCCACAATACATTCAAATATGGCGTCTGGATCTCAAATTCCCGTTTTCCCAAAAGAAATGAAGATTATAAATTAGTTATTTTATTGGTTGTATTAAAAGAAAGTGACAGTCAGCAGTGAAGTCAGAGACAAAGCAGCTAATCATGTCAATCAATACAAATCCTTAAAATGAATGAACCGAACCGAAAAAACCGAACCGACGGCTGATGATCCGAAAAACCGAACCGAACCGAACCGAAACGAACCGTCCCATCCCTAATTATATAGCGACATTTCCCAGGCATAAATTTTAAGGCATCAATGACGTCATTGATACATAACAATGGCGGCATCCGCAGCGATCCAGATATGGGTACTTTGAACTTGAATTATATGTTTAGTTCGAACACGATATGTCCCATGAGTGAGCTGAAGTGATAGATGATGGTTATAAGTAGCCAGCGTGTAAATTAGAACATGAAACTTCGCATTCCCTTTAACCCAAGATCTTTTGGACTCTTTGCTAGTTTAGTTTACCCCCTTTCATAATATAGTCGTCATAGAATATATTTGTTAAGCTGTACCTACTTGGTAATCCGAAAAGAAAACTTGGTCAGACCAGTTTACTTATTTCTGGGAAGTTGTCCATTTTTTCCCATTCGATGAAGAATTATTGTTATTTTGAGCCGAAATGAAAACTAGCTGGAAAACATATAGGTACTCCATCGAAGCCTTGGGCGAAGCTGCTACCCAAACATCGACAAGGGAATATAAAAATCTAGACTGAGTCTCTTAAGAAAAAATGTTTTTCTTGGAACTAGAAATCTCAATTAATAATTCATGTTCCTGGGTCTATGTACCCAAATGTGGAAATATGGAAGTAGTAAGTTGACTGGGTATTTTCAATAACAATTCTATAAAACAATACAGTTACCTTTTCTGTATATGATATCGTCAACGCGGCCTTTTCTAGCAATGGCCTCATACTCAGCGTTTCGTTTTTGCATCGTTTTTATACTTGTCTCATCAACCATTTTCTGGAAGTTCTCGTCGGACCATTGGACCCCTAAGTAATCAGCAAGCTTCTTTATAGTACCTAAAGTATCCTGATTGTGAAATAAACGATATAGATACAGTATAAGAAACATAACTACATTTATCCTATGCCAAGTAGAGTTTTAGGGAGATAAGTTGGTAAGATATATCCCGTATCCTGATTTTGAGGTTTCCATATCCTGAACCTCCATATCTCCCGCCATATCTCCCGCTCCAGGGCATATCTTCCCGCTTTGAAAAAAATTTGAAAAATAAGAAAAAATTGAAAAAAAAGAAAATGTGAAAAATGTGAAAAATAGAAAATTGAAAAAAGAAAAAAAATAGAAAAGAAATTTGAAAAAATTAGAAAAATTTGAAAAAATTGAAAAAATAAAAAATAATTGAAAAAAAATTGAAAGAAAATTAGAAAACTCTACTTGGTATAGGATAAAGCAGTTATGTACGGTCGGTTTGGATATTGGGTTCATCCCTCGTGAGATATGCACATCTACGTTCGGTCCCTACGGTCCCTCAGGTAGATATGCATATCTCCCTCTGGATAAACCCCATATCCAAAACCTCCCAGTACATAACCCTTATTTATTCCATAGTGAGTATGATATTCATAGGATAACATGTCAAAATAAAAATGGTATTTTTGTAATCAGTGGTAAAATATGATATTTTTGACAAATTTTCACTTAACCATAGCATACGGTGTTTTAGCCATGACATACGGCGCCGTATGCTATGAATTATGGATTTTTTGCTACTTCGGACTCAAAAAGAGGCTAAGTGTCAACATCGCCGGATCGTTTGGAAAATTCGAATTGAATCACTTAATTTCCGACGATTCTGATGATGACTTTAACTATGGAATAAAAAGAACATCCTATGATTTACTCGTGATATGATTTTAATCCACTCATGGATATCGATATCTGCACTTTCTCGCTACGCTCGCTCGTGCAGATATCATATCCATTCGTGGATAATAATCATATCACTCATAAATCATAGGATATCCTTTATATATCAATCAAAAAAGTGGGATAACATATAAACCCTGTCGAAGAAGTACTTCAACAAGTAGTACAATATTTATATAATACATATTCATAAATATCTTTATACAAGGTACTACATGTACTATCGTAAATTTTTTATTAATTACTTACCCTTTTACACTCTTCAAATGTGATGAAAAGGACATCGTTTGTCTCTGCTTTCTGTTTATAGTCTTTAATATGTTTGAACCATCCGCCACCCCAAAGGACTGTGTATGAAATAATTTATTTAAATTATAGTTCCACATGACATGAATTAGAAGGGAGAGACATGGTACACATTTTAAAATGCTGAAACCATTTTTAAAGCTTGCCAATGGTTCCCTTCGAACCCAATTTACTGAAAATGATAATTGAGAACTTATCTTAATTCTCTATTCCACTCACTATAACTAGTATTAGCAAGTCATCAAATGCATTTATAAAATTATCTGTGTATCTTTTTGCTGTTTGGAATTCTCCACCTTGTCTTTACGCATACTATCGAATAAATTAAATTCGCACGAGCCACATACAACCTCTTGGCCTGTATGTCCCACTCAATTTCTTAACTTACTTTCTTCATTTAGGAACATTGGCAAATATCCCTCCCAAGTTCCTTGGTAACCATACACCTTAGTTGCAGTCAGATGCTTGTAAAAGCTGACAGCGACATCTTTCGGGTGACGAACCATGTTTATTACCTTACATTTCTTACTAGAAATACAAACAATTTTATCGTTTTAGCATTAGAATCTATAAACAGTAACAAGACAAACAAATACAATCGTTTACATTTCGGGGTAAATGCTTCGTTTGAGAACTCGATACCCGACTGCTCCATCATTGCCGATAAACAATCTCGGAAAATGAAAAAAACAATTTTGTGAATTATCACAACATAATTCTAACAGAATCCTTTCATTTTGAACTATGTATTTCAATATCATGTGTAAATGACCGAATATAATTTTGAAAATACTCATTCCATTAAATATTGGTATGTAATTGTAATCATGACAATACATTTTATATGTCATTTGAAGAATGTAATCTTATTTTCTTTACTTTATTGCTATTTTTACTGTTAATGAAAATTGTATGTTGGATGTACGTTTGGCCCTAAAAGGGCATCAGTACAAATAAATCCTATTATACATACGCTCCTTGATCTACCTTTAAAACATATTTTGTTTTGGACACCCTGATCGAATGGAATATTAACTTAAATATATTATCATACTCCCATACATCCTGTGGCACTGTCTTTGTCATTTGATGTGTACGTATAATTCGTCTGGATGGTATGTCATCTAATTTGTGGCCAACGTTCTCTGCCTGACACATTTCTTCATAACCTTTGGGTGCCTCGTTTAAATCGTGTGTTAGGCGGTACGCAACATTCCACATCCAATGTTGGCCTAGAAAATGATTAACATATCTCTTCTAACAAACAAAACCACATACAGATAGTCACTTGTAAGCATATTGTAAGAATGGATATTTAATTCTGGACACTCACAATGTCATCGTCTTTCAACCGCTTGGAACTTTACAACCGTTCTAATGAAGAACTCAATCCAACGTATCGTATACAGTATCTAATTTATGATCCTACATTTAATGTACTAAATGTATAATAACATTAAAGAATAAATTTGATATTTATTGGCAAAATGAATATCCGGAGGATATCGTAACGATATACTCCGGAAAACCCAATATGCGGAGGATATTGCGACGATACACTCCGCTTGTTGATTTCCCGCCAAATTGACTCTATTTGGCATGAAATTCATTTTTGCAATGATATTATACGTTTAGTACACTCCTTGTAAGTGTAGGATAATAAGAACATCCTATGATTTTTTCAGAATATCATTTTGGTTTTAGGGGCCCAATTTTTTTCAGACTCAAAATTCCCCCCCCCCCCTCCTCCCTTGTTAATTTCTGGATCCGCCACTGATCCTACATGCACTTACCTGACATCTTTTATACGCATTTTACAATAATGAATTCGAAGTCTGCTTACACTTACAGCATTTTACACATTCGTTTGCACCTTGATTTGACTAACCTGATCTGGGATAAGAGCAAAACCATATATCACTCTCCCTAACTTCCAATGTTCTCATCTCATCATGTATGGTCGGACTGATATATTGAGGAAAGAAGAATCCCTCTAAATCTTGACCCGGCATCGGGGATCCACAAGCATCGTAGCGTATGATGGGTGCCTCAGCACGAAATCGAGCGAACATGTCATCAAAAGCCTCTTCTGCTTCAATATCCTTCTCAGATGACTCCATTTTATAACATGCGTTTCGAAAACCCGCCTGTAGTTTTAATTATCTTTAAAAACAGCCAAGGTGAACGAGGTGACTTATAGTTCAGATATAATGTATGTAGTAGTATGGCAAACTGAAATGTTATCACCGAGGCTACTATGACCTGCTGTACAAATAACATATTTTTATGTCGTAGCAATACTATATCCCAGCCTTTCAGTAGGTGATGTAGGTTCGAACCTAAAGCGATCCTAAAAGTGAATGCTTAAACGAACCTAAAACAGTGTATTGAATATATTATCTAATATCGTTGAATAACATAATATGAGCCTCGCCAAAGGAAAACCAGTCTTATCACAAAAAATAATTGTGCTACAGAGCCAAAAATGTGCCAAGATTAAAAAGAAAATGTGCAAAATTCAAATCCGTCATTTTGGTCTATATCTGCAAGGAAAAATTGACACAAGTCATAGCTCATTTGAAAGGTCACTTTATAGAAAAACAAAAAATTAAAACATTGAAAAAATCACGGGCTATCAATATTGTTTGGAGTTGTTTTTGGTGTATGTGATTGCTGTATTCCAAATACGATTTACACATTTCTGATACTTTCAGAAGTATCACTCAGCAATCACACGTACTAAACTAACTCGAGCAATCCAGACAGGATTAATACGTTTATACGGTAATCCAGCATAGTTTTATATTTAGAGTCGATTCTTATCGACCAATCAAATCGAGGTTTTCTGTGTGATGTTTTCACTAGCGGTATATGGTGAATATGACATTTTCTGCAGGTGAGTATCGGGTATTCACTGAAATCGATGTATTACATATTCGCTGCGGAATATGACATATTCACCTGCGGAATATGCCATATACCGCTGGTGAGTATGGCACACTCCACCTGTATCAAAAATATCGTGCGACCACGATGCCATATTCCGCGTAACAATTACTACCAACCTGTCACTCTCGGTCGAAGATCTAAAATCTGTAACATTTTGTGACTAACAGATTTAGAAACCACGTAATTTTTTTTAACTTTTCATTCATACCACGGACCCCCAGTAGATATGTCCCATGGTGTAGTATATGATGTATTACATTTGCGTCTCGGTTGTAGTATATTGGTGTCTCTGTAGCATTGGTAAAACACGGGTTGGCGTCTCTGTGACAAAAGCAAGGAATTCAAAATGCAAATATGTCGCTTCGTGGTGATGCTGGGTGAATACATCATCCACTATATTTGTCTGGAGTCCTGCATTCGAAGGATGGGTTGAATACAAATTACAATTTTGAAACCAGAGACAATGCGCTTACTGCACTCATTCGATTAGCGAGAAGATCGTCCGAGAAATGGGTTAAATGGAGATAACAAAATATCTTACAAAATCTGCAATCGGAAGTCAGCCCATCTTGATGCAAAAGCACGGCGGCGAGGTAATACACTGAGAGTCAATGAAGTTAATTGTGAAGATGCAGCTACTAGTAACTTTTGAGATGCTAAGTCAAACGCATGCGAATGGAAAATAGTTGGCGAAGATGTTTAATTCAAGTGATCCATTCACGTGATCGTCTTCGTTATCTTTTATTTTGAAATACCTTAATAAAAATGACTCATTGATGAAAAGAGTGCAGGCAACTTTAATGAGTTCTATGCTAATGCTTTCGATGCAGCGGTGGTTGTGGCAACTAACAAGGGGGGGGGGCAAATTAAAAGTCTGAAAAAATCGTTTCCAAAAACATTTGGGGCCCTTAAACCATAAAGTGGACCCAAATTTTGAAATTTTATGTCCCAACTTCGTATCTTTTATAGTTTAAAAATAATACATCCGCTTGAAATCTCTTTATAGAAACATTCTCCCTCTCTTAACTCCTACTCACTTAACTGTTTTAATGAAGTTATCCGACAATGTATTGTAATGAACTTCGAAAACAAGTCCCTACTAGTACTACAGTCTCAGCCGTACTGGCTAGCCTGTAGGGTGTAGAGCGTCTGACTCGAGAGCGGAAGGTCCTGGGTTCGATTCCCGTACTGGGCATTGAATTTAGCATGTAGAGTGTACTCTAGTATCTGGCTCATATCTCTAGTATCTGGCTCGGTACACTACAGCTCCCCGACGGGCGTGCCCAAGGGTCGCTACATTGGTGTCCGAAGTGGGGTTGCCCTTGTGAATCAGTTACGAAGGGACGTCGTCTTCTAGGGTGTATTGACCAAAAATAGAACACCGGAAAATACTACAAATTGGTCGTCAAGAGACGTAGATCCAAACTGAAAGACAATTTAAAATATTTTATTTTTTTCACATAAGGTTGTGACCTCTTAGAATTAATTTTCAAATGCTTTTATCAATTGTCTCGAATAGCCGATACTATGAGATGTAATCGCATTCACTTTAGCGTATTACGTGTGGAATGGATTTCCGAGTCTTGGGAATCGCTAATCAGAGGCTGATAATCAGATTTCTGACTCTTATGACGATTACGATAAACACTTGTTAGTATAAATAATCGCCGCCAGAATACGAAATTCTCACTTACCATTTTTAATGGAATGATTTATAAGCATTGCAAAAGCAGCTCTAATGACGGATCTCATAAAACAGGGATTAATTACGATGTGCAATTAACGATCATTACATGTAGTTAACATTTATTTACGATTTCGTTCCGTATTTGACCGAGATTCTGGAGTATTTTGATAACTTGGCTCTTATTATAAAGCTCGATTGACTAGAAGCCAAATCGTAAATTCGATCTCAATTGGATGAAACTGACTTTACGTGAGAATGTATTACCAAGATCCTGAAAACAGCAGAATAGAGAGACAGCTGCCTTATCAAGAAGGCAGATGCTTTGCGTGTACATCAGCAATAAATAACTCCGAATTTAAATATTAAAAAGAAAAGGACTCCATTGAGAAAACATAAACAATGCAAATATTGCTCATTTTTGTGACAATCTATGCGATTTATGGTCCATTTGTCGCAGTCAAAGGATCTCGTGGGGAAAAACAGCTCGTTAGGGACTTACTTCGTGACTATGACGTTAATGTCAGACCGTCAGCAAACTTCTCTGTACCTCTGAGGGTAAAAATGGATATTTCAATAAGGCAGATAAAAGATCTAGTAAGTGAGATTTTAATCACACACCTTGATTAGTTTCTGCACCTTTCATTGCATGTTTTTCAAAGATTATTAGTCAGTAGTTCCCACGTTTAAATGTAGTCGCTTTCCGGCGTGGTTTTTGTGAAAAATTGAATGCCTATTTATTTTTTATTTATTTAATCAATGCCTTGAAATTAGACAATAAGCGGGTCACACAAATTGTATATGTTCCCGAATATAAATTCTGTAGTTCCCTTCTAGACTATAATTGTGTGTGTTCCCGGATATAAAATGTGTCCCCGATCAAAACCAGCAAAAATCTTTAAATCACCGCGGAGGGCCCGAGGGGATCATTTGACGATTGTGATGTTGTTTACAAACGGCCCTATTATCTCTGTTCCACAATGTGGCTGGTATTCCTAGTTCAGGCCTGTAGTTGAATTTGTAATTTGCACATGAACCTTTGATTAAACTATGTAAAAGATTAGACGATTACATTGATGGATTGGATACCCGGTTAACGTTATTTGTGAGTTACTCTAGAGAGACGCATGAGATTGTTCACTGACTATTGAGGTGTGGACGGTCGATTTGAAAGATATATATTCATATGGGGTATAAGATGTTCACTAGAGATGTGTGGGGTGTTCACATGAGAGGTATTGGGTGTTCAGTGTTCACTAGAGATGTTTCTGGTGTTCACAAGTGAGAGGTGTCCACTCGAAAAGTATGGGCTATTCACATGCGAGGTATGTTGTATTTAGGTCACCATATAAATCAATGGAAAGTAGGACCATAATTTGATAGGACCTCCTACCCTTTTACAGCGGAACCCCCAACAAGAGGCCTATGTGTTTACTTTTTACAAGAAGGGATGTTTACGAAAAGTAAGGTGTTTACTCATACGTCGTTGTATATTGGCAATTAAGAATTCGAAGATATCCTAAACAAACCAGAGCTACTGGTATGGTTATTTTTATGGAACATTGATACAAGGGTGTAACTAATCTGATGTTCTCAAGTGGTGGTCATTCTGGGCGAAGAACTCCGGAAAGATAATATAACATGCAAAGCAATCAATTAAAGAAACCGTAATTGGCCTGATCAGATAACCCGTTGTGAAATATTTCAAAATACTGATGCCAAACAGAAGCTGAGATAATTAATGGTACTTGTTGCTTGCAATTTTGTCACCATACGTACTTATCTGATTCTGCACAAACAAAGAGAATCTACAAGTAAAGCAAAATACTTGTAGCGAAACACTTAAACTTAAAAACTTTATGGAGATCTATTTTTTTAAATGAACAATAGACCTGGAGATGGTCGAAACCTTTTCAAGGAGTGTTGAGTAAATAGAGCGTTTAAAGTTGATCATTGTCATGGCAACTCAAGAAGGAGCATTTTCGCTATTATATCTACCCTGGGCGCCAAGTCTAGTTACAAACAAGACGAAGTATTCTTTTAAGAGCCAAGTCTGACGAATTCAAAGGGTATCCTCTCTGACATAGAATGGATTGCATGTCAACGCAATTCAATTTAACAAGTGCAACACGCTTTACAAATCCAGTCATGTCAGCATGGTTTACCATGGCAACCTTTCTCTTTCTCTCTTAAGATACAATGAGTATCAGAATGTAGGACACCGAATCAAAAAATCCAATGTTTAGATGAACTATACAGATGAACTGTATAGTTAGTTATATGTACTGTCATTATATGCATAAATACTGATATCTAATATTTTTGGATTCGTATCACCGGTCAGTATCAAGGTGTGGTAACGGCCGTTACCTCCTCATCTAAGATGGTGGACGGAAAGTGTCGATTTCGATATAATTGGTTTTCGACGAATTAAACTACTTTATAATTGACGTTATGCTTTGATATTTGAACTTGATAAGCCTTATATATCATGGAAACTTTGAAGTATGACAATTTGTTCTTAAATCAAACAGGAGCGCCATGATTCAACTATATGTTACTCCGCTTAAGGGAAGGTAACTGAGATTTTGATTTTGCAAATTATACGATAGCTGATCTGTGGTGATGCGGTAACGTTATGAGAGTTTATAATGGAGGGTCAGTTCACAAAGCAAAACCTGATATATAACAAGTGGGGGCTCACATTATCTCGATTCCCAATTTCAATTAATTAATCGACATCGACACCTGTCCTGACATTTAGCTTCCGTTTTTGATGCACACGCCTAACCATCGACAACGTACAGTGACAAAGTATACCGGCGTACACTTTAGTTGTACGGTGTCACTATTAACTGATTTGAAGCGAAAACTATGATGTAGGTTTAATGTAGGTGTTCAAAAAATAATTTGAGGAATACATAAAGGAATTCATGTTAGATTTCGTGTGTATTCGATTTGGAAGACATTTACCTTTCTAATTACTTTGAAAAGACTTTTGACCAGTATAAGTATTCCTCAGATTAATTTTTAAAACCTAAATCACATCCACATCATAGTTTTTGCTTCATATCAGTTAGAATAGTGACACCGTACATCTAAACGGTGTCGATGGTTAGGCGTGTTGCATAGCGTATCGTATGGACCAGGATAAATGTTACACTTTCCAACCGTAATGTACAAAACCTACACATATATAGCGAAGTGCATCATTTTGGTCTGAAACAAAAATATCTATATTGTTAACCTCATACAGTAACCGCATCATCTTGGAAACAGACATGTCAGTTATATAGTATCATGTACTTCCAGTTACCTTCCCTTAAGCGATGTAACATATTGTTGAATTATGGCGTCTACGTATGATCTACGAACAAATGGTCATACTCCAAAGTTTCCATAATATGTAAGGCTTATCAAGTTCAAATATCTAAGTTTTACGTCAATTATAAAGTAGTTTAATTCGACGAAAACCAAAAATATCGAAATCGACATTTTCCGTCCGCCATCTTAGATGAGAAGGTAACGACCGTTACCACATCTTGATACTGACCAGTGACGTATGTCTCTATCCAGGATGAAGGTCTCTATGCACGTATGCAACTACAGTATTACATATTATCTTACATCTAATGAATTTTCCGTTTGTATTATTTTATGTATCCTCTTTCCTTTTGTGTTTTGGAAGTTATCAATAGACAATTATATCACGTACATGCTTGATTTGCTTCTATGCAAATTCAATTCAATATTTCGTTATCACTGTTTGCTGATCTTCTTCAGTATGATTCATTCATAATTTAGATATTGGTTCAGATTAAACAAAACGAAATTTTTCAAACAATCATACGTAATAAAATGTTGCAAATGGGATCGTGGTGAATATTAAAAAAGATGTGTCCGCTCGTTCGTGAATTTGACAATCAGTTGGTCCGCAATCAGGTCAGCAATGTGTATTTCGATGTCTGTTGCATCTCTCTACTTGTATACATAACGCTTATAATTAACATAAGTGGCAGTTAATCAATTCAAAGAACAGGCTTGACAAATTAAAGAAACTTCAACTTGCTAAGCAGTAGTTATTTACCTGTTTAGACCTTTTCTTCCTAAATTGAGTAACCTAGGTATGTGATAGGGCGATCAGAATCACAATTCTATAGGAGGATATAAAATACCCACTTCTTCCCTGGCTTGAAATCCCAAATATATAATCGTTTGGCCCTTGTTTCAGTAATTCTGTTAAAAACGTCTAGTTGTTGTAGATGTGTGTCAGTGTCAGCGAAGTGTACCAGGATGTACTGGGCTATCAGATTGTTTTTAATTATAATGGTCTTATCACCAGGTGCCGTTTATAGTTGTGGTTTCAAAGTCATCTTGCTCTGGATTATTTTTGCTATTTCCGAAAACATCGAGAACCCGTTTTATCAATGTTATGGCTATGTTTGTAACTCTAATGATATATTAAAATATTTTTGATTCTCTATCTTACCATTGCCCTTTGCATTTGTTTGATTTGGATTCCTAAAACCTTCATCAACAAAACTTAACTCTGAGCGGGGTAACTTTTTATTGGCCCTCGTCCCTATAACGGTTCTTTTCCATCATAGCGAAATTTTCATTGTTTTGTTTTTATCATACGTATCATGTTGACAGCTTCTCTCATCTATTCGAAAAGTAAGAGAATGGAGAGGGTTTATTAATATGGAGTCTATGCAGCATCGAAAACGTCATCCATTCACGTAATGGAGACACATTATGGACAATTACACTGTCAATAGTCAGGACAGATATCCCTTCGAAAGAAGTAATAATACCGGCTGCCATAATACCTAATAAGATCAATGGTTAAACTGATCGACGCTGATGAATTTGTCCCCGGTGGGAGTACTCCCGCAAAATGTTGGCTATATGGGAGGTGCCGCTAAAGTGGGCCGGTTTTGAATGTAGCCATGCAGGGGTCCGTCCGATGGGTGCGATTGCACAATCCCCCCCCCCACCCACCCTCAGAAAAAAAGAAAAAAGCAATTTTGTTGGAAAAACATTAACAAATTATTGTTTGAAATGCTTAGAATGCACCATACACAATTTGAATTTTTAAAATATGTCCAGGAGTGAACCCCCGTACCCCCTTTTTGGACCCAACTTCGCACGCAGTGATGCAAACCCCAAACCCCCTTGACAATTGTTGGCTTCACTCCTGCTAGATGTGAGACCTTCCAATTGATGATTTTGACGAAGAATCCATACAACCGAGTGTACTTTGTGAAGCTTGAAGTTTTTCACTCAAAATCCCTTAATGTGGGAACGATTTTTGCGGATCCCTAGAGCTGTTTCTCCTTTTGAAGTGGGTCTGTTTTTTAAAGAAAAAACCGGATGTGGGTGGATATTTTGAATCTCAGCGACCACCCCCCCCCCCCACCCTATACAGAAAATTGACCAATTAAGGAATATAAGCCCTCAACCCAGACTGCTCAACCACTTTTGGGCCAGTCTTAGGCTGAATGCAAGCGAACGGAGGGGACGCAGAGACTCTCGATCTTCCCTTTATATGATGAACTAGCTATAGCTAACAGGTGTACAAATAATTTGAAAGATAAGAATGAATCTAGGCCTAAGAGCTTTTATCATGCTCCATCTTTAAGCAACAGTTTGCAACAAATGTTTAATAACTATTCCTCTTTATCAATATAGTTATTATCTACACAACACATGAACAGCTAGCGAACATGCTCAATTGGAACAAATGTGAAAAAGTATGTACAATTAGTACAACGACCATAGACGATAAAGTACTGGTGTGGGGTGCTACTTAGACGATTTGGGATGTTGATCCGTTCAAGAAGAAATGAAATAACATATAGCGCCTGTTGAATAATCACATAATCATTTTGAAAATGTAAAGTTTATAGTGTAGGAGAGAATAGAAATTACCGGGACAACTTACACTCGAAACTATACGCAAATACCAGGAGAAAATAATTTCCCATTTCTGACTGCGTTTGGGGAATTAATAATTTGATTCAATTTGGAAAAACATCACGCAAAAACAAAATGATGTTTTTGATTAAGCACGATTATGTCCCCAATTGACCACTGCCGTCCATCAGGATCTAGAAAATTACAATTATTGCCACGTTAGGGCTTTTAAATAAAACCGAACAATGGATTGAATCAGTATTATATTCAGTGTATGTACTCACGTATCCCAAATGAAGATTAATGGAACTTTTGAAGTGATTGCTGGAGCTCCACGATACAATTATTTTATTAAGGGAACTTTCATAGAGTAGTTCAGTAGAACAATTCAGCGCGATTGGTGGACAGGAGGATGATTCAAATGAACTCAGTGTTAGCGCGTAGGATGACGTGGATCGTATAAGAGGAACTGGATTAATTCGTTCTCTTGCTGGTTCTTCGTTAACGACTGCATCTGGAACCACATGAACACCAGACTTCAAATTAACAATTTCAAGATAAGATGGTTCGACTTTGTGCGTAATCTGAATTACGTGATAAGCAACTTGTGAATGATTTGGGTTAAATATGGAAGTGTTTGGAACATTGCTTATTCTATTAATCTCGCATGTGTCACTGGCAAGTGGATCATCGGAAGGAAAACAGATTGTAAAAGATCTTTTCAGAGGTTATGACAAAACAGTAAGACCAGTAAAGTCGCATAACGAATCGGTCCGTGTGGCACTTGATATCTCGATTCGACAAATCACAGATTTGGTACGTAAGAATTAATGAAATAGACAATTTATTGGATTTATGAATTCAATTTCATTTGGCACTAATTGCCTCATTTTTCATTGTTGAAAATTCAGTATAAATGTGAACGTAGATAAATTATCGACGGTTAGAGACGCCTATCTCAAAATTCAATTTTTCGACCTTCCGTGGTTAAAAATGAAATTGAAAGGATTATTGAGTTGGATTGTCATTATAACATGTGTTTAACGAATTTTTACTAATGTATTGTTTGATTGAAAGGAATTCTAACCTATTTTCTGCGAAAATTGTTCAAGTTGCCATGGTATCATACATGCTGCATCAATCCATTCCGAAAGATGCACTTTATCTTGTTGGGAGTCATCGTGACCTTCAAAGTTGTTTTATACCACTTGGGATATATTCTCATGATTTTATCAAAAACAAAGTGTAATTCGAAACAGTATTTATTGTTCCATTTTCATACACCCATGGGGACTATTTTCTTGCACAAGCGAATTGAAAAGGGTCGTTAAATTGTCTTATCGGCAAAGTGCTTTATGTTGGTTAGGGATAACAACTTGGGAGTCTTAGATAAAGTTGACACACCGACACAAGTTCAAAGGGTTTATTGATTTTGTCTTCTCTAACTCATATCTTCGAGTCGTTAAGTTTTTCATAGGGGCATTGAACTTCAAAAATGGTTCATTATATAACAGGAAATTACTCCCTGATATTTAGCACATTTGCGCGTCTTTTTACCAGCCCAACATATTTCCTGGCCATCAGACTGATAGTCATAATGTTACAGTACTTTAAACAACATCCTCCAGTGGCCAATATTGCGCTATAGGCAAACTTGTAAACGTCGTCAAAAATGTCCCTACTTGACTTTGACCTGTGAGGATACCCCAAAGATGGAGCATGCGAGAATGACCTTAGAACAATTACATAGTCCTCAAAAGGGTGATGAGGAATGAAGTCGAGTCTTTGACAACGTGTGCAGGTTTGCACTTGTAATATGGTAGACTGTCAGGACATTGAATGATGTACAAATGTATCAAATATCAGGGGGTATTACTTAAAATAACAAAGATATGAGTAAAATACAGGGTTTCCGTTTTTTATATATCTTTATCTTTGTCCTATATGCCCTCAGGCACTCCCCTAAAAAGTTTGCAACTGGAAGTCCCTTTTGAATCACAAATTAAAGGGTGTTCAAGTTTGGCGTTTTTTGAAAAATCATTTAAGTCCCAAACTTTCAAGTAATAAAAAGGAACGAAATAAAGATTCAAATATTAACATGCGTTGGCACGATACCAAAAATGAAGACCTCTGGTTGCCAAAATTGGAGGGGAGACTGTGTATACTGACATACGTACGAGGGGTGATCAATAAGTAATGGACGCTTTTTTACACAGATACTTTTTATAGACCAATCCCTTTGATTTTCCTACCAGTGATACATCATTCAATTATCTATCAATTCTGAAGATTTGAAGGCAAAATATATTACACATATTGATATATCCTAATTTCCGTGAAGGAGGTACAGGTACCCCGGGACCGACATTTACGTCACATATTCAGTTTTTAGCCAGTTTGGTAAATTTCAGTTAGGATTTGAACGTTTTATATGCAACAAGTGTTGTGTTGTTTAAATATTTTGCTGACTGGTAACACATAAACAGAAAGTATTGTAATGTCATAGTGTTGTATGGAAAGGGTTTGCAGGTCAATTTGAGAAAGGATTGTAGAAGAAAGGGGTGGTGAGAGAAGGGAACACCCTACTCCATATGGACAATGCACCTGCCCGCAGATCTCAAAATGTTCAGAAAACAATATCCCTGGACCTCAAAATTGAGCCCTTGGCCAATGCACCATATTGTCCAGATCTGCTCACATGTGACTTGTTTATTTCTATACTACTTATTTCTATAGAGAAAGGACGCAGGTTTATTGACATTGATGAAATAAAACAACCCGTGCAACTGCATCTTGCTACCATGTCAGAGAATGGATTCAGCCTTGTCTCACAATCTTGAGCAGAGACATATAAAAGCATCTGTGTAAAAAAGCGTCCATTACTTATTGATCACCCCTCGTATAAATAGAACTGAAATTATTACATATTAGTAAATTAATTGCCCTTTTGAATAACATGATAGAGACTCAGTGTTTCTGTGTAATGGCATGATGGAACTAAAGTAGAATATGAGGCCTATCCTCCCATCATAACACGAATAAGTTATAATGCAACTTTAGTTCTAGTAGCTAAAGTGAAAAGATAATGTTCCGGATATTACTTTTAATATAAATAATTAATTGATACATTAATTTTGATTCGTATGAATGATTGGGTGGGATTATGAAACGACTTTGAGTAAGTGGTTATTGGTAATTACCTATTTATATTTTGCAACTTTAGTTTCTACGAAAGAACAATGAATGACACTTTGATTATCGATGGATGCATTTGTTTAGAATACTCATGCGTTTTATTGTTTATTTCCAGAATGAAAGATTACAAGTTATTAGCACGGCAATCTGGATTCGATTAGTAAGTACTTTAACTACGATACCATCCTTGATTTTGACGATACAACGTACAATACAATACACGATAAAATACACCAATTTAACAATTATTACATGTAGTAATAGACTACCCTAAGACCCAGAGTCTAATATTTTAGACATAGCTTTTAAAAAGCGAAAACTATTGAAGGCCCCGGCCAAGAAAATATTGTCTAGAAATCTAAATATAATTTTTCATGACTTAAAAAGTTGCATTGAAAATGTTCTGAAAAAAGTAGACATTTTAAAATAAGTTATTTTCGAATATTTGAATTTCCCGCCATTTTAGCAGCAAAAGTTTAAATCTATTAATCATCCAATTTTACACTGTAAAACACATTATTCTACAATCCATTGGATAGACCAAGTAAAAGTTAAGCAATTTCAACGATCAAATTTTATTTTTTTCATGAATACATTAAATTTCATAGCACTTTTTAAATTTTTGATGTCATCGGGTTACCCAGTGGTGTCGTTTAGGGTGCAAAAGTCATTTTCAAAATTTACAGATTTTTTTCTTCTCTAAATCCTTTCTAAATATTCTGCACCATTGGTTCAGATGAGAATTAACATTTTTAAATGCCTTTTTCTGAACCATTTTTCTGGGCTTGTGAGTTTATTTCCTCAACCAATATTCTTAATTTTTCAATATAGGTGCGTTTGACAGCAACAAAACTGATTTGATATAAAGTTCTTCAAACACAACTATTTTGAAAATAAAAAGAGTTTCACGTTTTGTTAACATTGTGGAAGATAACACGAAAATGGTTTAAATGGTTTACATTTTATCTGGAGCCTTTACAAATTGTATACATTGAAAAGCCTCAAATAAAAGATCAGAAGTCAAAATAAAAGTACGTTGTTTTTACTAATGTTACCCTGCGTGTTGCATAAACGTTATATCTGAAAGTAAATATCTTTTGCGCAAAATACATTAAAGTTTATAACAACCTTAACTTACGTATTACTTGACTTGACTTTTAATCTCGTGGAATTCTCCAAATCTAATTTTCTTGACAGGTTACAAATGAAAATGGCTCACAGGTTAGGCTAGATCAACTTCAAAAAAATGTTTACGGACATGGATCGTGAAAAATTGCCTTGCCCCCTCGTGAAACCATTTAACCATATTCTGATACTCATAGCATCTCTCCCTGTTGCATCGCAGATCTCTCCAGAATGATTGAGATGGAGAGGGCGTGGCTTACAACGATGATTTAACCAAGGGGTTTCACGTACTTTAGAATACTGCCTAGAACGTAGTTAAAGGCATCTAAATTTCCCCATAACGTAATAGCACACAGCTTGGCATGTGAAATATCCTACAAATGAAACAAAGCAAGACAAACCGGTTTCTAATACAAGGATTTATATTGGCTGTTGCACATGTATTCTTTGAACGCAATCACTCTTTGAATAACGTTTTCAAAATCATTATAAACGGATTACTTTATCTCAAAGACAATTTCAATAAACTGGATTTTACAGAACTCCCCTTATTTCTTAAAAATGGACTGATCCAGTTGATTCGCCTGGAGCCGCCATATTGTTTTTATACGGGATGCTAATCGGAACCCTTTAAATACTATTAAACAAGATTATAAGAGTTATATTTCCTATTAATCGTTGGCAGGGTTTAATGCAAGTTAGTGAAATTTAGTCTCCCATTGATGCAATAACAAGAAATGTGTTCCCAGAAGTCACACTACTTTACAACTACTCTACCAAAAATTGGTGACATATTGTTTAGGTCTCCTTTTTTGTGGCTGCGATCAGCGGTTGGCGTCTGTAACAAATTCTTAAAACTTCCAATAACTAAACAAATTCTGTTTAGACTGACTTCAATTTTTTCAAAATCATCTACATGTTTTCAGAAGTTCAAATTTGACTTTATATTAAAGATTTGACCTTCAATGACCTTTACAAAAAGGTATTTTTCAACTTGCTTCAAATTGACCAATTTCTTTTTTTCAAAATCATCTACAAATTCTCAAATTTATCAACAATCTTGATTTCAATAAAAGTTATATTTAGGTTGAATGAGGAACTCAATATGGATCTAAATAATCGAGATTGGCATACCATTAATAATATGAACAAGGTAAGTAACTTCAAGCCAAAGCTCGCATCTTTCAATTATAAATCATAGATTTTTGCCAACAAACAAATATCTACAAATGTGTGGCCTACAAGAATCTGCCCTTTGTACTTGCTGAAATTACTAAACGATATTAAGGAATGGCTGCCAGAGGAGCTTTCTATTTTATGTGACAAGAGAACAGTTGCATTGGGTCCACTCCATTCTAACGGAAAATCAATCTTATTAAATACAATTTTCTGCATTTATAAGATTTCTTTTTTTTGGGGGGGGGGTCAGAAGAAATGTGAAAGAATATTATCATCTTGATGTATGGTTAGGGGAAAAGTGGAGAGAAATCTAACATTTACTTTGAGTGATATGATATACTCGTAAAGTTTTTTTTAACATACTCCAAAAAATCTCGGAGTATATACACAATTTGTAGGTACCCCTGCCACATGACCTGCAATGAATTAATATTAAGAGTTTCAACAACCTTGTAATTTTGTAAGTTGTAATTGTATCATGTACACCTTAATGCTGTATAACCTGAAATAAAAATTACTACAAAGATTCTCAAAAGTTCAAATATGGCTATAGATTTTACCTTCGATGACCTTCTCAAGGTCAAAAAAGGTATTTTTCATCTTTCTTTAAATTGAGATTTCACCTTCATTCAATGACCTTCTCAGGGTCAAAAAAGGTCTTTTTTCAACTTGCTTCAAATTGACCAATTTATTTTTTCAAAATCATCTACAGGTTCTCAGAAATTCAAATCTTACTTAAGATTGAACTCATAGTATTGTGAGCAACTATAGTGGTGACATTTTGTCATGTTAATGCCTTGTATAATTTTCAGAAAATAAAAAGGATTTGTAAGAGAAATATTGACAAAAATTTTCCAACATTTTACACGTTTTTGTCCTAAACTTTTTTGTGGACGATGTTCGGCTTTTGGCGATCGACGGTTGGTATTTGGTGTTCAGCGTTTGTAACAAATGACAGGTGGTGACATTTCGCATGTTAATTCCTTGTTAATCTTTAAAGACCATTTATTTATCAGGGATGGGACGATCATTATTTGCAATGGAACACATCTGATTATGGCGGACTTCACAAGATCCACGTCTCCCCCAAGAAGATCTGGACTCCCGACATACAGCTTTATGACGAGTAAGTTTCCCAACATACAGTACCTTCACTCACTCATACTCGCGTGGTGGGATATTGTGGGCGTGCTCTGATAAAGTAGTCTAGCTACAAGCCCCTGTGACCCTCCCCCCCCCCTCTACTTGACCACGCACCTTCTCGATTACTTGGTGGAAAATTTAGTAAGGTGGGTCACAGGGGCTTGTATCCAGATTATATTAAGACATCGTGGGTTACCATGGCAATCTCTCCATTTGAGTTCACTCCATTGTACGGAGAGACGCGATGAGTAGCGGGTACTTTGGAAAAATAATTTCTCTCATTAAGGAAACGTAAGCATGTTCTTATTCTTACAAAATAGAGTTACACTCCCCTCCATAAGTTTGGCACCCTTAGCTCCCCCATTGAACTACGTGTTAAAGTCTCTTTACTTTTGATTTTTTATTTACTTAACCTACGATGAAAATACGTATACTATTGATGGAAACGTAATTTGACTTTAATTCCAATACCTCCAAATGTTATCATTTTTTTTCCTCAATTACAATAAGTCGAAAATTGATGATAAATTTGATGAATTTTTGAAAATCGACATTCCCATGTTAACCAAATTTTTAAAAATTTATATAATAAGGTTGCCAAACTTATGGAGGGGAGTGTATGTGTTGAGTGCAGTTTGAGTTTCCCAATGAAATCTCCAGTTCAATTCCCTGATCCTTTTTCTTCTGTTCATATGGTAGGCGTACAATATTATTTCCAAAATTACCTTTCTCGCTAACATCAAGAAGTGACTCCCTGAGGGGGGTCAACCATATGTTGTTTGGATATCATTTGGTTGTATTACCTTCCAGGGATATTCTCGTTTGAGTGGCTCTACTTTAATAAAATGCGTTCACAACTGAATGCCTCATCTCACTTGCCATCAACACCTGTATTTACTGATTGAAATATTTCAATATTATCTCAAGCAGAGATCAGAGTAGGATAACGATGTCTTGAACACATCAGAAGTATCCTTATTTATTTATATAATGCTTAGTTAGTCATTAGCTAGGGTTTTAGGATTAGCAATACGATGTTTCTGGTCTATGTCTGGTACTTATCAACAACAAAGAATTATCAAATTCTTTTGGTATAGCGGTTCAGAAATATCTTTACAAACGAATATATCTCGAACTATGTGTCTGGTCTCAAAGAGGTTTTATAAGAATGAATGATATCACGAAGTGTGATTGATACCAGTGTCAGAAAATAACATTCAAAGGGCTACCTACGAACTTAGGTTATCGATATATTACTGGGTCAATGGGTTGATTAATAGAAATTCCGAGGAAATAACCTATTTTGAGTTCGTGTAATATTCCACCAAAACAACTAACTGCCATGATGGCAGCGATAAGTATCCACCTGTCTATCCACCTGTCATTTAAATGTTCAAAACGAGTAATTTGATAAACTGTGTTTTGTTCGGTGGGACTTGCTACTCTGTGGTGGTGCTGTTCTATATGCTGGGAAATTCGTTTGTTTCTCAATTTTTCCGGCAAGGTCGCAACCCCATTGGGTCAAGTGGACGAAACTTGGGGGAAACGATTAAGGCCTAGTATGTTGTAGTTTATGTTTATGTTTCTTAACTAACGGTTGTCTTCACGAATCGTCACTTTACATATCAGAATTTTGAAATGTGTCTTCATTACGGTACGACAATACTCATCAGTTTTTATGTTTTGCACCTAGCAATATTTCCAAAAAGAAAACAGGCAGAAATTAAAGCCACGATTTCCTCCGATGGGTTGAATCGCGGCGTTTATCAGCAATATTTACACCCTATGCAGACAGAGCCTGTGGGAAATATTGGGTGGGGAGCAAATGAGCGGAGGGTGCGGAGCTAACGGTCATTTTTGAATTTAAATTTGGGATATTTCTGAAACTAAGCCGTTTTGGGACTTCAAATATACCAAGATATGTGTATTTGACACCAAATATCAATAAAATTGTGAAAATAGTAGTGCAATTCATTTTATAGCGACGCAGTATGCCTTAAACATTTCCCAGACCTATATATTTTGAGACTATCCTTTTAATACTGCGTCCCGATCCCCAGCATTCATAAAGATACGCTACCCATGCAAATTATTTTTGCATCTTGGAAGCCAGGCATTATCTGTGTGATTTTATAAAAATTCGGAAATGTTCTTCAGATATGAACCCCCTCTAAATATTGGGTGCGGAGGTACGTTTATGGAGCTCCTCCGCACCCAATATTTAGAGGGGGCATATATCTGAAGAACATTTCCGAATTTTTATAAAATCACACAGATACTGCCTGGCTTCCAAGATGCAAAAATAATTTGTATAGATAGTGTACCTTGAACACCATTTTTTATGAATGCTGGGGACTCAGTATTAAAAGGATAATTTCAAAATATATAGGTCTGGGAAAGGTTTAAGGCACACTGCGTCGCTATAGAATGAATTGCGCTACTATTTTCACGTATTGATATTTGGTGTCAAATACACATATCTTGGTATATTTGAAGTCCCAAAACGGCTTAGTTTCAGAAATATCCCAAATTTTAATTCAAAAATAAACGTTAGCTCCGCACCCTCCGCTCATTTGCTCCCCACCCAATATTTCCCACAGGCTCTGTCTGCATAGGGTGATTTAGCGTTACACTTTTGTAATTTACAATTACATCTGCTTGCTTGTAAAGATCTAGGACTTTACATCATTAATAATGTTCTCTTATCTTTCAGCGTTCGTGAAGATCCTGCCGACTGGACTCTTTTCAAGGCGGTTGTATACAGTAAAGGACGTGTTTGGTGGAACGTTCCCATATTGTTCACATGTTCATGTAAATTAAACGTTAAATACTTCCCCTACGACCAGCAAGTTTGCTCTTTTAAGTTCGGTTCCTGGACATATGATGGCTTCGAACTGGACCTAGTGAACAGGAGTTCCCGTGCAGATACGAAACAATTCTTGGATAATGGGGAATGGGATTTGATAGATGTGCCCGCAGAGAGGAATCTGTTATACTATACCTGCTGCCAAGAACCATACCCAGATGTCACATTTAAGATTATAATACGAAGGCGGCCTCTGTATTATATTTTCAATCTGATCCTTCCTTGTATTTTCATTGTTGCCATAGCCCCATTTGCTTTCTTCCTTCCTCCTGCCTCTGGCGAAAGGATATCTCTGGTAATAACGCTGTTATTAGCCCTCACAGTATTCTTACTCCTCGTTGCTGAGGTAATGCCGCCACAATCAGAAGTAGTTCCTTTGATAGGTAAGTACATTGCTTTGGGTCTTGCTATATTCTTCTTTAAAATGGTGGCTGCATTCACCAAACGCAGGACATCACGATCCAAGACACACATTTCTTTAAAAAGTGGATAATTTCAATAGTCATACGTTTGTAAGATGGTCTGAAACTGCACTCTTGGCATTAACACAAAAAAGTAAAGTTTTAGAATTACAATAGTAGTATTTTAATAAGAGCAATTTCATGTAATAGTGCATTTATTTGCATAAGCCTAGCAGTCATTGTATATCAAATTCAACGCCGCCAACGTCGTAGTTATAAGTCACATGGCAGAGAGGATATGGTGCCCATTGGCACTGATAAGACTATAGTTCGGATTATATGATTAATAGAATCATTTCCTCGTATAAAGTCGAGTGTGATGCCAAATAAACATTATCACAATTTAGGAATTAGTTCAACAATAAAAAGGCAATTTACTGACAATTACCCGTGGCACTCATTGAGATAATTAAAGGAATAATTAGAAATCACAGAGTAATATTTGTAAAACAAAACGAACCATGAATCGCCGGAGGGGTGATCAATAAGCAATGGAGGCTTTCTTTTTGGGTTTTTCTTTGATTTTAATATTTTTGCTTTGATTTTATGAACATTTAAAGACAAAATATGAGATATCTTGTGCAGAACCGTAGAAAATGAAAGAGATTTAAAATCTATTGAAAATATCAGTGCATAAAAGTAATACTAATAGATCATCCCTCGTATGTGCATTACTGTATCACTCAATTTGCAAACATTTATTTTTAGGTCAGTATTTTGGAGTTGCAATTGGACTCCTGGCTATGTCCGCCATTGTGTCAGTGTTTACGGTGCACTTCCAGCACAGAGGGTCGCGTGTGGACAGGGTCCCCAGATGGGCGAGGAGGTTTATTCTCGGCTTCTTGGCTAAAGTCTTGTGCCTTAACATTGCAACGGGAAAAGGCACAATTCCCAAGATGAACATGGTTAGTATGAAGATATGTGATAATGTCTTGTAGATAAAACTATTCATCCTGAAGATCAAAGGTGGACGTAAAATAGAAAATTATTACTGTTAAAGGGGCATTGATTTCATGACCAAAGTTTGATATTGCTTACTCACTGAGATGTCTTGTGTTTTGGCATATGGTAGAGGGAATACCACTATCAATAATTTCATCATATTTGGTTGATTTTTCAAAGCTAGTTGCACTTCCAATGGTCTTTGACAGTGGTGCACAGCAGGATGAAACTAACTAGATATTGTCTCGCTCAAAAATGTGGATAATTCGTTCGGTATCGATAAACGTTCCATTTCAGCCATTCTTGCAAGCGATTCATTTTTGGACATTTTTTGTTTGAATCCGAACTTTTCTGGATCTGCAAGTTGATGAAAATGGAAACTTCTCTTTTTCTACGTTATGAATTTCTTACATATGTAATGCTTTCCGTATACCAGCACAATTTATAATTTTAAGGTTCATTGATATTGAACGAAATTTGTCCACCACACTGGCGGATCTGGGGGGGGGGGCCCAGGGGCCCGGCCCCCCCCCCCCCCTTGGGTGGGCCCAGAAAAAAAAAATTGTGCCCAAAAAAATTTTTGAGCCAAAAAAAGCCTTAAAGCCCCAAAAAGTAGGCCTTTTTGGTCATAAATTGGCCTTCTAAGGCCTTGTTTTATAATTTTAGGCCAAATTTTGAAGAAAATGGGCCTCAAAATTTCAAAATTTGGGCCCACTTTTGGTTTTTTTTCTCAGACCAGAAGTTTGGGCCCCCCCCCCCCCCTTGTTGGTTCCCAGATCCGCCCCCGCACCATCATGGATGACACGAACTTCAGTTATAGTTTTCATCCTGTAGTCGAACCAGTGTCGATTGATATCAAAACTGGATATGTAGATCTTTGTAACTGCACCTTATCTCCTGATTTTCTTCTTGTCTAAAGTTCTGTGTACTTATTTTACCTGTAATTTGTATCGTTCATTCGTTGCACTCCAAATCAATCTGAGGGCAATTCGTTGGGTGCTATCGTGCATTCTCTTAGAGAGGGCAGAAACGCACCGAACGAAATGCTTCAGAGATATTATTCTTCATCAAACGTTTGTTTTTTTGTTTTGTAATAAGCAGGGGCTTGAAGACTTTCCTCTACAAGAATCTGACTCTATATCTGTTCTGCTCAATGATTCTGAAGTGAGTGTTGCGCGGATATATGATACAAGCGGTCATCCTCCAAATGCGCGGCTTTAACTCAATCCACATCTTTTAATTTAAAAGGACCATGATGTTGTTTTGGACGTCAACGCCTTGCACGGGGAGGATGTGTCTGCTATGTATCTCTACATATACCTTACTTTGACTCTATCCTGCGTCATATATACGTTATGTATTAATACTTTAAGCTATTTCTATTTTCTGTTTCTAAAAAAGAAGGGAAATGCATGGACACCGCGAAGAGACTCGTTCGTTGGTCAGTCATTAATTGTACATGTATATTCATCTTGTCAGTGTTTCATCTTGTCAGTGTTCTAAAAGGTCATTTCACTCATTTGTAGATTTAAAAAATCCATCGTCCTGTTTTCTGTATACCAACACGATTTGATTCATTTTCAGGAGAAAAGAAAAAGGGTTTCAAATCGAAATTCTTCCCTAAGAGTAACACTCGTGGATGAACTGGACACGAACAATTCAAATCTGCCTAAAAAGGAAAACAACCAAACTAAACCAGATTCTGACATCAATGTCAGTCCAAATTGGGAGCCTACGAAATTTCTCCGTGCCATTCTAGGATTACTGTTCGACATGTCCGAGCAACAGAAAGCGGATGGCGACGATGAGGACTGTAGAAGGGAATGGCAGCTGGTTGCCATGGTTATTGATAGATGTCTAATGTTCATTTTTCTTTTCTTCACTTTAGCATATTCTGTCAGTTTTCTCACATATAGGCCTTCGTATGAATAACGATTACAGATAATTAACAAATGTGTATTAAACGTCTCCAAACATAAGATTTCAAAATGAAATGTTTGGTTGTTGACAGTATTGTTTCTGTTTTTATGTCATACAAGAAGTGATGAAATGTGATCACAGGCATCTGTTTTTTGTGATCGGTGTTCGACGTCATTTAAACTTTTGTAATCATTTGCAAGAAATTACAGTGGTGACGTTTTGTCACGTTAACGCCCTGTTTTGTATAACAATATTCCGTATCGGAATACTTGAAAACGTTTTTGCTAGTAAACCTAATTTGATATACTATACTAATAGTCTACTAGTAGTATATATAATATGTATATACGAACGTATTGAGAAATCATTGAAGTATGCCATCATGACTTTCAGAGTTTTAGCCACTCACGGCAATAGTAGAAGTTGCCTTAAGTCCACGGATTGGTTGATAAACATGAATTTATTTGCTCATTGCTTTACTTGCAATTTCAATCATGTACATATACACCAAAGACAGATGATCATGAATACTTAAATGAATCTAAATTTGTGAATAAATATACATACATATGTATAAAAATTGTTATTGTTATTCACAATAGAGGGAGAAATGTGTTTCATTGCCTATCTCTTGTTTTAACAACAAATAATACAGTGTTGATTGTTGGAAAAAAATATCAAAAATAAAAGCCATGACAATGTTACCCTCACAACACTGTGCATTACTACCCTGCATGCAGAGTCTAGTTAAGACGAAGCTCTCTTTTAAGAAGTGAAGTCAAACGAATGCAAAGGGTAGTGCATTACTTTTATCATGTGAACACCGCTAGATAAATTGAATCATCTTCCATCAAAATATGACATTTCACTCCTGGGTACATTCGGGAAGAGACATTGTAATATATACTGTAAGGATATAGATGGCATGACCCACCCCACTAATGCCTGGGTCACATTTGCTGCGATTCATCGGCCGGCGCCCGACCGATTGAGTATTTTGTTCCAAACTGAATACAATTTTAAACAAAACACTCAATCGACCGGCCGCCAGTCTACGAATTGGAGCAAATGTGACCCAAGCATAACTGACAGAACTTACAAATGACAAAAAAATATATTCAATTTCTTAGATAGATATTTATTACAGTTTGCATGTGTGAGACAAAAATAATACAAAAATAAAACTTAACAATTAACTAAATATAGCATTTCCTACTCCCAAGGTCATATCAGCCAAATACACACTATAAGGTTAATAATGCTAAACTCTTGAATACATAAACGGTACCATCACTGGTAACCATCACTATGGTAACCATGTTACTATGGCAACCATGCTAGTGATGCTACAAACACTGGTAACCATGGTGCCATCACTATAATTAATGCTTATGAATAGGAATATCACCTTTAAGAAAAACAGAAAAAATTAATTGTCCCTGTGTTCAATTAAAATAAAATATCTGTGCATTTCAAAACCCAAAATAATACCTTATATTAAATCTGGATTAAAAATTGTTTTACCCGAGTAAATATTTTCATTTGATATATTCCTAAGTTTACATTTTGTAAACTACTCCAGGAGAATTCAAGGTTACTATCAGAGTCAATTGAAGTGAAGGTGTGCAATTCAGTCACAAGTGTCTCCCTATAGTGTAAGGTTGTTGGTGGTGTGGTTATCAAGGTGAAGTAATACACTAACTGAGGGTAGGTTAAAGTGTTAGGTTAAAATACTGCACTATAATGCTATACAGGGCTCGGATTTCCCATATCAATATTACACTGCAAAAATTGAAAGATTTTTCAAGATGGAGAGGAAAAAACAACATGAAAATACTACACGAAAATAAAACTCCCTATGGTAGACTAATGGTGAGGTCAAACTCTGGGGTTTCAGAGCAAGAAATTTGCAGAGCATAATTCTCAGAACAGGTTAAAAGTACAAAGAGGTGAAGAGAGCATAATTTTAATATTTCACTATCCATCTTAGGAAATCTGGCAAAATTTGCCAATAAAGCTACATTTGCTTATATATAATATCACTGATTGAAACAGCAAAAATAAACAATTTTTGTAACATTTGTCTGTAACATAGTACAGAGTAGAATTAATACATAATAGAGCATGGTTGTAACATACTATAAGTTACCTGTAACACACCATGTAAGTTACATGTAACATAACAAGTTGGTTATTGTCACAGCTAAGAAATGTTACAATATATGAACTGTACTTCGTCACACACTGTTTGTGACACAATGCAAGTCATCTGTGACACAATGCAAGTCATCTGTGACACACAAAAAGTTGTCAGTAACACAGAAATCCAGTACAATGCAGGGGCCTGCCTACAGTTTACTGGTTGTAAAATGAATTAATACTGTATATTTTACAGATAAATATTAAGGGGCCTACAATACACACTTTGTGGGACCCGAATTATTAATATATGCTATGATATTCATAGATGATTTGTACTGACCTATAATAAATGTGTATTGAAAATGTGCACTGATTTATCAGTTAAAATGACTAGTGAATTAAGATCATATGTTTAGAGTTTGAATTCACCAGAGATGTTACATGTAAGTTTCTTCTTTGACTTTCCAGGGTATGGTCAGATTTCAGTAAACAAATGATATTTTCCCAATTATGTTTAGGAAAGGAAATATGAATAGGAAAGAAATACAGAGAATAACTGAAATTATCCTATTACACTTGGATGGGTCTAATCTATATTCAAAGGTGAGGTTAAGTAAAATGTGACTGCCTTAATTTTGGCATCCTCAGAGCGAATGGCTCCAGACTTCATCTTCTATATTCCTTCCTCCTTGGAAGGAGGTAGAAGTTCTGGAGGTCTGTGTTCAGAGGATGTAATGTTGGTTGTAAAAATCCAATAATTATAGGAATATATATTGTCCATGTTCAGTATGAGATTCCTGGGATATAAATTCAACATGATTATAAAGTAACAGCCTTAAGGGAAGATTGCTGGAAACGGTGGAAACTTTCAGATTAAAAGATTTTAATATTTAGAGATTCGATTCTGATATCATTAGAGCAAAATGGAAATCCAAAAATGGAACTTAGTATTTGAATTTTCACTGTTTACATTGGAGAAATGTTCCCATATAAGGGTATACTGTAGTTGAAAATATCTAATGCACTTAGGGAGGTAAGAATTCCTAACTATAAAGCAGAAAGAGAACCCTTTTCAACCATGAATGGTTATAGAATGGTAAACGTTAGGTTGTAGTTGAATACTTGCACTTTTACTACACTTTACAATGTCCTTACATTTAAATGGTTCAAACAAATGTTTCTTACATTTAAAGGGCTTTGTACAAACTCACATTTAAAGGAGTATTTCTATTCTACAATATGCAGATATCTACAATCTCAAATCCTTTGCCAATATATACAAAGTTAAGTTGAATAATTACAAGTTTAAATCCATTTACAAGTAAATACAGTATACATTCTGAATAAAATACAGACTTCAGTGTACAAATAATTGCAGTGTCTACATGTTAAATTATCATGTATTTTAATTACAGTAAAAGTATGGGAAATATATGTATGAATAACTATAGCTTTTCTTTTTCAAAGTTTCCCAAAGAATATCAATTAAATTAGTTCATGCACATAAACTATGGTCAAAAGACATTAACATGATTGAAAATGTCACCACCTGGTCACAATTATAAAAATGTAACAGTCATGACAGTATGTTACAGATACCAAATGCCATTCACAAAAATAAGGGTTGCTATGACAATATGCCAACACTTCCTGTTAGTGACACAATAAAGTTTACTCATGGCAGATCATAAAAATGTTTATCTTATTTGTCAAATTAAACCCATATTTGAGGCCAAAGAGTAGGGTGAATTTTTGTTGAATTATAGTGGTATCTATGGATATCTAATTCTGATTTTGTTTTCATTTGAATTTACCTTATTCCTCACCAAATTATCCTAAAACCAAGTGAATAATTATCAAAAAAATCTACCATTATAAACCTCCATCGGAATATATTTGAAACGGCCCTAATTGTAATTGATATAAGTATGATCATATATGGTGTTTTCAAGAAGAATTAATGGGACACTTTCATGGATGTATTACTGAGTATTTACAGTTCAAATATTTACAAATAGTAGAAATATTTACATTTTTGTATTGTTAAAGTATTGCCAGATTCAGATGAGAGAATAAAATATACATGGTGGGTAAATACCTCAAATCTGTACATTCATCTGCATAAGTTATAGACACTAACATGATTCTTGCAAAATCTGGATGCATTTTCTGAATTTCTTGAAATAGCAAAAAATGAGTTGCTGATTAAAATTAAAATAAATTGACTCCGGGGTAGTATATGATAAATATCCTAAAGATATGCAATTTTTATGCTTCAGTAAATCAATATATCTATCCTCACAAATTAATGAAGTAATAATTAAAGATTGCTTCTCTGCAACTTTCACGTTCAAATGTTGAGATATACCAGCCAATCAGATTCATATCTATGCATTTCATATGTAGATATATTTGCAGTTCCATTGTATAATCCATGATAAATCCCTGGCCATATCCAGCGTTCCTTTAACAAACTGCAAATTGAATTCCTATTTTCTATTCCTACATCTTGACTAGTGAAAATATTGGACATAATTATCTTAAAAAGTCACTCATATTGGGTTTTTATATTAATAATCATATTCGCATATTTGCATTTTATTGAATGGTATACTGCAGAAATAATTTCCTACATATTTGTGTTCGCATCCTCGTCATTAATGGAGCCTTTTGGAATGTCACCATTTTCTAGAGCCTCAAGTTGCTCATTGAAACTGTTGTCTAATTTATCACATTTCTCTTCAAATTCGGTTTCGATCTCCTCCTCCGTCTGCAAATATAAACATAGGTAGGTCATTTTCTTCATTTTCATTTGTGCATTATAATATGTATATGGTTTATATTTTTAATGCACAATTTCTAATACACAAATACACAATTTCATGGTACATTTGAAATGATAAAATAATATATGATAAATTACAACAAATAATGGTAAAACTGGCTTTCAAAAATCCCAAATGACACTCCGATACTCCCTGAACATACAACACAGTCAACATAGTTTGTCACGACACTGTAATCCATTTTCCGCAACCATACTGATAAGTTAAGAGTTCTCTATTCTCAATAAAAATACTTTGAACAGTGATAAAGTTTACAAAAGGAAGCCATCATGAATAGCAGCCTGGCCAGAACAAGTCATGCCTCTCTATTTTCTCAATAACTTTCTCAATTTTGAATATTTTTTCATGATATTTTCACAGAATAAACTTTAAAGAATTCCTAACATACACATTTTTTAGATAAAATCTTAGCCTTGAAAATGAATTACAATATGCTCCTCAAAATAGGAGCTCTTCAAACTCTGAGGTTCAAAAATCACAAAAGTCGTCTGCTAAAGGATGAGTCTGGGGATGAGTCTGGGTATCGACTTAGAAAATATTGAAAATTGTAATGTCTGAAAAACCAACTCAATCACACATATTATTAAACTTCAATATCTTATCCTTCTTCTGAGAGTACAAAAATATCAATTTGTATCACAATTAATGAAGAATATTGGCATCAAGCACAGTGCAAATCACTTTGTCAGAATTGAAAAAAAATCAATGGCAAATATTAAATGAATTGTTTATACAAAAGGTTTGAAACATATCCTCCAAAACATTGCTTACTTTCTTTGTATAGACATTGAATGGTATTTATGGATAAGTGAATTGGTGTTTATCTTGGTAATCAAGGGATTATAGTCACTCAAAGTTACTGAGGATCCAATTTTGAGACTTCAATTGTGTTGGTGAAGTTACTCATATTTCAGTCAAATTCATGCTGAGCACAACATTTTGGTTTCAATTTTATAATCTCTATACATGACCCTGGTGATGGAGAGTCAGAATCAGTCAAAAAACCTAAACCGGAAAACTGTGCTCATTGTGAAAACTAAAAGTGAAGTAACTTTTTTTCTGATATTTCTTACATCAAATGGCAGCCATCTTGTTTTTCCCCCTTCAAATTAAACTGGCAGGAAATTCAAAAATTTGAAAAAAAATTTAATCCTTAAATATATTTGAAAAATATGATTTTCTTTTAAATTCTTCATGGGTCTTAGGTTATTTCTTCTTTGTAAGTCTTACATGTTGCCATTGGTGTTTTTTCTATGATATTAATGACTATTTTTTGTTGTTGTTAAGATACTTATTCTGACTCTCAGTAGGGGGTTAGTTATGCATCAAAACTCGTGAAAAAGTAAATATACTTATCAAATATAACTTGGACAGAAATAAAAAACATATTTCACATACATTTGAATGAGGGACCAAAAGGGCATATACCCAGACACATCCTTTTGAAAATTCACAGAGATGGTTTTTACAAAAAAATCAAAGGACATCGATTTTCAAAAATAATGTTCATTGTTTTATTTACTCTTGATATTTTTGCTACAATTGATGCTTCTTTTTATCAGTTCATATCAATATATACAAAAAAGAAGAACACAAGTACACATGCACTTACATTTGATTTTTCTGTTTCAAATTGTTTCTTAATCTCAGCTTGTTTTTCAATGACATCATTTTTCCTCTTTTCCAGGAGAGCTCTTAATCTCTCACGTTCTTGGACAACCATGTTGATATGCTTATGTTGTGCCTCACGTTTCACCCTATAGAATTAAAAATATTAGACGATATATTTTGTTCAAACATTTGCTGTTATATTCATTTTCAAAATATACCTGATATATAATGAGAGAAAAGACTAATTTCATTTTGTGTATATCTAAGAACATTAACATGCTCCAGACCCCATTGAACTTATTTTCAGTACCTCTGTAACTCTTGTTTGTCTTTATGCTTCTTAGCAAGTGCTTTCATGTCTTGTTTGCTCTGTGCATCAAATCTCTTCTTTAACTCGACCACTTCCCGATCATGAATGGCATCAAGTTGCTCTAGTTGCGCTTCATGATTTTCGTCTATAAGCTTTTCGAGAGTATCACATTTCATATTGTTGTACTTGATGGCAACCTCCATCTCTTGTTTGAAGTGATCCTTATAAAGCGCCTTTAGCACTTCTATGTGGGCCTTCTTCAATGCATTATGCTAAAAGAGACAGTAATCTCAAGTAGGATTAAGAGTAAAATGGTATAGATCTCATTGTTTTTAGATTATGGGCAAACTGTAGATTTCGATTTTTATAGATATTTTAATTGATAAAAATTATGTGGATCTTACTTTTTGGTCATGATCAGCTACCAAATTGTTAATCTCTTCTTCTTGTTGCCTTTTCACTTCCTCCATATTTCCAGCTTTTATCGCTTTTTTCATGGCTTTCGCTTGAGTTTTTTCTAATCCTGTTCGTAAACGTATTTGAGACAGTAGAAGTTTTTCTTCCTCACATTCCTGGCTTTCCTTCTGCGCATTTCTTACCTGGAATTATTTGGAAGTAAAAATGAAAGAGAAAATAATAATTTAATCTATTCAATAACAAGGGGGATACCTTCATCGGGGAGGTTTACATATTCAACCAATGGGACTATTTTATTCTCTTTGATAACAAATTTGAATTGTTTGTTAAACTTTTTACTAAAAGGACTTTTTCACAATTATTTTTCTTGAATTCAATTTCTAAGATCTTTGAAGATTTCTGAAAAAGGTTGCAAATTCTCATCGACACAAGTCTTCAAATAGTCTTTATACAGATCACGATTGTAAATTTAAAACAAAATCTGCATATCAACAAGAGGTGCATCCAAGTGAAGTTTTACATTAACCCACTATGAAATATTCTAAAAATAAGAATAACAAGTAACTATTTTCAGTTTTGTCCATATAAAGTTCTGATATGCAGCCCAAGCAATACTACTACTGACATCTATTGATCAATCTTTAAAGCACGTCCTATATTGAATGATAAAACATGACTCTATATGGATATCCAGTAAATATTCCCATCCTCATACCTTCTCATGCTTCTTTCTCATTGTTTCCTGTTCTTTCTCCTGTTTGGTAATAATCTTCAGACACACTTTATGTTCTCTCAATTCACTCAGAGGGGTGGGGGTTAACACCTCAGCATCTGAAAATAACTCAATATTCAGTATATCCTCTTTTTTCTCAGTTTTATTCTATATAGGGTGAAGATTATTCTAATTATTCTGATCATAATATCTCAATATTTCATTCTCTTGATAGGGTGCAAATAGATTTTCAACAGGGTGGCATGTAAGTTTCAAATTCTCAACATGGTGCAACACACATTTACGGATAGATGCTTGGGAGATGATATCATTAAAATGTCACCAAGTACACGTATCATCAATGTAGTTATTTTTACAATCTGTTTTATGACTATTATTTTTTATTTCTCATCCTGGGGGATTTAAATGACAATAATTTGAAGTTGAACACCTATCAAAGATGAACAACTTCTTCAGAAGTTTCAAAACTTATTTAAGCTGGTCAATTTAGTGTTTATCTTTAACAATTGTACTTGAATAATGCCAGTTTACATGTGTCACCCTAAAGGTAAAGATATTGTTAAAAAATGGGTGACACCCCTAAGAATCCTAGTGAACTGTTTTAATATCATGAGAAGATAATTTCAGGAACAACCAAGGCTGTTCCTTATTAAGGCTACTGTTTAATTCTTCACACAACACAAATACGACTCTCAATTCAATTTAATCAAAACAAGGCATTAACATGACAAAATGTCACCACCTAGTTGCTCACAATATTATGAGTTCAAACTTAAGTCAGATTTGAATTTCTGAGAACTTGTAAAGTCAAATTTGAACTTCTGAAAAGATGTAGATGATTTTGAAAAACAAATTTGGTCAATTTGAAGCAAGTTGAAAACAGACCTTTTTGACCTTTTTTGACCTTGAGAAGGTCATTAAAGGTCAAATGTCAAATCTAAAGTCAGATTTGAATTTCTGAGAACATGTAGATGATTTTGAAAAAAAAAATTAGTCAATTTGAAGCAAGTTGAAAACAGACCTTTTTGACCTTTTTTGACCTTGAGAAGGTCATTGAAGGTCAAATGTCAAATCTTAAGTCAGATTTGAATTTCTGAGAACATGTAGATGATTTTGAAAAAAAAATTTAGTCAATTTGAAGCAAGTTAAAAAAAGACCTTTTTGACCTTTTTTGACTTTGAGAAGGTCATTGAAGGTCAAATGTCAAATCCTAAGTCAAATCTAAAGTCAGATTTGAATTTCTGAGAACACGTAGATGATTTTGAAAATTTTTTTTAGTCAATTTGAAGCAAGTTGAAAACAGACCTTTTTGACCTTTTTTGACCTTGAGAAGGTCATTAAAGGTCAAATGTCAAATCTAAAGTCAGATTTGAATTTCTGAGAACATGTAGATGATTTTGAAAAAAAATTTAGTCAATTTGAAGCAAGATGAAAAAATACCTTTTTGACCTTTTTTGACATTGAGAAGGTCATTGAAGGTCAAATGTCAAATCTAAAGTCAGATTTGAATTTCTGAGAACATGTAGATAATTTTGAAAAAAAAAATTTAGTCAATTTGAAGCAAGTTGAAAAAAGACCTTTTTGACCTTTTTTGACTTTGAGAAGGTCATTGAAGGTCAAATGTCAAATCTTAAGTCAAATCTAAAGTCAGATTTGAATTTCTGAGAACACGTAGATGATTTTGAAAAATTTTTTTAGTCAATTTGAAGCAAGTTGAAAACAGACCTTTTTGACCTTTTTTGACCTTGAGAAGGTCATTGAAGGTCAAATGTCAAATCTAAAGTCATATTTGAATTTCTGAGAACATGTAGATGATTTTGAAAAAAAATTTAGTCAATTTGAAGCAAGATGAAAAAATACCTTTTTGACCTTTTTTGACATTGAGAAGGTCACTGAAGGTCAAATGTCAAATCTACAGTCAGATTTGAATTTCTGAGAACATGTAGATAATTTTGAAAAAAAATTTAGTCAATTTGAAGCAAGTTGAAAACAGACCTTTTTGACCTTTTTTGACCTTGAGAAGGTCATTGAAGGTCAAATGTCAAATCTAAAGTCAGATTTGAAATTCTGAGAACATGTAGATGATTTTGAAAAAAAAATTTAGTCAATTTGAAGCAAGTTGAAAAAAGACCTTTTGACCTTTTTTGACTTTGAGAAGGTCATTGAAGGTCAAATGTCAAATCTTAAGTCAAATCTAAAGTCAGATTCAAGATTCTGAGAACACGTAGATGATTTTGAAAATTTTTTTTAGTTAATTTGAAGCAAGTTGAAAACAGACCTTTTTGACCTTTTTTTACCTTGAGAAGGTCATTGAAGTTCAAACTTCAAATCTCAAGTCAAATCTTAAGTCAGATTTGAATTTCTGAGAACACGTAGATGATTTTGAAAATTTTTTTTAGTCAATTTGAAGCAAGTTGAAAACAGACCTTTTTGACCTTTTTTGACCTTGAGAAGGTCATTGAAGGTCAAATGTCAAATCTAAATTCAGATTTGAAGGTCAAATGTCAAATCTAAAGTCAGATTTGAATTTCTGAGAACATGTAGATGATTTTGAAAAAAAATTTAGTCAATGTGAAGCAAGTTGAAAAAAGACCTTTTTGACCTTGAGAAGGTCATTGAAGGTCAAATGTCAAATCTAAAGTCAGATTTGAACTTCTGAGAACATGTAGATGATTTAGAAAAACATTGAAGTTAGTCTAAACAGTATTTGTTAAGTTATAGGAAGTTGTAAGAAATTGTTACAGACGCCGGACGCCAACCGCCGGACGCCAACCACCAACCGCCGGACGCCAACCACCAACCTCCGTCGCAAAAAAACGGAGACCATGACAATATGTCACCACTTTTGGTGGTGACATAATAATGTAAATTGTCTTTGCAATTTTAAACCTCTCTATATCTTTATATCTCCTACTACATATTTTGTGAGGATTTTAATGTAACTTGATCAATTACTGAAAATGAAGGGAAGCCAAGCATTCAAAAGCGAGGAATAGAAAAGTTCGAACTTCATGCTGCTGTCAGTGGTGATATACGAGCCATTATTAACAGTGCAGCATCACTATATCATTATTTAGGCATTATAAGGTATTGCTATAGCTATTTTATAGACAAATGACATGCTTTCTAATTTTAGTTGCAAGAAATATAGCTATAGCCAAATCTCCATCTTCCATCATAAAAGCATTATGTAAGGTGTTAGTAGTCAAGTGTCATCAATCTTTGTGAAGCCTGAAAATTAAGGGAATTTTAGGGTTGCATTATTGTATCTGTTATTGTCTTCTCATGCTAAAAATGTCATCCAAGTCAAAGTCAATATACACAGCTTTTCCCTAAAGTTTGAATGAAGCTCTGAATTATCTTGCGTTTCTATACAATTTGGGGCGTCATCTGTGTATATTTTATTCCTTGCTAATTCCACTCCTTTTCACTATTTTGTGTTTTAAAACTTGACCATATAGACATTTTTGCACTCGTAACTGTAAACCTGCATTCCTGATTGCGCCACTCATTTCCTGCAACATGCATTGGTTTACCTATATTGAACAGTCCCTTATAAGGCTTTTGAACAGGTACACAACACACATATGCGCTGGTGTACTCTGGTGGCTCATAAGCCTCATAGCTTGAATTCTGGACATCGGGACTCATAGAGATAGAAAACCTGCCAGAGGCTGCACTCCCAAGTGAGTAACTCCTTTTATATGCCCCCGGCAGTGAATTAACACTGTACAAAGACCTCTGACTGATCTGCCGGGAATTCATGGCTAAAAGTTAAAGGAGAAACTGAAATAGATGGCATGCTAACATTCGAGTGCGTAATAAGTAATTTCACGATGGACCATGTGTTTCTGGAATTCTTATGACACACTGCCTCATACAATACAGAATTAAAACTAACTGAACTTAGTTCTAAGCTGAACAAGATTTAAGCCTTATTTAAAAGCTTTTAATAGAAGGTGTGTTCTGCATACAAATGTATCCTAAAAATGCCTGGAAATATCTTAACTTAGAGAATGCTGGGTGAAGCAGAACCAAACAGGTGAGGTATACAATAATAGAATATTAAAATAAAAAGTGCATATAATTACTAAATAAATTATAGTTTCATTAGATAAACAATCATATCATTCTTGAGAAGAAAACAAAATGTAGAATATGAAAAAATGAGAAAATTTAAGTTGAAAGAAAATTTCGAGGAAAAAATGCACTTGAAAGTGAAGTATTGCATTGTCTAATTTAATTAACACAACATGGGAATAGAAAGTGCCTTGGACTTGGCAGTGAATATCATATCAGGTAGTTTTCAACTAAAAGGCATTTAACCAAAAGGCATTATATCAAAGGACATATTTAGAACCAAAGGGCATTATATCAAAGGACATATTTAGAACCAAAGGGCATTATATCAAAGGGCATATTTAGAACCAAAGGGCATTATACCAAAGGACATAGCCCCTAACCCTGTAATGCCAAAGTTGACCCCTACTTTGAGGATCTACATACCATTGAGTTTACTTTTATTAGAAGCTGGTTCACTGGGACCTCCATTCTCTTGGTTTGGCCTTATAGAACCTGAGGAGACACTCCCAGGAATGGTTGCACTACCTGGAAATATAAAGATTATATAGAGTATAGTAAAACCTGTTTCATTCTTCATTCAACCATGTTCAAATACTCTTAACTAATAAGGTTCCTCATTATTAGACAACAATGAACACTTTTTGTGAATTCTGCATTTTTCAGATCTGTGACAATATGCCCGGATCCTGAAATCAATATTTTGACATCATTGTGAACTCTTGTGACATACTTTATTGTAATGCTGTTTATTCATTTAACACACTCATTTATTCAAAAATCTTGTCTCTTTTATTTATTAGGGTATTGTTTTTCTCAAAATACAAACAAGGCATTAACATTTGTTACATACATCAAATGCCAACCACCAAACACCAACCACCAAATGCCAACCACCATCCACAAAAAATTTGGAGACTATAACAATATGTCATCAGTTCTGGTGGCGACATAAACACATATATAGTTTACAATGACGTGGAGTGTCTAGGCTTGAGAACCATTATTGACTAACTAAACCTCTTGATATAAAAAAAATTTGTCATAGAAATGTATATAATAAGGAAGTACAGTAAAACCTGTCTGGGTAGAACACATTTGGTACCTCTAAAAGGTGTTCCACTTGAGATGTTCCACTTAAAGAGGTTCATTTGACATGGAGTCAGTTGGTCTTGGGACTCTAGAAAAGTATTCCACTTTCAGACAAATTCCACAGGTTTCACTGTAATATACCAGATGGAATTTAACCATCTTGAATAAAAAATCCAAAAAATCTTGAATATGCATTCTATATGTTTACCTGTGCTTTGACTAGATGCCTGGGATACAGTACTCTGCTGTTTGCCTAGGTTAGGATGGACGCCTTTAACGGACCTATTCGTTGCTGACGATCCATTCAATGTTTTCAAATCACTACCTGAATCATTCTTCGTCATCTGCGAATTGTTACGACGGAATTTTACGTCTTCTTTTATTTCTCGTTTCATCTCCGCATTTTCTCTCTCTGTTTCTTCCTAAAATGAGACAATTAATTGCAAACTCTGAAATGATATGATAAAATAGTGTATAGGATATGGATAGACCTCAACCATTATAATATAATACTTAAAAAACAAAAACCTCAAAAGCAGAATGACGCAATATGTAAATAAAAAAGAGTATACAGCTAGTATATGTTAAATTTAGATAATACATTAAAGATACATGAACATATTAAAGTAATTAAATAAAAAATTTAAACTTAAATACCAATTCCCATAGTGATGATTAGCAATGTTGAGAACATTAATTAATTAAGTATCAAATAAACTAGAAAGATGTGAAAATATTTGGAGAGGAACTTTTAGAATCTGTGCCTCCAGTTCTGGACTATTCTATTCTTGATTTAGCAATCATAAATAGTTTCTCTCCAAAAGTTATACTTCTCATTAATAAATTTTGAATCCTGATTTATTTGTGATAGTCTTGCTTCACAACCCGGAACTCCCCCCCTTTATCTGCTCAACAAGATAATATTTGGGAATATCTTTGTTAATCAACAAAACTAGTTGTGCATGATATATAAATACCATAGACTACATGTATATGGAATATAGAAATAATCCCGGCTCAACAAGACAAATGACATCCCATAACTCAGTTTCAATGATTCACAAAAAATCAGGATTCGTCACAAATTTTCTTTTTAATTTACAAGCAAAGAAATCACAAAATCGAATGATTAAATACAACACCATCTTTCTAGTTAGTGCATAAGGTCCTGCATAAAGATACAAGAAGAATACAGTATGTTGAATGATTAAGTATATATTTTAAGCATTAAATATAATATAGTCACTAATGTAGTCAAGATACTGGATACATGAAAAAAATGAATAGCTAATTATAAAAAAGAAGAAGTAAACATTAAATGTATCACAAAAATCATAAGAAAAATGTATAATGAAAATGAATTCTGATAGTTTTAGAATCTATTTAAAACTTTTAGAAAACACAGAAGTAAAGAACTGGATTGATACACTTTGAGAAGTCTGATTCATCTCATAAAACAGAAAATATTTGTTATTCCTTCAACAAACAAGAATAGTTTTCAATTCAGACAAAAAGAGTGAAATTCCTGTGAACTGATACTAAGTATTAGAATAATATAAATATTATTGTTATAAATTATGACAATTATCAGCATTTATTTAATCATTAAACCCTCCACCAAAGGTAAATATTTTTGTTTCTTTAATTACTTCCAAAGAGGATAAAATTAGAAAATTCAGGAAAATCATGTTATAGTTAAGTGCTCTTCGGTAAAGGTCTTCATTTACTTACACTTGGATTTTGATTCTAGAAAAATTAATTTGAAAATTGAACAAAATAAAAACATATGAAACAAACTCTTAATAACATAAAAATTCAGAGAAAATAATTAAAAGAACGTTAGACTACATGGTTTATCAGTGTGAGTACATAAAGCTTTTAGGCTATGGCTAAACAACATAGAATTTGACACAATTGTTGGCATTATAAGAGGAGTGGTCAATAAGTAATGAATTCTTTTAAATCCATAATTCTTTGATCACCCCTCATATTTAATGTGATCTGAGAGTGGTGGGCGAATGATGAAAATCATCACAAATTCTACAGCCATTAATACATACAAGTATGGGTCATACAAAAGAATGGAATATTGTTTTTTCATCAATATTTTAAAAAAATCCTAAATTAATGCAATAATTTCTTTTTGATAGCTGGTGAAAAAAGGCTTTGACAAACAAGGATGAAACAAGAATGACACTACCATTTGGAATTTTAGTTTCTCTGAAATATTACTATTTCACAATCAAAATACATTCCCGAATCTCTCAAATCACAAAAAGGCATATGTATATAATATTTTTGCTGTGCAATAGTGCAATATACATGTACTTTAATTATGTGCTATGTATGTTTTAAAGTTAATGACGGTTACAAATAAGCATTCAAACTATGAACAATCAAAACACTGGACACAAGTTATTTGTCAATGATGTATGGGGCCACTCACTTCCTCCTGGTCCTAGGTCATGTGATAAAATATCATAAATTAAAATGAATAAAAACATAATGTGAGGATGTCAAAAATCATTTTCTATATTTAGTGAGTGATTTATCTATACCTCCTGCTCATTAAATAAATAATAGATGATTAGAAAAAGTTAGGTACATCTGTACTTGTGAAAATCGTAAATAAATTGGATGAGAAAATATAGAGATCAATCAAAAATATAAAGAATCAATCAAATTACTTTGATCTCTGAACATGCATTCAGAATTAAACTATTGAACCTCATTAACAACAGTTTTAGATATTTCACATGTGTTTTTTAGTATAATATTTCAAAGTAAAAAATAAATAAATGACACCTAGCATTCTTGGATTATTTCATATGGTGATACCATAATTATAAAAGAACATCATATTTCATTTGGTTTTGTCAGCAAAATTTGGATAATAATGGGAACCAAAAAAACAAAGATCATGAACAAATTGAAACATTTATATGCATAGATTGCAGTGAAGCACCATGGGAATAACTCCATATCACTGGAGCACTCTGGGATATCTCAATGTCCATTGATTCATGAATATGTCATAGTTTATATACTCACATCAACATCAAAATCGTCAGTCAATGCTGCCAATTGTGCCGCATGCTTCTCCATTTCAGACTGGTAACGTATGGGGTCCATCAAAGCATTCATCAACTCTGCAAGAAAACAATTGTTCAGTATAATACAGGGTGTTCATTACAATACAGGGCGTTCATTACAATACAGGGTGTTCATTACAATACAGGTTGCTCATTATAATCCAGGGTGTTCATTATAATATAGGGTGTTCATTATAATACAGGGTGTTCTTTACAATACAGATCGCTCATTATAATCCAGGGTGTTCATTATAATATAGGGTGTTCATTACAATACAGGGTATTCATTACAATACAGGTTGCTCATTATAATACAGGGTGTTCATTATAATATAGGGTGTTCATTATAATACAGGGTGTTGATTACAATGCAAGGTCTTCATCATAATACAGGGTCTGCATTATAAAGCAGAATCTTCATTTAAATACAGGGTGTTCATTATAATGCAGGATATTCATAATACAGTGATCATTATAATAATGCAGTGATTTTGACCAAGTTAGATTTTAAGAAAAATGAGAAAAAAAGGTTTCTTATTATAAATCTAAAATCAAACATGGTATCAATAAAACAAATAAATTCAAATTCAAAACATTTGCCACGTACCTGCTTTGTCATCTGGAACAAAGTCTTTCACTTGTATATGGACAAACAATGAAGGAAATGAGAGAGGTTTGTTGGATTCATTCCTCAACATTATATGTCTGTAACCTACAACCAAATACATTTTATATTAATATTGGTATCTTTGGTTATATGGAGGATCAATTAATGATGGTCATAGTATCAACTCCATAACTTTCTAAAAATGAGTTTCCAATTTTTCATTTCAGTCAATCATGACTGCTGAACGGACATGATGTGCCAGAGAGCATTATTATTATTATTAAAAATATAGAAAAGTATACACAGATAGAAATATAATGAAGATTTTCTTTGTTTGAAAGCATTGACGATTTTGAAAGAAATCATGTAAAAATTGTTTGAGTATATAGTTTTGCACTAAAAAACTGTTAAAAAAGAAGAGACATGATATTTGATTTGCGAAAAACACAGACCTGGCCTGAGACCTTCTACTGGCAAGATCCTTTGACCAATACTCTTGCCTGATTCCTCATAAACTGCAATACGTAGGACTGCTAGATTGGGGAGTACAATCTGTCGATGGAAAAGCCAAGCATTATATCTATCATTTGCACTCCCTCTAAGAGCTTTGGAAAGCAAGCGTTACCATGGGAACCAAAAAGCATTTATTCTATCTGCATGTATTTATCTAATATAATAAAAATACAAAACTGTAAAAAGCAAATCAAAAATTACAATCATAGATTTAAAAATGAACCATATACCAATTCAGTAATACTGATCTTTGCATTATATAAGCATTTACCTTAGCAAGCGTCCTGAATTGTATGATATAATTCAGTTTAAATACATACCTTTTTGAACACAAATGGGTCATTGTCATACATGGGGTTGATACCATTACTTGGGACTGTTTTAGTTCGTTTCTTCCTGACTGTATCAGCTGGCAAGCCATACATCTCCACCTCAACATACGTCCCTACTCTCTTATCAGACAGGAAACTACCAGAGATGATCTGAAAATAACATTTTATCAATTTTGTACAATTTGAACCATATAGCCATTTTATTTGAAACTAAACCAAAATTTAAGAAATCCAAAATAAATCCCAGTAAACAAACCATATTAGATAACCATATGTACCCTTTCAAACTGAATAACTCAGCTATATTTAGGTCATATAATAATGGTATAAAACAAGTATAGAGGGCACTTAAAGGAGTTGGACATTCTGTACACCCATATTGAGTACAGATATACCCATTAATACACCCATATTGAGCTACATACCCATAATACACCTATATTGAGCTACATAACCATAATTCAGTAATAATACACCCATATTGAGCTACATACCCATAATTCAGTAATAATACACCCATATTGAGCTACATACCCATAATTCAGTAATAATACATCCATATTGAGCTACATACCCATAATTCAGTAATAATACATCCATATTGAGCTACATACCCATAATTCAGTAATAATACACCCATATTGAGCTACATACCCGTATTGACATGGCACCAGCTATGATTCCATCAACTGTAGATTCAGCAAACGGATCAAAATGTCTGTCGTTTCTCCTCATAAAGTCAGGCTTCAGAATATAGCCAGACTTGCCGTTGTATTCAAACACACCAAGGTTAAGCTGCATCGCAAGGTCTGCAATACAGAAGGAAATACTGAAACTATTGTGAGAACAACTTGATACAAAGCAACACAGAAAATATAATCCTCTGGTTTTGAAGATATTTTCTAATTTTTTTATGTAATCTTTGTTTAACTCTGGAACTGTGAAGGGACTAAACCATCCACACATAAAAAATCAAGAGGATGTCATGCTAGTTGAGAATGTTACTAAAAAATAAGAGACTTGCATCTTTCACACTATATCAAAACCCATCTGAATAAACAAAAAATTTACAGAGTTATATATTGTTTATTTGTAAAAATGCATAGGTTTTAAGTTTCTATTATGAAGAAAAAATATAAACTAATTATATAAAATATAACAATACAGGGTGTCAAATAAGTCCCGTCCCCCCTGCTACAGCTAAAACCTTAATAGATGGTACCTAGTGTGATATACCATTGGAAAGATCATCCAAAGTTATGTCAACTCACCAACTCTAAAGTATTTTGGATGAAATTTACCTATATTTTTATGATGCCCTTTATGGCTAACGTACCCTCCTTTAAGCAGCTTTTTTGGGTCAAAATGACAAGGATATGACCTCAGAAATACGTCAAAAAGTTAATCTTTTTCGCATTCAACTTGTTACAAAAAGGTTTTCACCACTTTCCTTGCAACTCTATTTTCTACACATCTAACCCTATCCAGAAATTGGTTAAATTCATTGCCATATATATGTTTAATCAAGTTTTGGTCCTTTGACCTTTCTTATATCTGATTCTTAAAATCCTGCCAAATACGCCAAATTGCCATGTTTCTAGGCCTATGGTCTCCTCAATTGATACAATGTAAACATTTGTGAGATTAATTGACATGTGTCAGATATATGCCAATCAACGTAACTTTGGAAGACCTTTCCAATGGTATATTACACTTGGTACCAAACATCTTGGTTTGGGCTGTAGAGGGGGGGACGGGACTTATTTGACACCCTGTATATATGATTTAAACTATGAACACATTTTCAAGCTATTCTGATTGTGAGAGTAACTTTTGGGATAAAAGGTATTGGCAAGACATCAACTATTCAAAAAGTTAAACACATGTTTTATGATTTGTTTACAATGCAATTATTTCTTACCTAACATTTGAAAGTTTAAGGCTACCATCTGACAACCAGCATTCCAGAAAACCTAGAACAAATCATCCATAGTTACTTTTCTTTACTTACATTGTAAAATAAATTATACATTTCAATTAAATCATTTAATATAACTAACTCAACACTCGACAATAGAGATGTCACAGGCCAAAAACATTTTGGGACGAGACGGGACGAGAATTATCCATTTCAGGACGAGACATTCGGGACGGGATATAACCAATAAATCATGCCTGATTTGTTCTCTAGAAAAACAAAACATTGTTCTAATGACTGCCTAGCCTATTATTGAAATATTTTAGGTTCAGTCAATCATGGAACGCAAGGTACGTTATATCAGCAGAAAATCGTAAGTCTAGATCATCTTTATCATGCATTTTGGAAGTTTTAGGGTCATTTACAGGATAATTATGATATCCTGAGCATGGACCGAAATATTTGGTACACAAAGGTTGTTCCATCTCGTCTCGTCCAGAGTCCAAAGTCCCGAGGGACTGGACAATATTGGGAAACCGTGACATCCCCTACTGGACAACTCTTCATTTGTACAAGTCACCCTTCCTAAAGGGGATGAAAAGATTGTTTAACTCATATTTGACTCATATCTGTTCATATATAACTCATATTTGTTTATTTATAACTCATGTTTGTTTACCTGAGGCATATAATTGCTGGAGTCGACTCTGGTTCCCTTCGGATAAATCCTACTCAGCTGACGCTTGTTGTAGCTAGAGATTATGTTAAGGAAATGGTGCATAAAGCAATACAACATACAGCAAATATATTTACAAAATATTCAATGTGTTCAACGTCATGATGGATGTTGGATTAAGGTATGGTGCAAATTTCTCTTACGATTTCTCATATCATAATTAACTGTACTTTTATGAAACAAAACATACTCTTGATACAAGTAAGCTTATCTAAAGTACAGTAATTGAATTTCTTCATCCAACATCTCTTGAAGGAAAATGTAGAAAAGCATATGAGCATTTTATAGGTTACACAAAATTGCAATTCAAATATACATAATCGTATATATAAAAGTTATAAATAATATTGCAAAAATGTTACACAAAATTTCTGTTATTTTTAAGATATAAACACAGAAGGACAAAAATAAGAACAGTATGCCATCAAAATACATATTTATCTTAACTATGTGCCTGTACATAAATGGTCAAAACATGCACACACATGACATTACAAAGCAAAAAACGTGCACCCAAAACCCAATAAAAGTATGGTAGATAGCATGCACATGCTTGTAAAATATGTTATCAAAATTAAATAATTACTTAATTCATTTCATTAAAAATGATTAACTTGACATTAAATTAAAAATTTACTTCTTGTCATCAATGAACAAAACATTACATTATTACTATTTAATGCGATTATCAATACAAGTGGCATAATTCTATTTTTTGGTGAATATATGATAATTTTAATATTTCCACAGCTTGACACTTCTGCAAAAGAAAACAACTATCATTATTGTGCAATGTGTCAATGTCATTTCAAAATACATTGTAGTGACACATTTTCTCTTATAGATGGCGCTCCATGTTTCTGTGATTGTCTACAAGGTTGCTGGTCAATCCACAATACACACTTCAATTTTTCATGTTTTTTCGCATGAAAATTTGACACCTTTGAATACAAAAATTTGACATGTATGAACATGTGACAATGTGACACCTATGAATATTTGACACAGACACATACAAATGTTTTGAATTTTGAGTATTTGACATCAATGAAAATATGACACCTGTGAATATGAAAATTTGACATCTATGAACAGGTGACAGTGACACTTGTTTTGACCTTAAATATTTGACAAAAATGAACACAGATAGAGGCAGAAGATGACTTAAAGATGACTATCATTTTAAATAGCTTGACACCATTTGATGTTCATGGATAAGCAAAACTATTATAATTAGATGTTTAGCTATACAGATACAGTCAAAAAGACTGAATACTCATGAATGGCCACATGTGAACACAAATCCAGATCAACCTTACATGGGTTTACGATTAAGGAGTTACATGTCATAAAAATGCAGGCCAATCAAGACAACACACTGGTTGAGCAATAACATATGGGATAACATCAATTGGACATTAAAATGGAAAAAAGTGAGTTTAAATTTCAACACAGTTTATTTCAATACTGAGAAATTATTGCGAAGAAAAATAATGGGATAACATGAGCTGTCAACTGGACATGCAGGAAGGTGTGACATCAATGAAAATGTCATGACACATTCGACCACTCTGGTAACCAACAGCTACATGCAGTGTACCATTATGACCTTATAAGGAAATACATTCTGAATTGACCATATACAGAAATGGGGCTACGACAACCATACAATTCACTTAAACAAACAATCAGAACCCAGATGAAGGATACTTGACAAACTCAATGGCATATTCATTCAATAAAGTGATTCCCGAGCTTTCGACAAATGAAGAAATCTCACTACTGCGATTGCGCTCTAAAAAATAAAGAAAAATAAAGCGTCAGATATTTCTGTAAGAGCTCTACAAAAACAGATAGAGTCATCATCAATAGATCATAAAAAATTTAAAGAATTGCTTATAAGAAACATATAAGAAAAACAGAATAGCACCACAAAAACATAAAATATTTGTTTCAAATAACAATAAATAAATATTTCAATAACAATACTGGGCCGGGTCAAGTAACTAACATGAGACATCTATAGGTGCACAAATGTTAGAGTTCACAATTCAAATAAATGTTCCTATATTGTGGTTTATAACAATACAATGCTATATACAGATTCCAATGCTAAAATAACATAAAGCAACAAATAATTAATTTTAATGATTATTCATTTTTATACAAGTATATACAATATACACTATAATAAAATCAATTCAACAGAAAAGATGTAAATCAATGCATATTAGTGACATTCATTAGTGAGGCGAGGGGGCATGGTAGGAAGCCAGGCCATGGAATTAAAAAGGCAAGGGAATATGTTGTATGTCTCAAATCATTCCCCCCCCCTCTCCCAGAGACACTAGTCTCAACATATCATAGTTCATCCCCCTGGTGACAGTAGCCTCAACTTATCATAGTTCATCCCCCTTGGAGACACTAGCCTCAACTATTCATAGTTCATTCCCTTGAAGATACTAGCCTCAACTAATCATTTCCCTAGAGACACTAAGCCTTAACTTATCATAGTTCATCCCCCTAGAGACACTAGCCCAAACTAGTCATAGTTCATCCCCCTTGAGACAATAACCTCAACTAATCATAGTTCATTCCCTTGGAGACACTAGCCTCAACTAATCATAGTTCATCCCCTCAAGACACTCGCCTCTATAAATCAAAGTTCATATTCCCTTTGACACTGGCCTCCACTAAACTTAGTATATCCCCCTGGAGACAAAAGCCTCAATTAATCAAGGTTTATTCCTTATTCTAAAAATAAAATTAAACACCTGTGCTTTAAGTATCACTCAAATCATGCTTAAATCTTGACATTCTTAGGATTTGATTGATCTGCCTATTCCTCAAAATATTTCAATGTATTAACAATGTAGAAAATTCACTACATGCTTCTCAGCTTTACCCTAAATAATTCAGTTCTATTCAAACATGACTTAGTGGTACTCAATTCACAGTCTGAAATGATAAGCATGGAAGCACACACTTATTGCAATTTAAAGCGGGGCAAACAACTAGATGCAGCTGGGCAATAGGACAGAATGGTCTCCATTTCTCAGAGATGTACAATGCGGTACAAAGATCAGGGTCGATTTTTAAATTGATATACGAAGCTGCAGTAACACTAAAGCACATGCCAAAATTGTCCTCAAATCAGATCAAAGTTGCATATGAAACTAACAAATGGTATGTAAACTTCAAATCAAATTTATAGACAACTGGAACATGATATTGATGCAATGCAACCCCATTCATTGATGATTTTGAAATAATGTTTTTCTTAATTCTAAAAAATGCATTTGAAGCACTTAAATTATCAAAGCAAAATAATGAAGGCTCTCAACTTTAACATCATATCAAATATTCCAATATGACACCATGCAGATGTACATCTATATAATATACATATTTTTTCACTTTGTCAAAACACCATTGATGAATATGCCATGCATTAAAAATGAAGCAGCCGGAAGAACTTCATAGAGACATCTTCTCGTCTTAACATCACGCAATGACCAAAGATTCCAGTACGAAAATAGCATTTCATATCAAACACTTTGAATATCAATTTTGTAGATAATTCGATTAAATAAAACAAACTGAATCCTCATAAGATGTCCATCAAAAGCTCATTTATTAAATTATTGAACGAAATATTGTGAATGAACAAAACTGATGACCTCGTAAATCTCAGGCTTGAAGTCTGGACGGAGTATCTGAATATGGTGTTTTTTCTGGAATGCTATTTCCCATATCAACTGCAAAGCATTTTATGATGAACATGGTGGGTTATACCACATGACTGAATGAAGCACAATTCCAATGAAGCACAATTCCAATTATTAAGCACAATTCAATGAAGCACAATTCTGAATATATTGTCGCCCTGGCAACACGAGTAAATGGAGACCACTCAAACCTGGCAGTGTAAAGGATACTTCACAAAATCGACGGGTGTCTCCTTTAACTTCGCCATGGCGATCGTTTCCACGAAGGATGACACTTCGTAGCTGTGCGATTTTCCTAGAGAAGAGAGAACAGTTTCATTTAGCATTAGTTAACTTTCATCATCCTCAGTGTGTTGGGTTAGGAACACAGCCAGTTATATCTGTCCACTTACATGTAGGCCTACACAAATAAATCAAACATTTAACAATGATCAGTACTCTAAATCAGATTGATACAAGGGTTCAAAAATACTTTAAAACAAATAGGATATAGGATAGGAGACATGTTTGTAGTTCTGAAAAACAAAGCAGGTATCTTAATTTCTGCTAAATCTGTCAAATGAATAATTTACCTGTATAGGCCTGATGACTCACAGCCTGTAAGCATGCATGAATTTGTTATAATTATAATATGATACAAAACAAACATATATTGTAATAAACTCAAGCAATACCAGGATCAAAAATGAAAATATTTTGTTGATAAAAACATTCATCAAAGTGAAAGAATTTAAAATAAATTAAATTTTACAAGTTACTGCATGATAGTACCACTTTTTAATAATGACTGTTGGAGTTAAGAGCACACAACATGTACATCACCATACTAAATGTTTTTACTCAATCAAAAGAAGAAATAGTACCTCAGAAAAAGAATATTAAAGGTACAATATCAAAAAATCAGCTATTCTATGAAAATACATCACACCAGACTAAGGGCTTAAAATCCAAACAGTTACACTACACAAAAAGTAATTAAATATACGCATAATAAATATAAGAAAATTGAAATGTTTTATTAAATTGGCGATCCATGATTCAAGTGTCACAATAATCATGTATTTCATTGCTTGTTTCTCCAGAGACATATATAGAGTGAAATAAAATATCGACCATACTTTCCTGCTATGCTCTATGCTATAGAGTGCATCACATGTGTTTGGTGACTTTATTCTTTCTCAGTTCTCTCCTTTTTACTCTATTTTGCATTTCAAAGCATGAATATTATGACATTTTGCTCATGGAGGTTGATTAAGAATATTAGGCCTATGCAAGTGATCGTTATCATTGTTAAAAAAAGCTACTGTAAGATTAAAAAGAATAGTTAAATATACCATAATCACTATATTTAGCACCCACCCCCCAGCGCCCATCTCGAATTTCCAAAGAGATCAAGTGGGCGATAATGAACAAGAATGTGAAATTCGATGCATCCTCCTGATAAATATCTATCATTGGGTATACTTTCCACACCATACTAATGCATGCAAATGCATGAAAGCTTCTGCATAGGTTTTCTACGCACATCAAGGTTGTGAACTTTTTCGTTTCTTTTTCACATTTCGAAAAATGATAATTTATGATCAAATTAAAAACATTTGGTATAACCTTAGAAAAAAATCCAACAGTCTAGTGGAAATAATGAAGATAATCGTGGAAAACGCATCCTTCAATTCGGGGCTCCTCTGAAGATACTTTAATTCTTGGTTCATTTCTGCGATTTTTACAACTACCTCTCCAATAACAATCCATGTTATTATTGTAAAAATGTGCTTTACTTCGTTCTTAAGTTGCAAATTAGCCATTCTTGGCAGGAAAATTAACATATATGAAATTCCCAAAGATTTTCTTCTTTCATATAGGAGAATGGTTTAAATGAGATATTTTGAATTTTTTAAACGCCTTGGATGCTAATTACAGAGAATGTGGTATGTGTTGTGAAGTGCATTGATAGAAAGGATTTAAAGGTGATCTGCAATCTGGATTGCATTGAGTCCATGTGTGATTAGAGGGGTATCGTTTAGTTATACCATGACCAAATATGGGCATAGGCCTAAATAACATTACAATATCCAAGAAAATGCCCTCTACATAAAATATCACTTGGTCTCTATCACTAAAAGGCATCGCTAAATTATGGTTATGTCAAAAGTGTTGAAGGACTGAATACTATGTTTCCATAGAAACTCATTATGTCACTACCCATAATGCAATATTCAACTTTAATTTTAGTGGATTTGAAAACAAAATCGTTGCCTAATTAGAGCATGACCAAAGCACAGTTTATGCAAGGGTATGAAACTATGAAACAATACACTGCAAAGGATACTTGACAAATTCTACGGGATATTCTTTGAGACGTGACATTGCGATCGACTCGACCAGTGACGACATTTCAAAGCTACGATCTCGCTCTAATAAAATAAACCATATATGATAGTTAAGAGAGCCAGGTATGATCCCTAAATACACAAGTAATTCATTAAATTGAAATCTCTAATGCACTCTGGGATTACACCTCCCTCTTTGGTTGTTACATAAATGAACACAATATCACATATTAGAACAATTAAGGTATTACTGAAGCATCAATCAGGTATTTATTTCAAATATAATCTCAATACAAGATCCATTTATTCATTTATGGTGATGCACAGTAATCCAACATTTATCAAAATGCTAAATATGTCTCAGTTAAATAAGCTCCATTTGTGAATTTCTGTATGATACCAATAAGAAGAAAAGGAAAGGATAGGAGGTAAATTGTTTAACAACTCTTAAATAATCATCAAATGGTCAGTGCACTTACGGTATAAAAATTAATGATTTCAGCAAATTTTGACACATTTTTTAGAAGGCAAATAATTCCATATAATTCCATAATCATTTTGAAAACAACGTTAAACTCCAGATCTTTAAATCACACTATGTTTTAAATTTTCAGCAAGTTTGGTGTTTGACATTAAAACAAGGTTACTGATCATACCCTCAAATAGAGTCTCAAATGGAGCATATTTACAGACATCACATGCATACAATGTTGTCATTCAAATGGTTGTCATGGACAATTATATAATATGAGTACACCATATATGATCATGAGTGGCTTGGGATTATTCAAAACTTTTATTTAGGCTTTATAAAAAATAACTTCAAAGTCATATTACAATCATTAAATAACAGCCAGAGAATAATTAAAGATAACCCTCAATTCCTAGACTCAACTACATACATTGTAGGATTCACTGGACATTTGATCCCAAATAGTTCACATGAAAAGGTTCCATTTAATATATGGCCTTCATTCCTGGACATTTCAATTGTGGACATTCAACTCCTGGACCCTAGCCCCTAACCCCTGAATGATTTACCCCTAAAGATTTCAATCATGACATTCAATTCTAGACCTCTCCCACTGGACCTTTCAATCCTGAAATTTCAGTTTGAGCATTATATTCCTGGAGCTTCAATTCTAAACATTTCAGCCCTGAATATTTTTCGTTAGTCCTATTCAGCCCTATCTAGTTTGGGATTTCAAATGAATTGAGGTAGAATTCTGAGTAATATGGAATTTTTTTGAAACTGGATGGAAGAAATATACAATATCAGGTACAAGATCCAACCAAACATTACATTGCACAATATACGGATGGATTTCTTGCCCAACACATTGCATGCATTTCCTATGTTATCATGTGTCTCCCATTGAATCTCATATAAAGAAGAAATGTTGGTAGCATAAATCTGCACTAATTTCATCTTCTTACAAAATCACAATCATCAAAATAAAGTTAGTAATAAAACAAAGTTTGCCTAACAATTTCCTTCATATCATCTTCTTTATATAATACCATGGGACAGACATTGAATCTTGTGCTTCATAAAAGTTTATATAACTTATAACTTTTATTTAGTAGTTGAAATACATATTCATCTTCAAAACTAAAATCAAACAATCATTAATTTCACATCTCACTTTTCAATGTTATGTTATGTTATCTTTGGCATTTCTTTGTTGGCAACATGTCTTTTATTCACACCATAACTTGCTAATTCCTCTTCATGACATTTCAAGTATGAGCTCAATTTCATGTAATTCCATGCATATCATGCTTGAGACGTTTATAGGCAGGATCATTTTGAAAAAAATTGTGAATAGGTAATGCTTTTTTCTGTTGAAATTGTGATTTTTTCTTTTTTTTTGCATTTCCACAGTATCTTATGTGTCCTCAATAAGTTGTTCTGGTTTACTCCTGATGAATTTCCCTTTAAATTTACATATATAATCCCACATCAAAGTATACAAAGTCAAAATTGCCTTACATTATAAATCATCATTAAATCGATGTATAAGACATGTGTTAACTTCACACTCAAAAAGATATTCGGAACAATTGTACTTGTAAAAATATAATAAGTTATATATGGTTTATAGGAGTTTATACTTACTTTCTGAGATCTCAAAAGAGTGAAAGTGAATTGGTTGAATGTAGTTGACAAGTGCTGACATCTCCTGAGCTGCCTCTGCCTCAGAACCAGCTGTACCCTAGAACACAGAAAAGTACTATAGAACATGGAAGCATAGTCTAGAAAACAGAAATAAGTGTACCCAAGAACACAGGAAGTTTACTCTAGATCATGGTAATAAGTATGCACTAGTAAACAGAAATGTACTAAGAACAAAGATTGTGTACCCCGGAACACAGAAGTGTTCTTTAGAACATAGACATAAGTGTACTCCATAACACAGAAGTGTACTATATAACATGGAAATGAATGTACCCCAGCACACAAAATGTATGGTTAGTGTACCTTAGAACAAAGAAGTGTACCCCAGAACACAGAAGTGTATCCTAGATTAAAGATAGAACATTGAAGTGTAGTTTAGAACACAATATCCCTCAAGTACACGAAAATAAGTGTACTCTAGAACATAGAACTGTACCCCAGGACACAGAAAAGTATCCTAGAACAAAGAGAGAACATGGAAGTGTAATCTAAAACACAATTGCACTCTAGTACATGGAAATAAGTGTAGTCTAGAACAGAGTCTCTATAAAAATATTGATTAAAAACATCAGGTACCTTTTCTTTCTTCTCTCTTTGTCTACGTTTCTCCTCCTCCTCTGTTAGGCCAGCAATGTCATCATCATCACTCTCAGTGTCAGAGTCAGAGCTGAAACCAAAATCATCAATTATGTCTACAATGTCAATAAACAATATCACGATGTGCACATGTAATGGGCTATCTTATGGAGTCAGGTAACATCTGCATGTTCATGCTAAAATGAATGCAGAGCTGCTGTGTCTTTCAGTGAGAAGGAAGAGTACTACTATACTGTTGGACTGTTGGTCATGGCAGACTGAGGATCATATCATGACAAATGTAGATGTAGAAAAACCCTTTGTATGAGCTCTGTATGAGTAAGAGAATAAGAGATTGTATCAATGAACTAGATGTAATAAGAATACTTAATCCATCAAGTAGTTCGTCTGGAAATGTGCAGCAAGTAGCTAAAGGAAAATAAAAGCGAAATACTGCAGCAAACCAAACTAACAGCAAATCATTTCCTTTATAGGCACAATATAACAAATCAGATTTAGTGGGCCAATTCTGATCTGAGATATTGAATGTTGACTCACCTGTAGTCCTTCACTTCTCCATTCTCTGTAGCTGGTTTGTCTGATTTTTCTTTATCTCCCCCACCCTCCCCCAGTGCACCCTCTAGGACATTTTGCTGACTCTCTTTGTGTTCTAGAACTGGTTTCACTGGTGCTGTGGTAGGTGTAGTCACTTCTTTTACTGCCACTGGTTCTACAAATCAAACAATATAAACATGATTCCTTATAAAATTCAAAATGGCCGCCATCTTGAAAAATGAAAATCCCAGTTGACCTCTATCCAGGTTTTGTTAAGGCAACCATTCTGAGCATGAATGCCTCTGGTGTTTTTTTGGACTATTAGTTTAATAAAATAAATGTATCAGCAATACAGAGTTCTACTTCTTAAGGTACACCATGTGGGTGTTTAGCTTTAGTATTTTAAGCAAAAATTAAACTTGTTTAAAATCGTTTATTTAAAAAGAATATTTTCAACTATGACATACTCACTTTTATGGTTATGTCTTTTTTTGTTTTTGATTAATATTTTCCTCTTTAGAGCTTCAGGGGATGGTAGTGGTTTTCCTGGTTCAAGCTGAAATCATTAACATATTCAGCCATGTTAAACATGAGGGGATATTCAGGTGTAAATGGCCAATTGAAAAACTTTGGAAGATGGCTTTAAATTTTTTTTTCATTTTGCACTTTCAATAAGAGTCCCTCTTTGTCAAAGCTAAGTAGTGAAATTGCATTAACATTTTTACTCCTTCCTCTAACAGAAGAATTATGTTCACATTGATATCTAATTGAACATTGAGGAACAGATAAATATGAATAAAGAAATAATTGTGCACTATATTTGAGGGGTTGGATTTTAGGGGTTTATATTCAGTATTCCATCCCGAAGTATGCCAAGTTTGTCCCAACAGTCTCCAATCAACAATATTATAATTTGTTATGAAGAGAGTTAAGTAATAATGTAATTTTCAACAGATATTGAATTATTGACCATGAAGTCATTAACAGAGACTTCATAACTTAAGAATTCCATAATCAAGTGTGGTAACCATGGATACAATGACATCATAGTAAAACAACAACAATGGACATAGGAATTCTTAATGATGAAAAGTTTCCATTAATGACCCCCTACATTCATTAATTTCTCACCGGATAGTCTGCTATGGTATCTGTGAGCAGGAGGTCCCCAAGTATGTCTTTGCAATAGTTTGCCATTTTGGCCTGCTGACGTGGACTGAAAACAATTCATGAAAAAATATTACTTAAAAGAGACATTTTGAAATGCAAAATAGATTCTAAGAGTGAATAAGAGCAAGGAATGATGTAAACAATTTTGAATCAACATTCTAAATTGCAACAACATCCGTTACTCCACTCAAGTTTCAGAGAAAAGGTGAATAAACATTTATGTTCAATCTTAGTTTTAACAGGGGTCTATTTTTAGTACTTTCTTAAGTCATTGTTCGTCAAAAAGTAGACAATGATTTTCGTTGAAGTTACCATTGTACCAAAAATAAACCTGAGGTCATTACATAGTCAGGATCTAAAAGCTGAAGTGGAAATTAATAGGCAAGGGAAATTTGATAGAAAAAAATAAGATTATAAAAATGATCTTCAAATATGGATTAAGATACTCACGTGCAATGGTTTTCGAAGGAAAGTATAACAGGATAATCTGAGGTTTTAAAACTGGATTCTTTAATTGCTTCTATTACTTCCTGAAAGATAAACAACATTTTCAAATTAATAGACCTGCCCAGTAAATCCTGCCATCTTTTGAGTAACCAAAGAAACTAGGACATAGCGGCAATATTCATGATGTCATGGTTGACGACATATAATGCTCTAAAACCACACTAAGAAAAAACAGTGGAAAAAGAAACTGATACTGACATTTGGAAACGGTTTTATACCATTAAACTGGGATTCATTTACAGAAACTTAGTAAAATTGAATTTGCTAAGAATCCTTCAGAGAAGTATAACAATTTTTCACATACACTAATCAATGTCTAGGATCTGGTGTGGGTCAATACTTCAATTTGATCTGGAAATGATTTTGAAATCTTTTTCAAATTAGGCTGAGTACAAAATCTTCTCATTGCAAACACTGATCGAGTAACAGGTTATGAACGAACCTTAAATGAGATCTCTGTGCACATGGTGAAACCATGAGTTATGATTGGTTCTTCATCTGCCCCTTTTCCATCCCAGCAATCCAGTTCAATACAACGGCACCCAGATAACAGACATTGGCGGTAGATCTCAACTGACGATTTGCCAGTCAGCTGATGACCTAAAACAAAACAAAAACAGTTATGGTACCTGGACAGATACTTGAAAATCATGTTACATCTCTGGCTAACCTTTCTCAAATATAAAAATAAATGGCTCATTGTGCAGCTTAGATGACTTCTGGGAAAATTTTCTTCATTTTTCATAATACTAGTCCATGTTTTTTTAGAACCTGTTGAAAAATTGAAATATTCATGGTGCTAACATTACCACAAGTTTTTGGTCACATCTTGGTGTATACATGACCATGTCTAAAGGAATTTGCTCAACAATTATCAGATCCTAAATTGACCTAGTGTACCTAACTATCATTCATGTGATATCACTGTAGATTATATTTCTATAATTATTGTGTCAGTGTCCTTACCTGTTAGGTATGTGTTATGTGAGGAATTTATGAAATAATGGGGTAGGGGATGGGTCATTTCTTCACTCAAGTCGTATTTATCTGCTGGGATCGGGACATTCTCATCACTGATCAAGTACTTCAGGAAACCTTCTAGCGATAGATGGCCTAAAATCACAAAAAAAGATGGCTGTTATTGATTTTATTAGCAGAATATGGAACAAGTCTAAGGTATTTTTACAATATTTTTCAAATATGTAGGATATTCTGTAATAAACATTCTGAGTGAAAAACATTGCAGGCAAAATTAATTGTATACAGATGAACAAGATTCAAATTCATAATAACACAACATATTACCTTTCTTTGCCAAGGACTCATTATTTTCAAACTTCAAATTCATAATAACACAACATATTACCTTTCTTTGCCAAGGACTCATTATTTTCAAACTGGTCAATTATCGCCTGGGCCCGCTTCTGATCATAATAGGGGTACAGGATCTCATTCAGACGTGGATCTCGTTGTTGTTCATTCAAGAACTGAACAAGTTTCTCCACTGTGATGTAAGGTTTCTTTTTGGCCCCTCTAAAAAGGAAAACCATAATATTGAATCAAATTTTCAAAACAAGATTTTGTTAAAACATTTGGGAGGAATTTGGAAGAATAATGTTGGTATTCCAGATTATAAAATATATAAAATATCATTGCATCTTATGATTTAAATATCAACACGAACATGAATCTGAGAGAAATCAACTTCAATGGAGAGAGGTACATATGTCGTCAACAAATAAATATTGTGAAAAAATTAAAGGCGCAATAAATAGTAGTTGAGTCACGCTATTATTGAAATAAGGGCCTTGAATTTATCAATTTAATTTTTTTTATTTTAAATTAATTTATTTAATAAACTGCTTTAATATCAGATATTTAACTCAATCAATTAAAAATAACTGCAGACATCAAAATATATATTTTCATAATCCCTACTCAAGTGTCATAATTGACTTCAGTTTTATTTAGAACTTTAGAACTTTTTTTCAGAAAGGAATATCAGGTAGCTCAATTACAACTTAGAGATAAAGTGCAAAGGGCAACATTTGTAATAATGTGCACAATTAACACCAACATCTAATTATTTTAAACATTATCAAATTACAGCTTATAATATGATGCAGTTATTATATATAAAAACAACTGTAAATTACTATCTATACAAACATGTCATTAGAAACACTCTGTGATAACTAGAAATAACATGTTTTTAACCTGGATAATTCAGATCATGGCAGAATGCAAGAGGTTATAGCCAGAGTTTATTAAATGCCCACATACATTTCATTTCATTTAGTATAAGTCAATAGGCGCAGCAAATGCAAACAGTGTTCTGATTGGTGCATCAATCTCGTTTTTAGTAAATGAATACAATATGAACAATAATAATAATATTAATACAGTTATTATAGGGGTTAAAATAATAGTGTAAATATGTAAATATTGAAAACAGGCTACATAGGTGTCAGATGTTGTTTCCAACATTTAAATGCAAAAATAATATATGCCACAGGCTCCAACTTAAAAAAAAAACTAGCATAAATTCTGTCACAGAAGGATTTTTTTGAGTGAACATTTTTTGAAAGGTGAATCAAGATCAAACAGATAGCCTATGATGTAGCCCTATTTATAAAGTAAGCCAGTCCCAATGTGGAGTCCTACGCATATGATACATTTTGCTAATCTGGAATCTAAACAATGTCACCTTAAAGGTTTACCAGGAATAGGTTGCTAACTTACTAAGCAGTCTTACTAAACAAGGCTAAACATTCAGAGTAAATCAACTCAAATAGATAATAAAAATAAAATGGTGAAATAATATTTAAAAATCCCTCTGAAATTCTAAATAATTGTGTAAGATATAAAGATGCCAGGTCCTAAACATAGAATTGCACATTTTTGTTAATAATGGGTGTATATAAGAAAAAACTAAGCAAGCAATCATTCTATTTATGATTGATCGATTACTCACCCCTCTCTATAGTAAGCGTACATGATGAAATACAGATAAACATTTACATGACGTAACATGACACATACATTTTACAATTAGACTTTATACAAAAATGTTTTCATTCTTGGATGGAGAGATTAAAAATTCTGAAAAATTTTGAAAAACATTTTCGAGCTGAATCATACCAAAATTATGTGAATAATTTTTGGATTATGTCCCTTTATTCGACTCCATCAAAGCCCATTCATTCGAGGTAGCAACCATTTTAAGAAGCATAGAATCATTTAAGTTTGTACTTTCAGACTACATATTTCTCAGCATCCAGGAAATCAGTCTTTGTACATGTACAGTAAAACCTGATTTGGAGAACACCTTTTGCTAGTAAACACCATTCTCTGTTGAACAGTGTTTACAATTAGTGTTCACTTCTTCAGGTTCTACTGTTTTTATTCTAAATTGAAATTAATTTAAACGCATGCATACAATTTAAAACAGATTTTCACAAATCACTTTTCAAATATTATGTAACAAGGTTTGAAGTGTGTGAGTAGGTCAACCATGACTAGTTTCAATTTTGAGTAGTTCAACAATGAGTAGTTCAACTTTGAGTAGTTAAACCATGAGTAGCTTCAAGCTTGAGTAGTCAACCATTACTCAAATACAGACAACTTCGACATACACTTTATAACAAATAAACAGACTGTTGTAAATACAGATATAGCGTTATGCATTTTTAACAAAGAAAAAAATTGCACAAGTATTCAATTTACAGATGGTCAATATCAAATGGACAGCTATCTTGTATAAGGTGCTCAAACTTGAAATTAGTGTCATAACCATCTATTTGATGTTCATATAAAACATCTTTAAAACTTTTAATATCTTAGATAGCTATACATTTGAGAAATGAGAAGCAATTTGATTTTTTTTAAGTATTCATAGCAGCATCTATATTTTCACGTCCCCTTCTAAATAAATAACAAATCAATGCTTCACAAGGAGTCAGTGATTTATATAATGAGGCAACTGATCGTAATTTGATTTTATGACTGAAACTCTGGGGGATATCAGAGTGTTTGAAATCAACAAAAATGCCTAAACTCATATATGAGTATTTATCCTCCCCATTTGGATTGAAGTATTTAAGCAGAATTTCTGAAGCAAAAGAACAGTTTTCAGAATTCCAATCAAAATCTAAAATTTTCTTCAGACTCTCAAGCTGGACTATAAAAGATGAGCCAATCACCTAACAACGCTTTTATCATTACATGTCAGCAAACACGAATCAATCAGCGACTCAAAACAAATTTTAACATTATGAAACTTACATTTCTTCGAATACACTGTCAAGATCCGATCGGACGGTGAGCTGTCGGTAGAAGTGGAAAAATGTCTCAAATGTAAATTTCTCTGGCTGGATGGATTCCCCCTAAATAAGATAAAATAATTGAAGAGAAAACATGTTTATATAATCAATAATAATTAGCTTCTTCTACAATCAGAGCTTATATTACTGGGATCCAAATATTTTATACATTTTCTACCAATAAGCATATTCTAAGTACCGTATTCTCTGTAATTAGCGCCCAGGGCGTTTAGAAAATTGAAAATACATTATTTAGACCATTCTAATAAGCGCCCATGTATGAAAGAAATCAGAAATCCTGAGGAATTTCATGTATGGCAATTTTTCTTGACAAGAATGCATTTTCTTCAACATATTTTTATAATAATATGACAAGTGCTGTTATTGGAGAGAATACGGTAAAGATCGCTTAGACAATATTGACAGTGGTTGAAGACCCGTCTACGTCTAATTTATTTCCGGCACGCCCACTTTGTCATTATCGCCGATTACCTTCAATATTTCCACTAGAGACTGCTGGATATCGATCTAAAGTTATACATTATTTCTAATTTGATGAGAGATCATCATTATTCGTGCAAAAGTCGTGTAAAAGTCGAGAAACATAAAAAAGAAACCAGAAAGTTCACGACCTTGACATGTGCAGAACATCTGCGCAGTAGCTTTTGAAATTTCTGAATGCCGATAAAGAACAATTCCTTCATTCATTATGGACTATTTGGAGACAATATTAGCATGGTATGGTGTGGGAAGCACCCATCGATAGATATGTATCGAGAGGATGCATAGAATTACAAAACGCGTCGTGTTTACAGCAGTTTTAGGGTAAGTACTCTATTATCGCCCGCTCCTGGATTTTGAGAAATTTTTTTTTCCTGATATATTCTTCAATTCTTGTTGATTCCTCGATGTTTCTTGAACTTTGTGAAGCGGGGTGGGCGCTTATTAGAGAGTGGGCGGTAATTACAGAGAATACGGTATATCAAATACATTGAAGGTGACTTTTGGCACAATAATTTATTAGATATAATGAGGCGATCTCGTGATAGATCCCTGTATACATTGTCAGTAAAAATATTTACTAAACCTATCACACTAATTTTTATAAAGTTGATAACTGCTTGATTTTTCCACTCAAAATGTTCAGATATCTAAGTAAAGAATGGCAATTGTTACCTTTCCTGATGGTAGCCCAACAGCTGATAACGTCTGCTCAACCCGCTTCTTGTCATCCTTATGAGAGGCAAATGCTTTTATAATACTGGAAATATATTACACCTTATGATTTAACAACAACATTTTTGGTTATCACATTTCAATTTTGATTTGGTTTTATTGTTAGTTTACAGAAAATACAAAAATTAAGTAAAATACCACAATTTGCAAGGACACTGACCAAAAATGGCTCTAAAATACCACAATTTGTAAGTACACTGACCAAAAGATGGCTCTATAAAATACCACAATTTATTTACTATATTTCTTACTTTTTTACTGGAATTTTTCCGTCTGTACCAGTAATATAGGAGAGCTTGGTGTGTATTTTTTGTAGGTAGTACATGACACTGCCATTCTGACTTAGGAGGTTGTAGGCATAGCAACACAGTTCATCAGTCCATCCCTGAAAGATTTTTTTTTACTTTTTACCTTTTTTGTTCTAACATACATGTGTGTAAACAAATAAATTTCCTGGATAAGATGTTTTCACAAAAATTAAAATATTTGAATTAAAAAAACTAGCTTAATGGGGGATACACATTATGCTAAATGTACATGTATATAACAAAGCAGCCAAAATAGTGAGTCTCAATGAGTGGACAATGAGTAACCATGACGTTGTAATGCCCTGAGCTAGGAAAAACACTGGATCTGTCAGACATTATGTTTATACGCTGATATTGTGCATGCCTAGCCCTCTACCAACCTTTGCAGTCTCCTTTGTATTGCATACAAAGTTGACCCATTGTATGTTGACAAAGTCAGAGCTGTAACAGACAGACACTGTTTTATCTTCTATTGGAACATCTGGAGCTCCCATTGTACACGAGTCTCGTAGTTTGCCCTCCTGTAAGCACAATCAATGTTAATCAAATATGTGTAAGCACAATCAAAAATATCTCAAAATATGTGAGCAAAATCAATGATACCTTAAATATAAAGACACAATCAATGATACCATAATATATATTTAAGCACAATTTATAATAAGCTCAATAGTCTGATGGTTATACATCAATATCCCATAAAATGTATATAACATAACTCTCGTAACACATAAAAAATTACTCTACTATCCGTGCATCAAATAGATTTGATTGCCTTTTTATATGCTTGGCAATCATGATTTCAAAACATGATTCTCCATAAAATGTTTGATTGATCATTATTTGTAAATAATGAACTGTAAATATTGCATGAACTTATTGAGATGAAACCTGACTGATTGTGCATTGTTTTTATATTGCACCAAACCTTTTTATTAATTCTTGAAAACATTTGTGCATTAATTATAAATTACAACACAGATAACAGCACATATTTGCAAAAGTGAAAAAATAAAAATAAACCAGTTTTCAATCATGGCATGTAATTCTAGTCCAGTCATGTTGCTGTGCATTATTCTGCAACTATGCACAGTTAACGATGCACTGATCATTGATTAATTCTACTATTGAGTAAGAACCATCAATTTATTAATCAATCCCCAATACAACAGACAGACATGGAGTCTACTACAAACTTCCTGATTAGAGATAGCTTAATTCTCAGATGGAATGACAAATCGTAATACATGAGAGACATAAGTTTCGTAACTGAGAGTTCATCGAAAATTTTGATTCAAGCCAGGCTTTAAATATTACTCCAGCATTTATCATTTCATGATGGATATAAGCAGAGGCAGAACTTTTTGAATTTATAAAGAATTTAGCACGAATTCACTCCTGACAGACTTATATCATGCAGTCGATTTCATTTTGGTTTAAAATATGTAAGGTTTGATATTTTTGTAACGAGGGCAAAGTGCTATAAGTGGGTAACAGCATATTTATGACTAGTTCGACATTACATGTTTCTCCACTCTCATAAATGCTCCCTGGTATTACGGCAACGTATTACCCCTGGTTACCATATCACAAGATAACTTTTTAAATGAGAAGTAAAGTAAAACATATATGAGTTAAAAAGAATTGAGTAGTACGACAGAAAGTATTCACTCTAAACTATACAGAGAGGTAAAAAATCAAATATTTTATTCAAATTTTGAAATAAAACAGCTTTAAATATGCAAATCAAGAGTAGATTTGCCGATTGGGTAAATACTAGTATGTTATCAATATGATAAATCACATGTTATAGTGCCCTTGTGAATGTCGTTTGAGGAAATTGGTGTTAATACATCATTAATACTCCATAGTACAAGTCAAATAGATAGAGGATCTCAGTAGTATTTAGATATATTGACCAATAAAAGTTTAAGAATTATTTAACGAACTACGGCTATGTTTCTCCTGGTCCTTTCATACATTTGGTCCATCTGGTTGTGATGGTACCAATAAGTTCAATCAAGACATCATGTACAACAATATTGTTATCATTTTTGAAAGTTTAAAATCGTTTATTTAAAGACTTGCAATTTATTTCATAATAAGGAGCATGTCCTAATTTCCAGACGGAATCAATTGAGTTTCGTAGTGCTTTATTGGTTCAAAGTTGACCCAATTTATAACATCCAAGCATGGAGAACGTCTATGGAGATACTGTACATTAATTACATGCTATAGAATAGCAAATATATTCTCATTATGTTTCGTCAGAGTATACTTATTTTCATGGTCAAACCTTCCAAATGCAAGGTTTGGATTGGTTGAAAAGGAAGAATAATCGATATCAAAATACACATGATTGCTCCACCTTAAGAAAATACCGATATTTTTTTTTTTACGATAATTTCCATTGCTTATCTACATTTCTCACTTTACCTAAAGGAGGCATGAAAAGCAATAGCCTCAAAAGACTCGTTAAAAATGAATTTCAATGCATAATTTGTAATTATGTCCTAGAAAGTCGTCCCCTGATTGTAATAGAGCCATATTTATGAAGCATCATCCAGGAAGAAATTGGCAAATAACTATCCGGAAAGAAGAGTCGCCATAGATAATAGTCATTGTTATATGCTTTTAAATTAGAGAGCTAATAGCACGTATAAAGCATTTCTATTTGCAAAAATGCACCCCATGCATTAAAATAATATCCTTATGGTCCTGATTCGTAATGTAAAATCGAGAGAAACCAGAACAACGGCAACGCCAAAGCGTAGCGAATCCCATCAAACAGAAATGGCTGGCATTTTTACAAACGAATAGCAAATATCATAAAACAACACACCAGAAAGGCCACCATTTTCAAAATGGTTGCTCACTAGCCAAGTTGTCATCAGAAGAAATAATATGCTTTGAAGTAGCCACCACTAAAATTTTTGAAAAATCTCACACGTACTTGTAAAATTACACACATAAAAATGGTGGCCATTTTTCAAAATGGCCAACTACTCCCCAAAGTTTTATTAGACAATGTGCCATGCTTAAAGTATTCACATATCAAATATGAACAAAATCGCTCCACTACTTTTCGAGTTATAGTAAAATATGTTAAAATGGCGGCCATTTTTCAAAATAGCCACCGTCTACCAAAAGTGTCATTAGAAATAGACAGTGTGCCATGCTTATAGTATTCACATACCAAATATGAACAAAATCACTCCACTACTTTTCGAGTTATAGTAAAATACGTTAAAATGGCGGCCATTTTTCAAATTTTTTTTCAAAATGGCCGCCTTCTACCAAAAGTGTCATAGGACAGTGTGCCATACTTATAGTATTCACATACCAAATATGAACAAAATCGCTCCACTACTTTTCGAGTTATAGTAAAATACGTTAAAATGGCGGCCATTTTTCAAAATGGCCGCCTTCTACCAAAAGTGTTTTTAGACAGTGTGCAATGCTTATAGTATTCAGATACCAAATATGAACAAAATCGCTCCACTATTTTTTGAGTTATAGCAAAAATCGTAAAATGACGAGTAAAGGCCGCCATTTTTCAAGATGGCTGCCATGTGCTTCTTTAATATCTACATTTGTAGCATTATTAATGTCCTTTATAATTTTTTTACATTTAAAACATATTGCTATTACAGTTTTACATATTACACCTAAATTACTGTAAAATCGGCACTAAAATGGCCGCCATTTTGAAATGAGTGGCCATTTTGAAAATCGGCTTTCGAGCAGAACTTCTACCCCCATAGGGTATATGTGTACAAAATATGAACAAAATTGGGCCAACGGTATTTGAGTTATTGCCCGGACGGACGGACGTCCGTTCGTACGGACGGACGGACGGACGGAGGCGTTCCCTATATCCCTCCAAACTTCGTTCGATGGGATAATAAGAGTGAAATATACAAGGAATGAAATAGATATATACAGATTATCTTATATGAGGTTCAGGATATTAGAATTATCCTGAAGCCAATATGATATATATGCTGTACTGAGGTCCATATATACATGTTACATCATGGACACAAATTTACTAAATAAAAATTCAAGGAAATAATTTTTGAGTATTACGGGATGTAAAAAGTATGAGTCAATATGCATTTCATATGATGGCCTGATTCAGTTTCCACTAAGTAATATTTATATTTGGCTTCTAAATTCTCTGATTACCCGAGGCAGGAAATCAGATGCCATGATGACAAATTGCATAAGAGTACAGATAGTATAGGATGTACTGAAAACGTGGATTTAATTTGATATAAACTATATTTATTCTGGGTAGCTTTATCAGTACAAAACTGGTCTTCCTAGAAGCCCAGTAATAATTCACAATTATTTAAATATATACAATTAATATAAACATGTACAAATAGATAGTAAGAAAGCAAAGGTTTTCAAATATGGAGTATACCCCTTGAAATATAGAGTATACTCAATTTAAGGTTTTCAAGTATACTGTACAGTAAAACCTGTCGGAGTAGAACACCTTTGGTACCTCTCAAAAGTCAATTGCTTTAGAAACTCTGCAAAGTGCTCTACTTACACAGGTGTTCCACTTCTAGAGGTGTTCCACTGCACAGGTTTCATGGTATATAGTATACCTAAGTAAATGTTTTTAGAACAGACTATTCCAAAGCAAAGGTTTTAAAATATAATAACTACGAGTAATTAAGGGTTTTTTCAAGAATCGTCATATGAATGTCTACGAGTATATCCCACAGCCAGCATACCCAGTAAAGGTGTCAGTACAGGTTTTCAAGTAGAGAGTACATCAAAATAAAGATCTTAAGTGTGACATATACCATGTGTGAAGGTTTTCATGTCAATGTTATTCTTCAGATGTTAATTTGATATTTACCTTTGGGACTTTTGCATATTTTCCTGTCCTTGTATCCCGGATCATAGAGATATCAATACTGTCCATGTCCTACAAATAAATCATACTCAAAATAAACATATTTTGAAGAATTAAAATAATTACAAATGGTTCAATCATAAAGTCATAAAATCTATAACTGTTCAATTCATAAAAAACTATCTGCATTATCTATTTGTCAGATTCTGGTTATGAAAATATAAGGATTTATTATCTAGTGGTTGGGTCATGATTTCAATTGAAAATGAATTGAATTAAATTGAATTGAATGTCAGTGAAATGATACATGGTAATTTATTGTCAGTGAGAGAACTTTCAGAAAATTGAGAATGTTGAATCTTTGCAATACAAAACTCATGGACATGTTTTGAAATTATCATATAATGTTTCATTATAAAGAGCTGGCAGGTTTATTATATAGAATGCCGAGCATATATGTTCTAATAACAGAATAAAACATTACTGAATAACTGAATTATTATAGTATACTATCTACTTCTATTCTAGGGGAATTATTTTATAACTACAAATAAAATAATTCTCTATATAAGTATCTTGATAAATAACTTAAAGTAACAAAAATTAATAAAAAGAATTTGCTTAAGATAATAAAAAACTATGATAAAGTACTATAAAATGCAGTCAAAAAGATCAAGTGAAAATGCAGTCAAATAGATCAATTGTAAATACAGTCAAATAGATCAATTGAAAAATGCAGTCAAAAAGATCAATTGAAAATGCAGCCTAATAGATCAATTGAAAATACAGTCTAATAGATCAATTGAAAATGCAGCCAAATAGATCAATTGAAAATGCAGTCAAAAAGATCAAATGAAGATGTAGTCAAATAGATCAATTGGAAATGCAGTCAAATAGATCAATTGAAAATGCAGTCAAATAGATCAATTGAAAATGCAGTCAAATAGATCAATTGAAAATGCAGTCAAATAGATCAATTGAAAATGTAGTCAAAAAGATAAATTGAAAAAGGCAGTCAAATAAATCAATTGAAAATGCAGTCAAATAGATCAATTGAAAATGTAGTCAAATAGATCAATTGAAAATACAGTCAAATAGATCAATTGAAAATGCAGTCAAATAGATCAATTGAAAATACAGTCAAATAGATCAATTGAAAATGCAGTCAAATAGATCAATTGAAAATGCAATCAAATAGATCAATTGAAAATGTAGTCAAATAGATCAATTGAAAATGCAGTCAAATAGATCAATTGAAAATTTATTCAAATAAATCCATTGAAAATACAGTCAAATAGATAAATGAAAATGCACTTCTATATAAAAATTGTCTTGAATATAAAAAGCATGGATACAATCAAAAATTCCAAAAGCTCAAAATGAAAATGAATATCGAAAAAATGAAAACGAAATTAGAGAGCAATCGACCCAGAGAGAGGCAACTTCAAAATACACGTACATGTTTTATTATAATTTAGCTATATTTTCACCCTATTCTTCACTCATTCCAAGTTTCAAAAAGACTAATAAAATGAAATAAGATAATAAATATTAAAATCTATCTATTACCGTAATCGCCGTAATAAGGGCCCACCCCTAATAAGCGGCCATCCCGCTTCACAGAGATCAAGAAATATCGAGGAATGACCAAGTATTAACAAATATATCAGAAAAAAATCTCCAAAGAAATATAGTGGGCGATAATAGAGTACTTACACTAAAATGCAGAAAACATGACGCATTTTGTAATTCCATGCATCCTCCCGATAAATATCTATCAGTAGGTGCCTACCATACATGAAATTCCCCAGGATTTTTGACTTCTCTCATATATGGGCGCTCTTTGTAATGGGTTACAATGGGAATTTCAATTTCAAAAGCACCCTGGGCGCTTTTTACGGCGAATACGGTACATGTAAAAAAATCCTTAAAAGTCCATTACATAATATAGATAAAAACCAAGTATTGGGTGATAGCATGCTATGTTGATAGAATTCCTATGACCTCTAAATAGCTAAAAAGCTATTCTAATCTGCTGCTAAAAGAAATTAAAAATCAAAACTTCTCTTAAAAGGTCTTTTCACAAATTATTTCAAAATTTTAAACAGAAAAGACCATTTAAGTAAGAAATCCCTTCAAACCATAAGGAAATACTACATGCAGCTAGTGTTAATCTGGCAACTAAGTGCTAAAAAGCAGCTTTGTGTTGTCAGTATACATACCCCCTGTTATAACAATAGAAAAAACACATAATTAGAGTTATGACATCACAAAGGGCCTCTATAACAAAATATCACAGTAAATATACTGTATGCAGCATCATTTTGAATTCATATCGCAATTATAAGTAAATGTTTGAATTACTCAAATTACATATTTTGAGTACAAGCCTAAATAATATAAAATATATTTTGAATACATGATTCAAATATCAGATATTTCATGTTTTGAGAAAGGCCTACACAGGTAAATTACATCGGACCCTATACAAGCCAGTACGGAGTACAGGCCTCAAAAACAACAATTACAAGCATCCTACGAGCCTCGAATATGAGCTCTTTACGAGCCCGTACAAGTCATGCTCCTTTTTGCCCATAATGAGTCGTAATTCTCGAGGCTCGTATTGGCCCGATGTAATTTGCCTGTGAAAAATAATCAAACAATATTTCAATACTGCATGGATAAACAACTCAAACTTTGTAATTTGAATTCAAAGGCCCAATACTCAAACTACATTTTTATACTCAAACTCCCATCATTTAATTGTTGACAAAGTTGTGATAGCATGTGAAAGAGGCTCTAATACATGTAACACATTGTTAAATAATTGTATGACAAATTTAGTTCTTCCACATATACTTGTATATTTGTATACAGGGTTGACAAATTATTCTATGCAATAGATATATTCAGAATAACCTTTTCATTTGTCAAGCAATTTATCCCTCAACAACTTGTATGTGGATAAATCTTGTTTGCATAGTACTATGTAATTATTGAAAGATTAATGTCTAGGAATATACTTTTGGAAATAAAAATAGTAAACAAGACTTTAGTTAGTTCATTCTGAATCTTGCTTGTTATTTTTCATTCCATAACGTTCTGAATTTCTAGCTTCAAGATTTTGCATTCGATGTGTAGTGTCTGTATTGTATTCTTTAATGTAAATCGTCTGTATTGTATTGTTGTATTCTTCAACATATATCATCTGAATCATATTCTTCAACATTATTATCTGTATCATGATCTTCATTGGATATTGTCTGTATCATATTCTTCATTGGATATTGTCTGTATTGTATTCTTCAAACTATATTGCCTGTGCTGTATTATTCAATTGATTGTCTTTATCATGTACTTCAATGCATAAAATATCTGAAAGTATATGAAAGTTACGCAAGCATTCACTGATGAAGGCCGGGATGAGGAATGAGTATGAGACAAAAAATTAGGAAAGTTCAGATCTATGACTAGTTGAAAAAGGATCCGATTCCTTTTCTTCACCTGGATTTGTTCTTATTCCAAAACAAGGCATAAACATGCAAAATTTCACCACCTGCCATTTGTTACAGATGTGAAACACTGAACATCAAGCACCAGACACCAACCATCGATCGCCAAACACCATCCACAAAAGGTTATAGACCATAAAAAATATGTCACTACTTGTATTGTGGAGGTTCTTATGAATCATTACTTTCTTTAATAAGTAAATATTTTTCTGTAAATTAGAATTTGCTTTAAGATGATAACCTCTAATCAGACCATACAATATGCTTGGCCTTGAACATGGATAAATGACAGCTTGTATTATTAGAAAATCAAATATTGCAAGTTGTATATAATGAAGACAGGATGACCTTAAGAAGTCTGGATGCAGACTAAATGTAATATTGAATTTAAATCCAGGCATTTCTGTCTGCAGATTCATTTATGGATGAGTCATTGAGCAATCTCTCATTTTTTATTTTTTATAGTACTAACATCTGTATTAATTGGTCAAATTAAAAAAAGTAAACAATAATCGGAAATTTTCCCCAGGAAATTAGATATCGTTCAGTGCGTAAGACTTTCTTGCTATTTCAGCCGGCCCTGGTCATTAACAGGGGTAATAATACTAATAGCATCATTACTGTGGGTTCAGCCCTCGGTCCAATATTTCACTATATTGCCCTTCGAAATGGTGTTATTGTTCTATTATTCATCATCGACTGAACACAATTGAACACAACTGAACACAAATACACAATTTATATCTCCTCATAGCTGCTCCTTAAAATAATTTTCAGAAAACATAAAATACATTCCTAGGTTGATATGTGGGATGAACTTATCGTAAACACATTCACTTATATTATAAGCTTGTTCAATGCAAAGCCTATGGTAATATGGACAATTAAATGTTATAGTCTCTGCTGATTTATTGTATATTTATGCATTGAAGACAATACATAATCCAGGTGAAAACATAACACAAATCTTCTTATATTGCTCTAGATTGATGTCTTATTGATGGACTAGATTTCAAGTCATTAAGTGAATATACACATGTGGATCACAAATTCAAATTTGTCTGAATGTTGATTCTGTAATTTTTGATTCATGAAAAATTAAATGTAAATGTGGATTTTAGTCGTCTTATGGTAAAACATTATCACACGGACAGATTGGAGAGGATATACCTATCTAAGTAAGGAGATACTTGAGGTAAATAAGGGTGAGGTGGAATTTAGCAGAGGGACTTCTCCTTTAGGAGACAATGGGATATAGTTCACGTGGCTAATTAATTGTGGCATTACATGGCCCTTCCTAAACCAACCAACAAACAAACCAATCAATCAACCAATCAATCAAACAAACAACCAACCAATCAAACAATTGATCAAACAAACAACCAACCAATCAAACAATTGATCAACTAACCAGTAAATGAACCAACAAACCAACCAACCATTCGGCCAACCAATCAATGAACCAACCAATCAACCATCATCCTACCAACCAACCAACCATCCAACCAATCAATCAATCCCCTAATCAAGCAACCAACAAATACCAATCAGCAAACCAAC